ATTTTTTTGGGTATATTTGTTGATTTTTTGGGTTTACATTTCGTCTTTTGGGGATTGTTGGTTTCTTGGGGGTTTTTGTTGGTTTTTTTTGGTGTTTCATGTTGATTTTCGGTGTTGTTGATTTTTTTTGCTGGTTTTTTGTTGATTTTTGATGGTTTTTTGTTGATTTTTTTGCTGTTTTGACTTTCTGCTCGTGTCTGTCGCTTTTTGCTGATTTCTGTTGATTTTTAGGGGCGATTTTTGTTGTTTTTTGCTGGGTTTTGTTACGGTTCTTGCTATATTTTTGTTGGGGTTTTTGTTTATTTGATTTTTTTGGTTTTTTTGTTGATTTTTTAATGTTTTCTGTTGCTTTTTGATGTTCTCTGTTGATTTGTGCTGATTTCTGTTGATTTTTTGGGTGTTTTTCTGTTGATTTTTGCTGGGTTTTGCTGATTTTTGTTGGTTTTTTGCTTTTTTTTTTGGTTTTTGTTGATTTTTGCTGTTTTCTGTTGATTTTTAGATGATTTTTGCAGTTTCCTGTTGGTTTTTGCTGGTTTCTGTTGATTTTTGCTATTTTCTGTTGAGTTTTGCTGTTTTTTTCCGAGTTTTGCTGTTTTTTGCTGTTTTCTGTTGATTTTTCCTCCGTTTTGTTGATTTTTCCTGGGTTTTTTTGTTGATTTTTATTAATTTTTGCTGTTTCCCGTTGATTTTTTGATGACTTTTGCTGTTTTTAGCTGATTTTTGCAGTTTTCTGTTGATTTTTGCTGTTTTTTCCCGATTTTTGCAGTTTTTTCCTGATTTTCCGCCTCCCACCAGCCCCGCCCCCCCCGGGGGGTGTTAATTAGGCCACGGGGGGGGTTGGGCCCTTAATGAGCCTTAATGAGCTCATTAGCGCCGCCGGGACACGGGGTCCCCTCCCCCCCCCGGCAGGGGCGCCCCATTCAGGGCAGGGGGCGGGGCCAAGACCGTGACGTCATCAGAGAGGGGCGGGGCCACCGAAACCCTGCCCCTCCCCCAATGAACCAATTAACACCCCCCAATTAACCACGCAAATTAACAGCCCCCAATTAACCCCTCAATTAGCACCCCAAAATTAACCCCACAAATTAACACCCCCTAATTAACTCCCCCCAATTAACACCGTCCTAATTAACACTCCCCAATTAACCCCTCAAATAACAGCCCCCCAATTAACAGCCCCCAATTAACACCCCCCAAATTAACACCCCCAATTATCCCCTCAAATTAACAACCCCCAAATAAACACCCCCCAATTAACCCTTCTAATTAACAGCCCCCATTTAACACCCCAAATCTCCTTCCCTAATGAACCCCCTAATTAAGACCCCTCTCAATTAACAACTCCTAATCAACACCCCCATTAAGACCCCCCCAATTCATAACACTTCACAATTAACAACACCCCTAATTAATAGTCCTTAATAAACGCTTCGCTTCTTACCAACCCCTAATTAACAGCAAATAGAGATCGCCAATTAATAGTCCTCTAATTAATTAATAGCCCACAAAGAAACCCTCAATTAACGCTCCTGATTAATACTCCAAGTGACTTCTCAATTAACATTGTGCTTAATTAATAAATCCCTAATAGAGACCGGCCTAATCACCTGACCATAATCAATGACTCTTAATTAACTCCCAATTAAAAGTCCTTAATGGAGGCCGCAAATCACCCCCCATTTATTACTCCTAATAAAATTCTAATTAACGGCCTCTAATGAATGCCTACCCCTGATTACAACACCAATTAATAACTAATATCGACCCCTCTAATCACTAATTAATGATCACTGAGACCCCAATTAACACCCCTCATTAATATCCCCTAAGAGAAACGGTTCTAATTAAAGGAATAATAACAATTATTTAAATTAATAATCCCAAATAGCCCCCCAATTAACCCCCTCACTTAACAACTCTCAATTAACCCCTCCAATTAACTCCTCGTTAATTAACACCCCCCAGACCCCCAAAATTACCCCTCCAATTAACCCCCCATTAACCCCCTCTTGATTAACCCCCCCTAACTAATTCCTCCCCGTTAATTAACCTCCTCTTAATTAACCCCTCAAATTACCACCTCCTAATTAATTAACCCCTAATTACCCCCCAAAACCTCAAATTTCCCCGATGAAATTTCCTTTTTCTCCGATAAATTTTTTATTTCCTATTTAAATTTCCCCCTCCCCAAACGACACCTCCCCCCTCATTAACCCCCCCGTTAATCACCCCTCCCTTAATTACCGCCGCCGTTAATTAATTCCCCCTCCCCTCCCCCTCCTGACCCAAATCCCCCCTCCCCTCCCCCCCTAATCCCGTCCAGATGGTGCCGCCCCCCTCCCCCCTCCCCTCCCCCCCCCGCGCCCTTTTTGGGCTCAATCGGGGCCATTTTGGGGCCGCCCCAAATTTTGGGGACCCCCCCCCCCCTTTATCCGGACCCCCCCCCAAAATTCCGGCCCCTCCCCCCCTTTATCCGGACCCCCCCCCAAAATTCCGGCCCCTCCCCCCCCCCCCAAGGGCGGCCGAGGAAATTTCCAGAAGGAGCCGGAGGGGGGGGAGGGGAGGGGAGGCCCCGCCCCCTCCTTAACCCCTCCCCCCCCAGTCCGGAACCGCAACTGGGACCAGTTAGAGCCGCGCCGCCCTCCCAGTTACCGAACTGGGACCCCAGTGAGCCCAAACTGGGATCCAGTGAGCCCAAACTGGGATCCCAGTTCCCTCCCAGTTACCTAAACTGGGATCCCAGTTCCCTCCCAGTTACCCAAACTGGGATCCCAGTGAGCCCAAACTGGGATCCCAGTTCCCTCCCAGTGAGCCCAAACTGGGATCCCAGTTCCCTCCCAGTTACCAAACTGGGATCCCAGTTCCCTCCCAGTTACCGAACTGGGATCCCAGTGAGCCCAAACTGGGATCCCAGTGCCCTTTGACCCCAAACTGGGATCCCAGTTACCCAAACTGGGATGCCAGTTCCCTCCCAGTTACCAAACTGGGATCCCAGTTACCCAAACTGGGATCCCAGTTCCCTCCCAGTTACCAAACTGGGATCCCAGTGAGCCCAAACTGGGATCCCAGTTCCCTCCCAGTTACCCAAACTGGGATCCCAGTTCCCTCCCAGTTACCAAACTGGGATCCCAAATTCATTCCCAGTTACCCAAACTGGGATCCCAGTTCCCTCCCAGTTACCCCAACTGGGATCTCAGTGAGCCCAAACTGGGATCCCAGTTCCCTCCCAGTTACCAAACTGGGACCCCCAATTCCCTCCCAGTTACCAAACTGGGATCCCAGTGAGCCCAAACTGGGATCCCAGTTCCCTCCCAGTTACCCAAACTGGGATCCCAGTTCCCTCCCAGTTACCCAAACTGGGATCCCAAATTCATTCCCAGTTACCCCAAACTGGGATCCCCAATTCCGTCCCAGTTTCCCCAAACTGGGACCCCCAATTCCCTCCCAGTTACCCAACTGGGACCCCCCGATTGCCTCCCAGTTACCCCAGTTTGGGCTCCCAGTTACCCCAGACTGGGACCCCCAATTCCCCCCCAAACTGGGCTCCCACTTAGCCCCAACTGGGATCCCAGTTAGCCCAAACTGGGACCCTCAATTCCCTCCCAGTTACCCCAAACTGGGATCCCAAATTCATTCCCAGTCAGCCCAGTCTGGGCTCCCAGTTACCCCAAACTGGGAACCCCCAAACTGGGACACCCCAAACTGGGACCCCCCAAACTGGGACACCCCAAACTGGGTCACCCCAAACTGGGACCCCCAAACTGGGAACTCCCCCCAAACTGGGAACTCCCCCCAAACTGGGACACCCCAAACTGGGACACCCCAAACTGGGAACCCCCAAACTGGGACACCCCAAACTGGGACACCCCAAACTGGGAACTCCCCCCAAACTGGGACACCCCAAACTGGGACACCCCAAACTGGGTCACCCCAAACTGGGAACTCACCCCAAACTGGGAACTCACCCCAAACTGGGTCACCCAAACTGGGAACTCCCCCCAAACTGGGACACCCCAAACTGGGAACCCCAAACTGGGACACCCCAAACTGGGAACTCCTCCCAAACTGGGACACCCCAAACTGGGAACTCCAAACTGGGAACTCCCCCCAAACTGGGAACTCCCCCCAAACTGGGAACCCCAAACTGGGAACTCCCCCCAAACTGGGAACTCCCCCCAAACTGGGAACCCCAAACTGGGACACCCCAAACTGGGAACTCCCCCCAAACTGGGACACCCCAAACTGGGAACTCACCCCAAACTGGGAACTCCCCCCAAACTGGGACACCCCAAACTGGGAACTCCCCCCAAACTGGGAACACCCAAACTGGGACACCCCAAACTGGGAACCCCAAACTGGGACACCCCAAACTGGGAACTCCCCCCAAACTGGGACACCCCAAACTGGGAACCCCAAACTGGGTCACCCCAAACTGGGAACTCCCCCCAAACTGGGACCCGAGTGCCCCCAGTGCCCCCCCAAACTGGGACACCCCAAACTGGGACACCCCAAACTGGGAACTGCCCCCAAACTGGGACACCCCAAACTGGGACACCCCAGTTCCCCCAGTCCCCCCCCGGACGCTGGGGTGGGGGAGGGGCGCTATAAAAAATTCCTTTATTGTATAAAAAACCTTAAAAACGCGCGGGGGCGTGGCCAAGGATGACGTCATGCAGGGTGGGGGCGTGGCTTAACTCATTCATGGGGCGGGGCATAAATCATGGGGGCGTGGTCAAGGTGATTAAAATGAACAAAAGGGGCGTGGCTAAAGGAGGGGGCGGGGCTACAGCAGTGATTGATGGGTGGGCGTGGCTAACACTGAGTGGGCGGAGCTACACAGGGAAAGTGGGCGGAGCTACAAGGAACGGGTGGGCCAATGGGAAGTGGGGATGGGTGGGTGTGGTCGGGAAGGGGCGTGGCTAACAGGTGAGGGGGCGTGGCCTGCAGGTGAGGGGCGTGGCCGGCAGGTGAGGGGCGTGGCCTGCAGGTGAGGGGCGTGGTCAGTCCGACTCCCCCGACTCCCCCTTGAGCAGCAGCTTCTTCCCACGGGGCACCCGCCCCTCCCCCCGCGGGCGGCGCCTCTTGCTCCTGGGGGGGGAGGGGCGAGTCAGGGACCCCCCCCCCAAAATCCTCGAGTCCCAAAAATCCTCCCAAAAAGGAGCCCCTAAATCCCACAGCCCCAAATTCCCCCCAAAAGGGACACCCAAAATCCCGGAGTCACAAATTTCCCCCAAAAAACCCCAAAAATGACACCCAGGGTGACCCCAAAATCCCAGAATCCCAAATTCCCCCCAAAATACCCCAAAAATGACACCCAGGGTGACCCCGAAATCCTGGAGTCCCAAATTTCCTCCAAAAAAACCCCAAAAATGACACCCAGGGTGATCCCAAAATCCCACAATCCGAAATTTCCCCCAAAAAACCCCAAAAAGGGACCCCCAGACCCTCCCAAACTGACTCCAAACCCCCCAAAAGTAAACCCAAGGCCCCCAAACCCCCTCAATCCCCCAAACTGACCCCAAATCCATCAAATTGCCCCAAATCCCCCCAAAATTACCCCAAATTGACCCCAAACCCCCCACAAAGTGACCTCGAGGCCCCCCAAACCCCCCCAAAATGACCCCAGACCCCTCCCAGCCTTCCCAAAGTGACCCAAAGGCCCCCAAAATGACCCCAAATCCCCCAAAATGATCCTAAACCCCCCAAATCCCCCTAAACCCCCCCAAAGTGACCCAAAATCCCCCAAAATTACCCCGAAGTGACCCCAGATCCCTCCCAGTCCCCCCAAACTGACCCCAAACCCCCCTAAAATGACCCCAACACCCCCAAAGTGACCCAAAAACCCTCCAAACCCCCCCAAATGACCCCAAACATCCCCAAAGTGACCCCAAATGACCCCAAAATGACCCCAAACCCCCCCAAAGTGACCCCAAATCCCCCCAAAGTGACCCCAGCCCCCCCAGCCCCCCAGGCGGGGGTCTCACTTTCGGGGTGCCGGGCCCCCCCCAAATGTGGCCTCCAGGGCCTCGTTGACCATCCGGAACATCTCGAAGCGCTGCCGGCCCCGCACCTGAACCCCAAAAACCCCCAAAAACGGGGTCAGGGGGAGCCCCGGGGGATGGAAACCCCCAGGGACCCCCCCCAAAAACAGGGAATCCCCAAAATGGATGGAAACCCCCAGGGACCCCCTAAAAAATTGGGGTCATAGGGAAGATGGACCCCAAATTGTCACCCTGGGACCCCTAAAATCCTCCCGGGACCCCAATTTTCCCTCTTGGGACCCCAAACATCCCTCTTGGGACCCCTAAAATTCCCCCAGTGATCCCAAATTTCCTCCTGGGACCCCAAATTTCCCCCTCAGGACCCTGAATTTTCCCCCGGGACCTCGAATTTCTCTCTTGGGACCCCCAAATTTCCCCCTGGGGCCCCAAATTGTCACACTGGGACCCCAAATTTCCCTCTTAGGACCCCAAGTTGTTACCCTGGGACCCCTAAAATCCCCCCTGGGACCCCAAATTTCCCCCTTGGGACCCCCAATTGTCACACTGGGACCCCAAATTTCCCTCTTAGGACCCCAAGTTGTTACCCTGGGACCCCTAAAATCCCCCCTGGGACCCCAAATTTCTCTTTTGGGACTCCTAAAATCCCCCCTGGGACCCCAAATTTCCCCCTGGGACCCCCAATTTCCCCCCGGGACCCAAAATTTCCCCCTTGGGACCCCAAATTGTCACTTGGGACTCCAAATTTCCTCTTTGGGACCCCTAAAATCCCACCAGGGACCCAAAATTTCCCCCTGGGACCCCTAAAATCCCCCCAGGGACCCCAAATTGTCACACTGGGACCCCAAATTTCCCCCTTGGGACCTCAAATTGTTTCCCTGGGACCCCCAAAATTCCCCTAGAACTGCCAATTTCCTCCTGGGACCCCAAATTTCTCTTTTGGGACCCCAAATTTCCCCCTCGGACCCCAAATTTCCCCCTTGGGACCCCAAATTTCTCTTTTGGGACTCCAAATTTCCCCCTTGGGACCCCAAATTGTCACCTGGGACTCCAAATTTCCCCCCTGGGACCCCAAATTTCCCCCCGGGATCCCAAATTTCCCCCTTTGGACCATTAAATCCCCCCTAGAACCCCAAAGCTTTCCCCTGGGACCCCAAATTTCCCCCTTGGGACCCCTAAAATCCCCCCTAGAACCCCTAATTTCTGTTTTAGGACCCCAAATTTCTGTTTTGGGACCCCAAATTTCCCTTTTGGCCCCCCAGATCCCCCCAGACCCCAGACCCACGGGCAGGTAGAAGATTTCCTCGTCGGGGTCCTGGACTCGTTTCTTGGAGCTCTCGGGGGCCTCAGCCGGGGGGGGCAGGGCTGGGGGAGGGGCAGGGGGGGGGTCAGGGACCCCCAAAAGGGCCCCCGAGACCCCCCAAAAGGGTCCCCAAGACCCCCCAAAATCACCGGCGGCTCCCCGAGCAGGCCACGCCCATCATTTACCACCCCACCTGCTCATTAGCATATTAGGCCACACCCTTTGGGCCACACCCAGTTTGGCCACGCCCATTAAGGCACAACCCCTTTGCTAATGCAGCCACGCCCAGTTTAGCCCCGCCCCAAAAGAATAATTTGGCCACACCCCTCCAAATTGGTCACACCCCTTTAGTTTTACATAGGCCACGCCCACCTGGCCACACCCCTCACAACTTAGCTCCACCCACAAGCCACACCCCCTTGTTTGGCCACGCCCACCTGGACCACACCCTCCTTCAAGCCCCGCCCTCATAAAGAGCCACACCCCCTCCCCATTCTAGACCACGCCCACAATATAATTACCATAGTTAGGCCACACCTCCTAAGGTTAAGCTCCACCCTCAACTCATTTAGCCACACCCATTCTGGCTCAGGCCACGCCCACATGGCCACACCCACACAGGCCACGCCCACCTGGTCACACCCACTCAGGCCACGCCCTCATCTCACTTGGCCCCGGCCCCGCCCGCACCTTGCTTGGCCCCGCCCATTTTCCCGCCCCGGCCCCGCCCTCACCTCGCTTGGCCCCGCCCATTTCCCGGATCAGGCCCCGCCCTCACCTCGCTTGGCCCCGCCCATTTCCCGATTTAGGCCCCGCCCTCACCTCGCTTGGCCCCGCCCCCGGCCCCGCCCCCTTTGCGCTGCGTCTCCTCCTCGTGGCGCCGATCGCGGCCGGGGCAGGCGCAGACCCGAACCTCGAAACAGCGCCGGCCCAGGATCTGACCCCTAAATCGGCCAAAAACACCCCAAAATCAGCCAAAAACACCCCAAAATCTGCTCCGGGGCGCCCCAAAACCTGGGGCACCCCAAAAACCCCACCTAGGAACCCCAAAAACCCCAAAATCGGGCACAGACCCGAACCTCGAAAGAGCGCCGGCCCAGGATCTGACCCCTAAATCGGCCAAAAACACCCCAAAATCAGCCAAAAACACCCAAAATTCATCCAGGGACACCCCAAAACCTGGGGCACCCCCAAAATCCCCACCCAGAACCACGCAGGAACCCCAAAATCGGGCACAGACCCGAACCTCGAAACAGCGCCGGCCCAGGATCTGACCCCTAAAACGGGATTGGGGACCCCAAAATCAGCCAAAAACACCCCAAAATCAGCCAAAACCACCCAAAAATCTGCTCCGGGACACCCCAAAACCTGGGGCACCCCAAAATCCCCACCCAGAACCACCCAGGAACCCCAAAAACCCCAAAATCGGGCGCAGACCCGAACCTCGAAACAGCGCCGGCCCAGGATCTGACCCCTAAATCAGCCAAAAACACCCCAAAATCAGACAAAAACACCCCAATATCTGCTCTGGGACACCCAAAAACCTGGGGCACCCCAAAATCCCCACCCAGGAACCCCAAAAACTCCAAAATCGGGCGCAGACCCGAACCTCGAAACAGCGCCGGCCCAGGATCTGACCCCTAAATCAGCCAAAAACACCCCAAAATCAGACAAAACCACCCAAAAATCCATCTGGGGGCACCCCAAAACCTGGGACACCCCAAAATCCCCACCCAGGAACCCCAAAAACCCCAAAATCAGGCGCAGACCCGAACCTCGAAACAGCGCTGGCCCAGGATCTGACCCCTAAATCGGCCAAAAACACCCCAAAATCAGACAAAAACACCCCAAAATTCATCCAAACCTGGGGCACCCCAAAATCCCCAACCAGGAACCCCAAAAACCCCAAAATCGGGCACAGACCCGAACCTCGAAACAGCGCTGGCCCAGGATCTGACCCCTAAAAACGGGATTGGGGACCCCAAAATCAGCCAAAAATACCCCAAAATCAGACAAAAACACCCCAAAATCAGCCAAAAACACCCCAAAATTCATCCAGGGACACCCCAAAACCTGGGGAACCCCAAAAACCCCACCCAGAACCACCCAGGAACCCCAAAAACCCCAAAATCGGGCACAGACCCGAACCTCGAAACAGCGCCGGCCCAGGATCTGACCCCTAAATCAGCCCAAAACACCCCAAAATCAGACAAAAACACCCAAAACTCCATCCGGGGACACCCCCAAAACCCATTTAGGAACCCCTCAAAATATTTCCAAAGGATCCTGCATTTTTATGGCCGGAATAAATGGATTTTAGGGCAGAAAACGCCACATTTTTTGGGAAAGAACCCAATTTTTTTGGGGAAAAAACCCCATATTTTTGGGCAAAAAAACCCCATATTTTGGGCAAAAAACCCCTACATTTACGTGAAAAAAAAAACCAACCAGATTTTTTGGGCAAAACCCCCCAGATTTTAGGGCAAAACCCCCATTTTTTGGGGCAAACCCCCCCCATTTTTTTGGCACAAAAAGCTCTCCGATTTTTGGGGTGAAGAAAACCCAAATTTCAGACTGACAAATCCCTGATTTTGGGGACAGATCCCGCAATTTTAGACCAAAAACCAAAATTCTAGAACAGAAAAAAAAATGAGATTTTTGACCAAAAAAAATCCTTTTTTTTGGGCAAAACACCCCAAATTTTTGGGGTTAGAGCTCGCGTATTTTGAGGGTGATGGCCCCTGGGTTTTGGGGTGTTTTTGGGTGTTTTTTGGGTTTTTTGGGGGGTTTTGGCTCACCCGGGCCCCTCCAGGGTGAGGATGGTGAGGATGGGCCGGCGGTTCATGCCCCCCATGCAGGAGCTGTTGCACATGAAGTTGTAGAGAACCGTGGTGCACTCCGAGCCCACCTGGCAACGGGGGAGAGCGGTTTAGAGCCCCAAAAATCACCCCCAAAAACAACCCCAAATCAGCCCAAAATCACCACAAAACCACCCTGAAATAAATCCAAAAGCACCTAAAAAACACCCCAAAAACCAGCCCAAAATACCCAAAAAACAGCCAAAAATAGCCCAGAATCACCACAAAACCACCCCAAAATCAGCCCAAAATCATCCCAAAACCACCCTGAAATAAATCCCCAAACCACCTAAAAAACACCCCAAAAAAACAGCCCAAACCCAAAAACAGCCCCAAACCAGCCCAAATACACAAAAAACAGCCCCAAACCAGCCCAAAATCACCACAAAACCACCCCAAAATCAGCCCAAAATTATCCCAAAACCACCCAAAAACCCCCAAACCACCCAAAAAACAATCCCAAAACCACCCCAAAACCACCCCAAAACAACCCTGAAATCACCAAAAAAACACCCAAAAAACCACCCCAAAATTATCCCAAAAACACCCAAAAAACAACCCCCAAAACCACCACAAAAACACCCCAAAAAACCTCTGAAATCACCCAAAAAAACTCCAAAAGCAGCCCAAAATCATCCTAAAACCACCCAAAAACAACCCTGAAATAAATCCCAAAACCACCTAAAAAAACCCCAAAACCAGCCCAAAACCACCAATAAACCACCAAAAAAAACCCCTGAAATCACCCTGAAAATCTCCAAAAAATACCCCAAAATTATCCAAAAATTATCCCCAAACCACCCAAAAAATAACCCCAAAAACCCCAAAAAACAGCCCAAAGTCATCCCAAAATCCCCACAAAACCACCCCAAAACCACCCCAAAACCACCCCAAAAAAACCCTGAAATCACCCAAAAAACCCAAAACCAGCCCAAAATAATCCCAAAATCACCCAAAAAAAACCCCAAAACCCCTGAAACCATCCCATAAAACACCCCAAAATCACGTTGAAAGAAACCCCAAAAATATCCCAAAAAAAAACCCCAAACCACCCCAAAAAAAGCCCAAAACCACTTGAAAAAACCCCAAAAACCTCAAAACCACCAAATAAAACCACCCCAAAACCACCAAAAAAAATCACCAAAAAGAAACCACCCCAAAAATACCACAAAACCACCCCAAAACAAACCCCAAAACCACCCCAAAAAACCCCAAACCACCCCCATAAAACCCTGAAACCACCCCAAAAAAACCCAACAAAAATAACTCAAAACCACCCCAAAAAAACTCAAAAACCTCAAAAATACCCCAAAACCACCTAAAAACAAACCCCAAAACCACCCAAAAAAAAACCCCCAAAATGACCCAAAAATCCCCCGAAAATACCCCAAAACCCGCTGGGAATGGGGGGGGATGCTGTGAGGGGGAGATTTGGGATTTTGGGGTTTTTATTTGGGATTTGTGGGGATTTTTAGGATTTTGGGGGTTTTGTTTGGGATTTTGAGGTTTATTTGGGATTTGGGGGTTTTTATTAGAGACTTTGGGATTTTATTTGGGATTTCGGGGGATTTGGGATTTTGGGTTTTTTATTTGGGATTTTGGGTTTTTTTTCAGATTTTGGGGTTTTTCTTTGTGATTTCTGTGGAGATTTGGGTTTTTTGGGGATTTTTGGGGGGATTTTTGAGGTTTTTTTGAGATTTTTTTTGGGTTTTTCGGGGGTTTTTGGGGTACCTCAGGGGGCTCATAGGGCACGGCCACGCTGTGTCTGTGACAGGATTTTGGGGTTTTTATTGGGATTTCTGTGAGGATTTGGGGATTTTTTGGGGTTTTTTTTGGGGGAGAGATTTTGGATTTTTTTGGGAGTTTTTTTTGGGGGTTTTTTTTGTTTTTTGGGGTACCTCAGGGGGCTCATAGGGCACAGCCACGCTGAGTCTGTGATGGGATTTTTGGGGTTTTTATTGGGATTTCTGTGGGGATTTGGTTTTTTTTTTGCGGAGGGGGATTTTGGGGGTTTTTTTGGGGGTTTTTTGGGTTTTTTAGGGGGTACCTCAGGGGGTTCGTAGGGCACGGCCACGCTGTGTCTGTGATGGGATTTTGGGGTTTTTATTGGGGATTTTGGGGTTTTTCTTTGGGGATTTCTGCAGGGATTTGGGGTTTTTTGGGGGGGGGGATTTTGGGGGTTTTTTTTGGGGGGTTTTTTGGGTTTTTTAGGGTTTTTTTGGGGTACCTCAGGGGGTTCGTAGGGCACGGCCACGCTGTGTCTGTGATGGGATTTTGGGGTTTTTATTGGGATTTTGGGGTTTTTCTTTGGGGATTTCTGCAGGGATTTGGGGGGGGGATTTTGGGTTGGTTTTTTTGGGGGTTTTTTTTGGGTTTTTTGGGTTTTTTTGTTTTTTTTTGGGGTACCTCAGGGGGTTCATAGGGCACGGCCACGCTGTGTCTGTGATGGGATTTTGGGGTTTTTATTGGGATTTCTGTGGGGATTTGGGGTTTTTTTGAGGTTTTTTTTTGGGGGGGGATTTTGTGAGAGATTTTTTTTGTTTTTTTGGGTTTTTTTGGGGTTTTTTGGGTTTTTTTGGTGTACCTCAGGGGGCTCATAGGGCACGGCCACGCTGTGTCTCTTGGTGGTTTCGTCGTCCTGGTACCGGGCCTGGGGGTTCCCCTCCACCCGGATCAGGTGCTGGGCGGGGGCGTTACCTGGGGAGACCCCAAAAAATCCCCAAAATCAGCCCAAAATCAACATTAAAATACCAAAACCAGCCCCAAAACCAGCCCAAAATCAGCTCCAAATTCAACATTAAAATACCAAAACCAGCCCCAAAAATCAGCCCAAAATCAACCTTAAAATCCCCAAAATAACCCCAAAATCAACACCAAAATCAGCCCAAAATCAACCTAAAAACCCCAAAAAACAACCCTAAAATCAACCTTAAAACCCCAAAATCAGCCTCAAAATGAACCCCAAAATCAGCCCCAATCCCCAAAATCAGCGCCCCGTTTTTTACAATGTCCCCCAATTTTTTTTCCAATTCTCCCCAAATTTTTTCCTCAATTTTCCCCCCAATTTCCCCCAATTTTTCCCCCATTTTTTACCCAATTTCCACCCAATTTTCCCCAATTTCCCCCCAATTTCCCCCCATTTTCCCCCCAATTTCCCCAATTCCCCCCCATTTTCCCCCCAATTTTCTCCCCATTTTTCCCTACTTTTCCCAAATTTTCCCCCATTTTTTTTCCAATTCTCCCCCAATTTTTTTCCCAATTTTCTCCCCAATTCTCCCCCAATTTTCCCCCCAATTTTCCCCCCAATTTTTCCCAATTTTTTCCTCAATTGTCCCCAGTTATTTTCCAATTTTCTCCCAATTTTCTTCCCAATTCCCCCCGCCAATTTTCCCCAATTTTTCCCAATTCTCCCCCAATTTTTCCCCATTTTTTCCCCCAATTTTCCCCCAATTTTCCCCAATTTTTTCCCCAATTTCCCCCATTTCCCCCCCCCAATTTTCCCCAATTTTTTCCCCAATTTTTTCCCAAATTTTCCCGAATTGTTTCCCTAATTTCCCCCAATTTTTTTCTCAGTTGTCCTCAATTTTTTTCCAGTTCTCCCCCAATTCTCCCCCAATTTTTTCCCCAATTCCCCCCCCAATTTTCCCCCAATTTTTTACCCCCAATTTTCCCCAATTTTTTCCCCATTTTTTCCCAATTCTCCCCAAATTTTTCCCCAATTTATTCCCCAATTTTTTTCCAATTCTCCCCCAATTTTCCCCCAATTTTCCCCAATTTTTTCCCCAATTCTCCCCATTTTTCCCCCCAATTCCCCCCCCATTTTCCCCCAATTTTTTCCCCAATTACCCCCAATTTCCCCCATTTTCCCCAATTTTTTCCCCAATTACCCCCCAATTTTTTCCCCATTTTCCCCAATTTCCCCCAATTTTCCCCCCAATTCTCCCCCAATTTTTTCCCCAATTTTTCCCCAAATTTCCCCCCAATTTTTTCCCAAATTTTTCCCCAATTTTCCCCCAATTCTCCCCAATTTTCCCCAATTTTTTTCCAATTCTCCCCCAATTTTCCCCCCAATTTTTTCCTTAATTTTCCCCCCAATTTTCCCCATTTTCCCCCCCAATTTTCCCCCAATTTTTACCCCAATTTTTCTCCAATTTTTTTTCCAATTTTCCCCCAATTTCTCCCCAATTTCCCCCCCTAATTTTCCCAATTCTTCCCCAAATTTTCCCCATTTTTTCCCCAATCTTTTCCTCAATTGTCCCTCCAATTTTCCCTGATTTTTCCCCAATTTTCTCCCAATTCTCCCCCAATTTTTCCCCCAAATTTTTCCCCCCAATTCTCCCCCAATATTTCCCCCGATTTTCCCCCCATTTTTCCCCAATGTTTTCCCCAATTCTCCCCCAATTTTTCCCCCAATTTTCCCCCAATTTTTTCCCCAATTTCCCCCCAATTTTCCCCAATTTTCCCCCCAATTTTCCCCCCAGTTCCCCCCAATTTCCCCGGTTTCCCGGAGCCGCAGACCGTCGGTGCCGCAGCGCTCGTGGTGGGGACACCTCCGCACCACCTCGGCCACGTGTTCGGCCTTTTTATAGACGGCGACGGCGCGGAGCAGCGCCCCGGGGGGCGGCGGGACCCCCACCCGCACCTGCACCGGGCAGGGCTTGGCCAGCCGGCAGAACAGCTTGTTCAGGGACGGCGAGTACTGCGGGGGAAAAAAATACATTAAAATTAAAAAAACCCCATTAAAATCGGCCCAGGAATGACAAAACCCCATAGAAATCCATAAATCCCCATAGGAATCCATAAATCCCATAGAAATCCCATAGGAACCACCCCAGAACAGCTTGTTCAGGGAGGGTGAATACTGCGGAGATGGGAAAATAACATTAAAATTAAAAAAACCCCATAAAAATCGGCCCAGAAATGGAAAAATCCCATAGAAATCCATAAATCCCCATAGAAATCCTATAGAAATCTATAAAACCGCATAGAAATCCCATAGGAACCACCCCAGAACAGCTTGTTCAAGGACAGCGAGTACTGCGGAGAGAAAAAATTACATTAAAATTAAAAAAACCCAAAAAAAACCCCGTAAAAATCGGCCCAGAAATGAAAAAATCCCATAGGAATCCATAAATCCCCATAGAAATCCATGAAACCCCATAGAAATCCACAAAACCCCATAGAAATCCCATAGGAACCACCCCAGAACAGCTTGTTCAGGGAGGGTGAGTACTGCGGAGAGAAAAAATTACATTAAAATTAAAAAAAAACCCATAAAAATCGACCCAGAAATGACAAAATCACATAGAAATCCATAATGCCCCATAGAAATCCATAGAAATCCATAAATCCCATAGAAATCCATAAATCCCATAGAAATCCATAAATCCCATAGAAATCCATAAATCCCATAGAAATCCATAAATCCCATAGAAATCCATTAAATCCCCATAGAAATCCATAGAAATCCATTAAACCCTATAAAAACCCACCACAATCCAAAAAAAACCCATAAAAACCCCATAGAAATCCATAAATCCCCAAAAATCCCTTATTTCTCCCATTTTCCCCATTATTTCCCCATTTTTATTCCCATTATTTCTCCCACTTTTCCCTGTTTTTCCCGTTATCTTTCCCATTATTATATCCATTATTTCCCATTTTAAAACTCATTATTTTTCCCATTTTCCCAATATTTTCCCCATTTTTTCCCATTTTTACCTGTTTTTTCCCATTATTTCCCTTTTTTCCCCCACTTTTCCCCCATTTTTCCCAAAAATCCACATTTTTCACCAATTTCTCACACTGCAGGTGCCGCTCTTGGCCGTTCCCGTCATTCCCATTTTTCTCATTATTTTCCCCATTTTTTGCCATTTTCCCCCATTTTTGCCCCATTTTTCCCCCGTTTTTTTCCCGTTTTTTTGCCGTTTTCACCATTTTTTGCCCGTTTTTTCCCATTTTTCCCCGTTTTTTCCCATTTTCTCAGTTTTTTGCCCCATTTTTCTCTCATGGTGCAGGTGACGCTCTTGGCCGTTCCCGTTTCCCGGAATTCCAGCCGGAAGTCGCGCTCCCCTCTGGTTTTATTCCCATTTTTTGCCCGTTTTTGCTCATTTTTTCACCGTTTTTGCCCATTTTTTCCCCGTTTTTTCCCAAAATCCCCGTTTTTTGCCCCATTTTTGACTCACAGTGCAGGTGACGCTCTTGACCATTCCCGATTCCCAGAATTCCAGCCGGAAGTCACGCTCCCTTCTGGTTTTATTCCCATTTTTTGCCCGTTTTCGCCCATTTTTTCCCCATTTTTTCCCATTTTTTCACTTTTTCCCCATTTTTTCCCAAAATCCCCATTTTTTGCCCCATTTTTGACTCACGGTGCAGGTGACGCTCTTGACCATTCCCATTTCCCGGAATTCCAGCCGGAAGTCGCGCTCCCCTCTGGTTTTATACCCATTTTTTGCCCGTTTTTTCGCCGTTTTTTCCCATTTTTTGCCCATTTTTTCCCCGTTTTTTCCCAAAATCCCGGTTTTTTGCCCCATTTTTGACTCACGGTGCAGGTGACGCTCTTGACCATTCCCGTTTCCCGGAATTCCAGCCGGAAGTCGCGCTCCCCTCTGGTTTTATACCCATTTTTTGCCCGTTTTTGCTCATTTTTTCACCGTTTTTGCCCATTTTTTCCCCGTTTTTCCCGTTTTTTCGGTTTTTTGCCCCATTTCCCACTCACGGTGCAGGTGACGCTCTTGACCATTCCCGATTCCCGGAATTCCAGCCGGAAGTTGCGCTCCCCTCTGGTTTTATACCCATTTTTTGCCCATTTTCACTCAATTTTTTGCTGTTTCCGCCCATTTTTCCACCGTTTTTGCCCCATTTTTCCCTGTTTTTTCCCAAAATCCCCGTTTTTTGCCCCATTTCGGACTCACGGTGCAGGTGACGCTCTTGGCCGTTCCCATCATTCCCATTTTTCTCATTATTTTTCCCCATTTTTTGCCATTTTCCTCCATTTTTGCCCTGTTTTTTCCCATTTTTTTTCCGTTTTCACCCATTTTTTTCACCATTTTATGAATTTTTTCCCTGTTTTTTCCCAAAATCCCCGTTTTTTGCCCCATTTCCGACTCACGGTGCAGGTGACGCTCTTGACCATTCCCATTTCCCGGATTCCAGCCGGAAGTCGCGCTCCCCTCTGGTTTTATACCCATTTTTTGCCCGTTTTCGCTCATTTTTTCACCGTTTTTACCCATTTTTCACCGTTTTTCCCGTTTTTTTTGTTTTTTGCCCCATTTTGGACTCACGGTGCAGGTGACGCTCTTGGCCGTGCCGGTTTCCCGGAATTCCAGCCGGAAGTCGTGCTCCCCTCCGTAATCCTCCGTCGCCGGGACCACGGCCGAGGGGGGGAGGGGCGGCGGGGGGGCTCGGCGGGGGGCGGGGGCAGTGCAGGCCCCGCCCCCTGCGCTGGCCCCGCCCCCTGCGCTGGCCCCGCCCCTCCGCAGGCCCCGCCCCCTCCGCTGGCCCCGCCCCCTCCGCAGGCCCCGCCCCCTCCGCTGGCCCCGCCCCCTCGGGGGGCTCGGGGGGGCTCAGCTGCTGCTGCGGGACAAAATTTGGGATTTTTGGGGGGAAAAATCCCAATTTTGGGGTTATTTAGGGGGTCTGGGTTTATCTGGGGAGAGAAATCCAATTTTTGGGGGATTTGGGAGCAGCGTTTGGGGGAGAAACACAAATTTTGGGGATTTTTGGGGAGAAAATCCAATTTTGGGGGGGATTTTTGAGGGGAAAATCCAGTTTTTGGGGGGATTTTTGAGGGGAAAATCCAATTTTTGGGGATTTTTAGGTGATTTTTTTTTGAGAAAAAGTTCAATTTTTGGAGTTTTGGGATTATCTAGGGGGATTTGGAGATATTTGGGATTATTTTTGGAGGAGAAAATACAATATTTGGGGATTTGAGAGCATATTTTGGGGGAAATCCCATTTTTGCGGTGTTAGGAGTATTTTTTGGAGGAGAAATCCAAATTTTGAGGGATTTTGGGGGAGAAATCCATATTTTGGGGGATTTTTTTGAGGAAAAATTCAATTTTTGGGTTTTGGGGTTATTTAGGGGGGTCTGGGTGTTTTTTTGGGGATTAAAATCCCATTTTGAGGAGGAATTTTGGACCCCCCTGGTCCCTTTTGGGGTTCCCCACTCCCTTGGATGCTTTTTTTGGGAATTTTGCTCATTTTTTGGAGCTTTTACCCCAATTTTTGGTGGCTCCTCACTCACCCATTCCAGCAGATCCTCGGGCAAGGAATTGATGCTATTGGGGAGCCTGGAAGGGGTCAAAGGTCACCCAAAAAACCCCAAAAACAAACCCAAAACCCCCAAAACTCCCTCCCAAAACCCCACCCAAAAAAAGCCCCCCAAAATCCCAAAATAAACCCAAAATTCCCACAAAAAACCCAAAATAAACCCAAAAAAATCCCCCCAAAATCCCAAAGTAAACCCAAAATTCCACAAAAAACCCAAAATAAACCCTAAAGAATCCCCAAATAAACCCAAAACCTCCCAAAAATCCCAAATAAACCAAAACCCCAAACTAAATCCAAAGCGCTCCCCCAACGACCCCAAAATAAACCCAAAAATCCCACAGAAAACCCAAAATAAACCCAAAAATTCCCCCAAAAAACCAAAAAATTCCCCTCGAAATCCCAAATAAACCACAAATAAACCCCCAAAAAACTCCCCAAACCCCCCCAAACAACCAAAAACTCCCAAAAGCTCCCCCAAAAAAAGGCAAAAAAACCCAAATAAACCCAAATAAACCCCAAAATCCCCCCAAAAATCCCAAATCTCACATGTTCCATAAATCCAGGAATCCTTCTCCCCCCAGGAGCGGCTCCAGATCCTCGGCCATGGTGGGGGAGGAGGCAGCCGAGGGGACCCCTGGGGGGGAGGGGTCACCCAATTTTTGGGAAATCCCCCCAAAAAAGACAATTTTTGGTTTTTTTTTATTTTTTGGGGGGGTCCCTCCAAACCAGCCCAAAGCCACGCCCCTTTGCTTAAGCCACGCCCCCTCCCCTTTCCGGAAGCAAAATTCGCCCGATTTGGGTCAAATTTCGGTCAAATTTCGGTCAAATTTCGGCAAATTTGGGGTAAATTTTTTGGGGGACCCCCCTCAGGGCAACCCCCCCCATTTTGGGGACCCTCCCCCGCCCCCCTCCCCGTTTTTGGGTGCCCCTCCCCCCCCGCCCCTCATGATGGGGGAGACCTCCTCATTGAACCCTCAGGGCTGGGGGGATCCCCCTGAACCCCCGAGCCCCTGACGGACCCCCGGGGTCCCCCAAACCCCCCGGGACCCCCCAAAAACCCCCCGGGACCCCCAAAATCCCCCAAAACCCCCCCGGGGCCTCCCGGTACCTCCGGTGCTTCCCGCGCCTCACGCGCCGGGAATTCCCCCGCTCCCGGCGTGCCCCGCGCGGGGGGCGGGCATGAGGGGCGGGCATTGAAGCCGCGGCGCCATCTTTGGTGATGGCAAAGAGTGAATGGGGGTCAATGGCGGGCGCCATTTTGACTGAGGGCAAAAAGAAGCAAGGGGGTTTCACTGCGGGCGCCAGGACTGGAGCCTGGGACCCCCCCGGGACCCCCAAAAACCCCCCGGGACCCCCAAAACCCCCCAAAACCCCCCCGGGGCCTCCCCGGTACCTCCGGTGCTTCCCGCGCCTCACGCGCCGGGGAATTCCCCACTCCCGGCGTGCCCCGCGCGGGGGGCGGGCATGAGGGGCGGGCATTGAAGCCGCGGCGCCCATCTTTGGTGATGGCAAAGAGTGAATGGGAGTCAAGGGCGGGCGCCATTTTGACTGAGGGCAAAAAGAAGCAGGGGGTTTCCCGGAGCCTGGGACCCCCCCGGGACCCCCCAATCACCTGGGACCCCCATCTGGGACCCCCCAATTACCTGGGACCCCCCATCTGGGACCCCCGAATTACCTGGGACCCCCCCCGGGACCCCCAATTACCTGGGACCCCCCCAGGGACCCCCTGTGACCCCGGGTCCCTTTTTCTCCCACGATTCTGCACTTTGGGGACCCCCCAAAGCTCCTGGGTGACCCCTGACCCCCCTGTGACCCCCTAAATCCCCTGTGTGACCCCCAACCCACAGCCCACCCCACCCCCCTCCAACCCCCGCGTGACCCCAGAGAGTGACCCCGAACCCCAAACCCTGAACTCCCCTCAGTTTTGGGGTCCCCAATTTTGGATTCCCAATTTTGGGGGAAGATTTGGGGCAGGGTCAGTTCTGAGTCACTCATTTGGGATCCCAAATTTTGGGATCCTCAATTTTGGGATCCCCAAATTTTGGGGTTCCCAATTTTGGAATCCTCAATTTTGGGGTCCACAATTTTGGATTGACAATTTTGGGGGAAGATTTGGGGCAGGGTCAGTTCTGGGTCACTCATTTGGGATCCCAAATTTTGGGATCCTCAATTTTGGAATCCCCAAATTTTGGGGTCCCCAATTTTGGAATCCCCAGTTTTGGAATCCTCAATTTTGGGATCCCCAAATTTTGGGATCCCCAATTTTAGAATCCTCAATTTTGGGATCCCCAAATTTTGGGATCCCCAGTTTTGGGGTTCCCAATTTTGGAATCCCCAAATTTTGGGATCCCCAATTTTGGAATCCCCAATTTTAGAATCCTCAATTCTGGGATCCCCAAATTTTGGGGTCCCCAATTTTGGAATCCTCAATTTTGTGATCCCCAAATTTTGGGATCCCCAGTTTTGGGGTCCCCAATTTTGGGATTCCCAAATTTTGGGATCCCCAGTTTTGGTATTCCCAGTTTTGGGATTCCCAAATTTTGGGGTCCCCAATTTTGGAATCCTCAATTTTGGGATTCCCAAATTTTGGGATTCTCAATTTTGGAATCCTCAATTTTGGAATCCTAAATTTTGGGATCCCAAATTTTGGGGGCAGATTTGGGGCAGGGTCAGTTCCAGGTCACCCCAGTGAATTTTGGTCCCACCGAGCCTTTATTCCATTGGCTGCTGCCCGAGGAGGGGGCGTGGCTCTGCCGAAGGGGGCGTGGCTTTACAAAAGGGGCGTGGCTTTACAAAGGGGGCGTGTCTATGCAAAGGGGGCGGGGCTACAGCGTGCAGTGCTTGGGGGGCGGGGCCCGCGCGAGTTTCTCGGGGTGGTCCGAGGCCATCAGGGAAATGTCGCGGAAGATGTCCAGGTACGTGTCGTCACCTGAGGCACCCCGAAATTCCGGGAATCAGCCCCAAAATCCAGGGATTCCACCCCAAATCCTGGGATTCCCCCAAAATCCAGGGATTTTCCCCGAAATCCAGGGATTCCACCCCAATATTCCCATAGGAATCTCTCAAATTCCACAGATTCCACCCCAAAATCCAGAGATCAGCCCCAAAATCCAGGGTTTTCTCCAAAATCCAGAGATCAGCCCCAAAATCCAGAGATTCCACCCCAAAATCCAGAGATTCCACCCCAAAATCCAGAGATTCCACCCCAAAATTCCCATGGGAACCTCTCAAAGTCCAGGGATCCCCCTCAAAATCCAGGGGTTTTCCCCGAAATCCAGGGATTCCCCCAAAATCCAAAGATCAGCCCCAAATTCCAGGGATTCCACCCCAAAATCCAGGGGTTTTCTCCAAAATCCAGAAATCAGCCCCAAAATCCAGAGATCAGCCCCAAAATTCCAGGGATTCCACCCCAAATCCAGGGATTCCACCCAAGATTCCCGTGGAATCCTCTCTAAATCTAGTGGTTCCCCCCAAAATCCAGGGGTTTTCTCCAAAATCCAGGGATCCCCCCCAAAATCCATGGGTTTTCTCCAAAATCCAGGAGTTTTCCCTAAAATCCGGGGATCTACCCCAAAATCCTGGGGTTTTCCCAAAAATCCAGAAATTCCACCCCAAAATCCAGAGATCAGCCCCAAAATCCAGAGATTCCACCCCAAGATTCCCGTGGGATCCTCTCTAAATCTAGTGGTTCCCCCCAAAATCCAGGGATTCACCCCAAAATCCAGGGGTTTTCTCCAAAATCCAGGGATCTACCCCAAAATCCAGAGATTCATCCCAAAATCCAGGGCTTTTCTCCAAAATCCAGAGATCAGCCCCAAAATCCAGAGATCAGCCCCAAAGTCCAGGAATTCCACCCCAATATTCCCATGGGAACCTCTCAAAATCCAGTGGTTCTCCCCAAAATCCAGGGATTCCCCAAAAATCCAGGGATCAGCCCCGAAATCCAGAGATCTGCCCCAAAATCCAGGGATTCATCCTAATATTCCCATGGGATCCTCTCTAAATCCAGGGATCCCCCCCAAAATCCAGAGATTCCACCCCAAAATCCAGGGGTTTTCTCCAAAATCCCGGGATTCCCCCAAAATCCAGGGATTTTCCCCGAAATCCAGAGATTCCACCCCAAGATTCCCATGGGATCCTCTCTAAATCTAGTGGTTCCCCCCAAAATCCAGTGTTTTCCACAAAATCCAGGGATTCATCCCAAAATCCAGAAATTCCACCCCAAACCCTGGGATTCCCCCAAAATCTAGAGATCAGCCCCAAAATCCAGGGATTCCACCCCAAATCCAGGGGTTTTCTCCAAAATCCAGGGATCTACCCCAAAATCCAGGGATTCCACCCCAAAATCCAGAAATTCCACCCCAATATTCCCATGGGAATCTCTCAAAATCCAGGGATTCCACCCTAAAATCCAGGGATCCCTCCCAAAATCCGGGGATCCCCCCAAAATCCCAGAGACCCCCAAACCCACCGGTCTGTCCCTGGGCCGCCTCCACCTCGCGCATCTTGGCCAGTCGCAGCCTGGGGGGGTTTGGGGGGTCAGATTTGGGGGGTCAGATTTGGGGGTCAGATTTGGGGGTCCCCCCCGGGGGTCTCACAGGGTGACGATGTCGGCGTTGGCCGCGTCCATGGCGATGGTCAGCGGGTCCCTCCCGTCCGCGTCCACCGCGTTGACATCGGCCCCCCGCTTCAGGAACAGGCAGGCCAGGCTGGAATTTGGGGAGGGGGACACTGAGGGGACATTTTGGGGACATTTTGGGACATTTTGGGGACATTTTGGGGACATTTCGGGGACATTTGGGGACATTTGGGGACATTTGGGGACATTTGGGGACATTTCAGGGACATTTCAGGGACATTTGGGGACATTTGGGGACATTTGGGGACATTTTGGGGACATTTTGGGGACATTTTGGGACATTTTGGGGACATTTGGGGACATTTTGGGGACATTTCGGGACATTTGGGGACATTTTGGGGACATTTTGGGGACATTTCAGGGACATTTTGGGGACATTTGGGGACATTTGGGGACATTTTGGGGACATTTTGGGACATTTGGGGACATTTGGGGACATTTTGGGGACATTTTGGGGACATTTGGGGACATTTTGGGACATTTTGGGGACATTTGGGGACATCTGGGGACATTTTGGGACATTTTGGGGACATTTGGGGACATTTTGGGACATTTGGGGACATTTGGGGACATTTTGGGACATTTTGGGACATTTGGGGACATTTTGGGACATTTGGGGACATTTTGGGACATTTGGGGACATTTCGGGGACATTTGGGGACATTTTGGGTCATTTCGGGTCATTTGGGCCATTTGGGGACATTGGGGACATTTTGGGAACATTTGGGTCATTTCGAGTCATTTGGGGACATTTGGGGGCATTTGGGGACATTTGGGACATTTGGGACCATTTGGGGACATTTTGGGACATTTCGGGTCATTTCGGGGACATTTGGGGACATTTTGGGACATTTTGGGGACATTTGGGGACATTTGGGGACATTTGGGGACATTTGGGGACATTTTGGGACATTTTGGGGACATTTGGGCACATTTGGGGACATTTTGGGGACATTTGGGGACATTTGGGGACATTTTGAGGACATTTGGGCACATTTGGGGACATTTTGGGGACATTTGGGGACATTTGGGGGACATTTAGGGACATTTGGGGACATTTTGGGACATTTTGGGACATTTCGGGGACATTTTGGGACATTTGGGGGACATTTTGGGACATTTTGGGGACATTTGGGGACATTTTGGGGAGATTTTGGGGACATTTGGGGACATTTGGGGACATTTTGGGACATTTTGGGACATTTCGGGGACATTTGGGGACATTTGGGGACATTTCGGGACATTTGGGGACATTTTGGGGATATTTTGGGACATTTTGGGGACATTTTGGGGACATTTTGGGACATTTGGGGATCCGAGGGGATGCAGTGAGGTTAAGGTCACCCATCCAGGTCCCGAGCGGGGCAGACCCTGCTTAGCTTCACACCCGTCTGTGTTAGGGGTGAGCGGCGCCACCATTCACCAAATAGGGGGAGAGAAGCCCCCTCCCAGTGCTCCCAGTGCTCCCAGTCCATCCCAGTGCTCCCAGTGCCCATTCCCAGTGCTCCCAGTGCTCCCAGTCCCTCCCAGTGCTCCCAGTACACACCCAGTATGTCCCAGTTCGGTTGCCAGGTGCAGCGGGCCCTGTGCCCATTCCCAGTGCTCCCAGTCCCTCCCAGTCCCTCCCAGTCCCCTTCCCAGTGCTCCCAGTGCTCCCAGTCCATCCCAGTCCCTCCCAGTACACACCCAGTATGTCCCAGTCCCTCCCAGTCCCTCCCAGTGCTCCCAGTCCCCATTCCCAGTCCCTCCCAGTACACACCCAGTGTGTCCCAGTTCGGTGGCCAGGTGCAGCGGGCCCTGTGCCCATTCCCAGTGCTCCCAGTCCCTCCCAGTGCTCCCAGTACACACCCAGTGTGTCCCAGTTCGGTGGCCAGGTGCAGCGGGCCCTGCCCCCGCCCGTCGCTCTGGTTGACGCTGGCCCCGTTCTGCAGCAGGAACTCACAGCCCAGCAGCGAATTCTGGGGGGGGACGGGCTCAGAGACCCCTCCCCAAAACAGGGACCCCTCCCCCAACAGGGACCCCTCCCCAAAACAGAGACCCCTCCCCCAACAGGGACCCCTCCCCAAAACAGAGACCCTCCCAAAACAGGGACCCCTCCCCAAACAGGGACCCCTCCCCAAAACAGGGACCCCTCCCCAAAACAGGGACCCCTCCCCAAAACTGGGACCCCTCCCCAAACAGGGCCCCCCCCCAAAACAGGGACCCCTCCCCAAACAGGGACCCCTCCCCAAAACACGGACCCCTCCCCAAACAGGGACCCCTCCCCAAAACAGAGACCCCTCCCCCAAACAGGGACCCCGCCCCAAACAGGGACCCCTCCCCAAATACAGACCCCTCCCCAAAACAGAGACCCCTCCCCAAACAGGGACCCCCCCCCCAAAACAGGGACCCCTCCCCAAAACAGGGACCCCTCCCCAAAACAGGGACCCCTCCCCAAATACAGACCCCTCCCCAAAACAGAGACCCTCCCCAAACAGGGACCCCTCCCCAAAACAGGGACCCCTCCCCAAACAGGGACCCCCCCCCAAAACAGGGACCCCTCCCCAAAACAGGGACCCCTCCCCAAATACAGACCCCCCCCCAAAACAGAGACCCTCCCCAAACAGGGACCCCCCCCCCAAAACAGGGACCCCCCCCAAAACAGGGACCCCTCCCCAAAACCGGGACCCCTCCCCAAACAGGGACCCTCCCCAAACAGGGACCCCTCCCCAAAACAGGGACCCCTCCCCAAAACAGGGACCCCTCCCCAAAACAGGGACCCCTCCCCAAAACAGGGACCCCTCCCAGTGCTCCCAGTTACCGCCAGCACGGCCTCCAGTAATGGGGTGCTGCCCTGACCCCCCCCAAAAAACACCCCTGAAGCAAAAAATGACCAAAACCACCCAAAACCACCCAAAAAAACCACCCCAAAAACCACCCAAAACCACCTCAAAACAGAGAAAAAACACCAAAAAAACCCCAAAACCCCATCAAAAACACCCCTGAACAAAACCACCCAAAACAACCCCAAAAAACACCAAGAACCATCCCAAAAATAGAGAAAAAACACCAAAAAAACCTCAAACTCCCTCCAAAAACACCCCTGAACCAAAAACCACTCAAAACCACACCAGAAACACCCCAAAAACACCCCTGAACCCCCCAAACACCCCTGAACACCAAAAACCACCCCAAAAATAGAAAAAAAACTCCAAAAAACCCCAAAACCCCATCAAAAACACCCCGTAACCCCCAAAACACCCCTGAACCAAAAACCACCCCAAAAACCACCCAAAACCATCCCAAAACCAGAGAAAAACCCCCAAAAATCCCCAACCCTCCCAAAAAAACACCCCCAAACCACAAAAACCACCCCAAAAACCAAGAAAAATCCCCAAAAAGTCCCAAAACTCCATAAAAACCTTCCCCAAGAGCCCCCCAGGGGTTTCAGGGACCCCCAAACCCCTCAGGGGACCCCCCAGGCCTGTCCCAGTGGGCTCCCAGTGCTCCCAGTGCTCCCAGTTACCCCGGCCACGGCCTCCAGCAGCGGGGTGCTGCCCTGACCCCCCCAAAAAAATACCCCTGAACCCCCAAAACTCCATAAAAACCTTTTCCAATACCCCCCCAGAGGATTCAGGGACCCCCAAACCCCTCAGGGAACCCCCCCAGGCCTCTCCCAGTGCTCCCAGTGCTCCCAGTGGGCTCCCAGTGCTCCCAGTGCTCCCAGTTACCGCGGCCACGGCCTCCAGCAGCGGGGTGCGGTTGCCCTGGGCGGCGTTGGCCCAGCCGGGCTCGGCGCCCCGGGCCAGCGCCTCGGCCATGGTGCGCAGGCGGCGCCGCCGCGCGGCCCAGAACAGCAGCGCCCCGGGGGGCAGCCGGGGGGCGCCCTCGGCCTCGGGGGGCTCGGGGGGCTCGGCGGGCGGGGCTGCGGGACACGCCCAAAGGGTTAGGCCACGCCCTCCCGCAGGAAGCCACGCCCAGATTCATGAGCCCCTCCCCCAAATGCATGAGTGACAGCGGTGGGTTAAGCCACGCCCACGCTAATGAAACCACGCCCACCTTCATTTGCCCCTCCCCCAGACACGTGAGTGACAGCAAGGTGAGTTGTAAGCCACGCCCACCCACAGGAAACCACGCCTCCCTGCAGGAAAGCCACGCCTCCCTGGAGGAAGCCACGCCCACCTTCTTGAAGCCACGCCCACATTCATTTGCTCCTCCCCCAGAAGCGTGAGTGACAGTGAGGTGGGCTGTAAGCCACGCCCACCTTCATGAAGCCACGCCCATATTCATTAGCCCCTCCCCCAGATGCGTGAGTGACAGCAAGGTGAGTTTTAAGTCACGCCCACCCACAGGAAGCCACGCCCACATTCATGGAGCCACGCCCACACTTTATGCCCCTCCCATAGACGCGTGATTGGCAGGGGGATGGATTCTAAGCCACGCCCACCCAGAAGGAAGCCACGCCCACATTCATTAGCCCCTCCCCCATATGCATGACTGACAGCTAGGTGGGCTATAAGCCACTCCCACCCGCAGAAAGCCACGCCCATATTCATTTGCCCCTCCCCCAGATGTGTGAGTGACAGCAAGGTGGGCTATAAGCCACGCCTCCCTACAGGAAGCCACACCCACCCACATGAAGCCACGCCCACACTCATTAGCCCCTCCCCCGATGCATGACTGACAGCTAGGTGGGCTATAAGCCACTCCCACCCGCAGGAAGCCACGCCCACCCCCAGGAAGCCACGCCCATATTCATTTGCCCCTCCCCCAGACAGGTGAGTGACAGCGAGGTGAGTTTTAAGCCACGCCCACCCACATGAAGCCACGCCCACATTCATTAGCCCCTCCCCCAAAAGTGTGAGTGACAGCGAGGTGGGCTATAAGCCACGCCCACCCGCAGGAAGCCACGCCCATATTCATTTGCCCCACCCCCAGATGCGTGAGTGACAGTGAGGTGGGCCGTAAGCCACGCCCACCCGCAGGAAGCCACGCCCATATTCATTAGCCCCTCCCACAGAAGCGTGAGTGACAGCAAGGTGAGGTGTAAGCCACGCCCACCTGCAGGAAGCCACGCCCACCCACAGGAAGCCACGCCCACACTTTATGCCCCTCCCATAGACGCGTGATTGGCAGGGGGATGGAATCTAAGCCACGCCCACCTTCTTGAAGCCACGCCCACATTCATTAGCCCCTCCCCCAGAAGCGTGAGTGACAGCGAGGTGAGTTTTAAGCCACGCCCACCCGCAGGAAGCCACGCCCATATTCATTAGCCCCTCCCCCAGACAGGTGAGTGACAGTGAGGTGGGTTAAGCCACGCCCACCCACATGGAGCCACGCCCACACTCATATGCCCCACCCCCCAAACTGTGAGTGACAGCGACGTGAGTTACAAGCCACACCCACCTATAGGAAGCCACGCCCACATTCATTAGCCCCTCCCACAGATGTTTGAGTGGCAGTATAAGCCACGCCCACACCAGAGGCAGAAGCCAATCAAAACTCAGGACCAGCCCAAGCCACGCCCCCCAAAACCACACCCACATCGTCAGCACCTAATTAATAATTCAAGCCCCACCCCTTTCCATTAAGCCCCTCCCCTTTAGGAAAAGCCACACCCCTTCACAACAAACCCCGCCCCCTTCCAGCAAGCCCCACCCCCTTTTATGACCCCACCCCCTTACCGTGGGCGGGGCTCCCTCGGGGGGCGTGGCCTGGCTGGGGGGCGGGGCCATGGCGCGGGGGGCGTGGCCTGGGGGCGTGTCCGGCCACGCCCCTCAGGAATTTCTTCTCCACGTACTTGGCCCGGATCCAACTCTCGCGCTGGGCCCTGGGGGGGTGGGGGGATTTGGGGGAATTTGGGGGGATTTGGACGGTCCTGGGGAGGTTTGGGGGGTCCTGGGGGGGATTTGGGGGGTTCTGGGGGGGAATTTGGGGGATTAGGGGGGTCCTGAGGGGATTTGGGGGGATTTAGGGGGTCCTGGGGCGTTTTGGGGGTCCTGGGGGGATTTGGGGGGATTTGGGGGGTCCAGGGGGGAATTTGGGGGTCCTGGGGCGATTTGGGGGGTCCTGGGGGGGAATTTGGGGGATTTTGGGGGTCCTGGGGGGGTTTGGGGGATTTGAGGGGTTTGGGGGGGTCCAGGGGGAATTTGGGGGGTCCTGGGAGGGGATTTGGGGGTTTGGGGGGGTTGGGGGGTCCCGGGTGGGTCCTGGGGGTCCTGGGGGGATTTGGGGGGATTTGGGGGTTTTGGGGGTTTTTTAGGGGGTCCTGGGGGATTTTGGGGGGTCCAGAGGGAATTTTTGGGGGGGGTCCTTGGAGGGTCCTGTGGGGGTTTTGGGGGGTCCTGGGGGACTCCTGAGGTTTTTTTTGGGGGTCCCATTTGGGATTTTTGGGGTCCCATTTGGGGTTTTTTTTGGGTTTTTTGGGGGGTCTCACTGGGAGCAGCCCGGGGGGGTCTCAGGGGGTTTTGGGGGGTCTCAGGGGGGTTTTGGGGTCCCATTTGGGGTTTTTTGGGGGTTTTGGGGGGTTTTTTTGGGGGTCTCACTGGGAGCAGCCCGGGGGGGTCTCAGGGGGTTTTGGGGTCCCATTTGGGCTTTTTTGGGGGTTTTTTGGGGTTTTTTGGGGGTCTCACTGGGAGCAGCCCGGGGGGGGTCTCAGGGGGTTTTGGGGTTCCCATTTGGGGTTTTTTTGGGGGTTTTTTGGGGGGGTCTCACTGGGAGCAGCCCGGGGGGGGTCTCAGGGGGTTTTTGGGTCCCATTTGGGGTTTTTTGTGGGGTCTCACTGGGAGCAGCCCGGGGGGGGCTCAGGGGGTTTTGGGGTCTCAGGGGGTTTTGGGGTTTTTTGGGGGTCTCACTGGGAGCAGCCCGGGGGGGTCTCAGGGGGTTTTGGGGGTCTCAGGGGGTTTTGGGGTCCCATTTGGGGTTTTTTGGGGGTTTTTTGGGGGGTCTCACTGGGAGCAGCCCGGGGGGGGGTCTCTTCACCCCCATCTCCTCCACCCGCGCCTCGTAGATCCCGTTCAGGGCGCGGTTCCCCAGGGAGCACATCAGCTGGGGGGACCCCAATGTCAGCCCAAAATACCCCAAAACCGGCCCAAAAACACCCCAAAAATACCCCAAAACCACCCTAAAAACACCCCAAACCTCACCCCAAAAATATCCCAAAAACACCCCAAAACCACCCTAAAAACACCCCAAACCTCACCCCAAAAACACCCCAAAGTCACCCCAAAACCACCCTAAAAACACCCCAAAAACACCCCAAACCTCATCCCAAAAACACCCAAAAAATACCCCAAAAACACCCCAAAAACACCCCCAAAACCGGCCCAAAGGCACCCCAAAAACACCCCCAAAACCACCCTAAAAGCACCCCAAACCTCACCCCAAAAACACCCCAAAAATACCCCAAAAATACACTAAAACCACCTCAAACCACCCCAAAAATACCCCAAATCTCATCCCAAAGCACCCCAAAAATACCCCAAAATAACCAGAATTACCCCAAACCTCACCCCATAAATACCCAAAAACCGGCCCCAAAATACCCCAAACCTCACCCCAAAACACCCCAAAAATACCCCAAACCTCACCCCAAAACCAGCCCAAAAATGCCCCAAAATAACCAGAATTATCCCAAAATCACCCCAAAACCACCCAAAAAATACCCCAAACCTCACCCCAAAAATACCCAAAAACCGGCCCAAAAATACCCAAACCTCACCCCAAAAACACCCCAAAAATACCCCAAAATACCCAAAATTACCCCAAAAATCCTCCTAAATCCCCCCAAATTCCCCCCAAAACCTCACAGGGACCCCCAAAAATCGACTGAGGACCCCCCAAACCCCTCCCAGTTCCCTCCCAGTCCCCCCCAAATCCCTCCCAGTTTGTCCCAGTCCCTCCCAGTCCCTCCCAGTATAAACCAGTAACCCCAAATCTCCTTTTTAACCCCTCCCAGTCCCTCCCAGTCCCTCCCAGTTCCCCCAGTCACCTTCACCAGTTCGGGCTCCCACGAGTCCAGGGTGAGCGATCGAACCTTGGAGAGGTGAACGCCGAGACCCCTGCGGGGAGGGGGTCAGGACCCCCAAAAAACCCAAAAAATCCCCAAAAAAACCCCCCCAAAAAACCCCAAAAAACCCCACCCCAACCACCCCCAGAAAACCCCCCAAAAAAATTCCCAAAAATCCTCCCAAAAAACCCTTAAAAAAACCACCGAAACACCCCCAAAAACTCCCAAAAAAACGCCCCAAAAAACCCAAAAAGCCCCCAAAAAACCCCACCCCAACCACCCCAGAAACCCCCCCAAAAAAATTCCCAAAAATCCTCCAAAAAAACCCCCAAAAACCCTTAAAAAAACCCGAAACGCCCCCAAAAACTCCCAAAAAATCCCCCAAAAACCCCCACAAAAACTCCAAAAAACACCAATAAAACAAACAAAAAAAAACCCACCAAAAAAACCCCCAAAAAACACCAAAAAGCCCAAAAAAATACCAAAAACCTAAAATATCACCAAAAAAATCCTAAAAAAACCCCATAAACCCCCCAAAACCCCCAAAACCTCCCCAAAAAAACCCCAAAAGAACAACACAAAAAAAAACCCAAAAAACCCCCAAAAACCCCCACCAAAAACTACCAAAAATCCCCCAAAAAGCCCCGGGGGGGACCCCAAAATCCCGGGCAGGGCTCTTGGGGGATTTGGGGTTTTTGGGGCTTTTTGGGGTATTTTGGGTTTTTGGGGGTTTTTCAGGTTTCTTTGGTTTTTTGGGGATTTTTGGGGATTTTTTTTGTGATTTTTTTGATTTTTCGGGATTTTTTCGGGGTTTTTTTGGGGTTTCAGTTTTGGGGTATTTTTTGGGGTTCGGGGGGATTTTGGGGTGCCCACCTGTGCACGGCCGAGCAGCGGATGCAGAGGGTGATGCCAGAAATGGGATTTTAATGCGATTTTAATGGGATTTTTTTTGATTTTCGGGATTTTTTTGGGGTTTTTTTGGGGTTTCAGGTTTGGGGTATTTTTGGGGTTTTTTTGGGATTTTGGGGTGCCCACCTGTGCACGGCCGAGCAGCGGATGCAGAGGGTGATGCCATAAATAGAATTTTTTTGGGATTTTTTGTGTATTTTTTGATTTTTTCGGGATTTTTTCGGGGTTTTTTGGGGGTTTTTTTGGGGTTTCAGGTTTGGGGTATTTTTTGGGGTTCGGGGGGGATTTTGGGGTGCCCACCTGTGCACGGCCGAGCAGCGGATGCAGAGGGTGATGCCATAAATGGGATTTTAATGCGATTTAATGCGATTTTAATGGGATTTTTTTTGATTTTTGGGATTTTTTTGGGGTTTTTTTGGGGTTTCAGTTTTGGGGTATTTTTTGGGGTTCGGGGGGGATTTTGGGGTGCCCACCTGTGCACGGCCGAGCAGCGGATGCAGAGGGTGATGCCATAAATGGGATTTTAATGGGATTTTAATGGGATTTTTTTTGATTTTCGGGATTTTTTTGGGTTTTTTTTGGGGTTTCGGTTTTGGGGTATTTTTTGGGGTTTTTTTGGGATTTTGGGGTGCCCACCTGTGCACGGCCGAGCAGCGGATGCAGAGGGTGATGCCATAAATGGGATTTTAATGGGATTTTAATGGGATTTTTTTTGATTTTTGGGATTTTTTCGGGGTTTTTTTTGGGGTTTCAGGTTTGGGGTATTTTTGGGGTTTTTTTGGGATTTTGGGGTGCCCACCTGTGCACGGCCGAGCAGCGGATGCAGAGGCTGATGCCATAAATGGGATTTTTTTGCGATTTTTTGGGGATTTTTTGATTTTTTCGGGATTTTTTCGGGGTTTTTTTTGGGGTTTTTTTGGGGTTTCAGGTTTGGGGTATTTTTTGGGTTTTTTTGGGATTTTGGGGTGCCCACCTGTGCACGGCCGAGCAGCGGATGCAGAGGGTGATGCCCAGGTTGACACTGGCCCACTCGGGGTGGGGCTCCCGGCAGTCGCAGCAGGTCCCGTTCCCCTCCAGCCCCAAAATCGCCCCCAAAACCGGGGGGGGCTCCGGGGGGGGCCCCGACAGCGACCCCGCCCGGCCGGGGGGCTGGGGGGGATTGGGGGTGGGGTCATTTTGGGGGGATTTGGGGTGATTTTGGGGGGATTTGGGGTCATTTGGGGGAATTTTGGGGGAAATTTTGGGGGGATTTGGGGGGGTTGGGGCCATTTTGGGGGGGTTTGGGGTCATTTTGGGGGAATTTTGGGGGAAAATTTGGGGGGATTTGGGGACATTTGGGGGGGGTTGGGAGGAACTGGGGAAATTTTGGGGGGATTTGGGGTCATTTGGAGCCAATTTTGGGGGGATTTGGGGCCAAATTTGGGGGGATTTTGGGCCATTTGGGGGAATTCTGGGGGAAATTTTGGGGGGATTTGGGGTCATTTGGGGGGTTGGGGCCATTTTGGGGGGGTTGGGAGGAATTGGGGTCATTTTGGGGGGATTTGGGGGTCATTTGGAGCCATTTATGGGGGATTTGGGGGAATTTGGGGGGCTTGGGGGCACTTTGGGGGGCATTTGGGGGAATTTGGAGGGATTTGAGGGGGATTTGGGGAGTTTTGGGGGATTTTGGGGGGATTTGGGGTCATTTTGGGGGGATTTTGGGGGGGATTTGGGGTTATTTTGGGGGAATTTGGGGGGGCTCGGGGGCACTTCGGGGGGCATTTGGGGCCATTTTTGGGGGGATTTTGGGGGGCTCGGGGGATTTTAGGGGGTTTTGGGGGGATTTGGGGGGTTTGGGGCCATTTTTTGGGGGGGGTTGGGGCCCTTTCTGGGGGATTTTGGGGTATTTGGGGATATTTTGGGATATTTGGGGTTATTTTTGGGGTCCCACCTGGGATTTTGGGGTGCCCTGGCCATTGTGGGGAATTTTGAGGTGGTTTTTGGGGTTTTTTTTGGGCATTTTGAGGCGTTTTTTGGGGAATTTTGGGGTATTTTGGGATATTTTTGGGTACTTTGGGATATTTCGGATATATTGGGTTATTTTTGGGGTCCCACCTGGGTTTTTGGGGTGCCCTGACCTTTGTGGGGAATTTTGAGGTGTTTTTTGGGTGTTTTTTCGGGTATTTTGAGGTGGTTTTTGGGGGTATTTTGGTGTATTTTGGGATATTTGGGATATTTTGGGATATTTCAGGGTATTTTTGGGATATTTGGGGTTATTTTTGGGGTCCCACCTGGGTTTTTGGGGTGCCCTGGCCGTAGGCGGAGGCGATGCCGCTCTGCACGGCGCTGACCCAGCGAAGCTGCGCCGGCCCCGAGTCCGCCTGCAGCACGCAGCACCTGGGGGCGATTTTGGGGTCCCCCCAAAATTTTGGGGTCCCCTGGAGGATTTTGGGGTCCCTGACAGGATTTTGGGGTCCCCCAGGGGATTTTGGGGTCTTTTCCTGCCCTTTTGGGGTCATTCTGGGCATCCCCGAGGGGTTTGGAGCTCCCTGGCTTTGAGGATTGGGAAATTTTGGGGTCCCGCAGGAGGATTTTGGGGTCCCCCAGGAAGATTTTGGGGTCCCCCCGAGGGAATTTTGGGGTCCCTCAGGAAAATTTTTGGGTCCTCTAGGGGATTTTGGGGTCTTTTCCTGCCCTTTTGGGGTCATTTTGGGGATCCCCAGGGGGTTTGGAGCTCCCTGGCTTTGAGTATTGGGAGATTTTGGGGTCCCCCTCAGGACTTTGGGGTCCCTGAGGGGATTTTGGGGTCCCCCCAAAATTTTGGGGTCCCCCGGGAGGGTTTTAGGGTCCCTCGGAGAGGATTTTGTGACATTTGGGGGGGATTTTTGAGCCTCCATCTTTGAAAATTGGGATTTTTTTGGGGGTTTTTTTTTGGTTTCCCCCAAAATTTTGGGGTTTTTGGGGTCCCCCCGGGGTTTTTGGGGTCCCCCCGGGATTTTTGGGGTCCCCCCGGGGTTTTTGGGGTCCCCCCGGGGGTTTTTGGGGTCTCACTTGGATGGGGAGACGATCTCGAAGCAGAAGCGGCGCTCGAGGTCGGGGCAGGGTTTGACCGTGCAGAGCCTCAAATCCTCCACCAGCACCGTGGGGGGGTCCTGGGGGACCCCAAAATGTCACCGGGGGGTCCCCCCAAAATCCTGAACCCCCCCAAACCCCGACCCCCGAACCCGCTGCCAAAAACACCCCAAAAAACCCCAAAATTTGGGAAAAAAACAAAAATAGCAGCTCAAAAAAAACCCCAAATCTTAAAAATGTCCCAAAAATTTCCCCTGAGAATCCCCAAATCCCCCCCAGACACCCCGAAATTCCCCCAAATCCCCCCAAAATTTCCTCAAATCCCCCCAAAATCCCCCCAAAATCCCCCCCAGACACCCCAAAATTCCCCAAAATCCCCCCAAAATTCCCTCAAATCCCCCCAAAATTCCCCCAAATCCCCCCCAAATCCCCCTAAAAAACCCAAATTCCCCCAAATCCCCCTAAAATCCCCCCAAATCCCCCCCAGACACCCCAAAATCCCCCCAAATCCCCCCAAAATCCCCCTAAAAAAACCCAAATTCCCTCAAATCCCCCCCAAAATCCCCCCAGGACCCCCAAATTCCCCCAATTCCCACCTGGGACCCCCCAAATATTCCCGGACCCCCCAAAATCCTCACGGAGACCCCTCAAAATTCCCCAAAATCCTCCCAGGACCCCCCAAATTCCCCCGGGACCCCCCAAAATCCCCCAAAATCCCTCAAATCTCCCTCAGGACCCCCCAAATCTCCCTCAGGACACCCCAAAATCCCCTCAAGACCCCCCAGAATCTCCCCAAAATCCCTCAAAACCCCCTCAGAACCCCTCAAATCCTCCCCAAAATCCCCAAATCTCCCTCAGGACCCCCCAAATCTCCCTCAGGACCCCCCAAAATTCCCCTCAGGACCCCCTAAATCTCCCTCAGGACCCCCCAAAATCCCCCCGGGACCCCCCAAATCTCCCTCAGGACCCCCCAAATCTGCCTCAGGACCCCCCGAAATCCCTCTAGGACCCCCCAAATCCCCCCAAAATCCCACAGGAGTCCCCAAATCTCCCTCAGGACCCCCAAAATTCCCCCCGGGACCCCCCAAATCTCCCTCAGGACCCCCAAAATTCCCCTCAGGACCCCCAAATCTCCCTCAGGACCCCCAAATCTCCCTCAGGACACCCCAAATTCCCCCCGGGACCCCCCAAAATTCCCCTCAGGACCCCCTAAAATTCCCCCCGGGACCCCCCAAAATTCCCTCAGGGCTCCACGGATCCCCCCAATTCCCACCTGGGACCCCCCAAATCTCCCCAAAATCCCCCCAGGAGCCCCCAAATTCCCCCAAGACCCCTCAACCCCCCCCGGGACCCCTCAAAATTCCCCTCAGGATGCCCAAAATCCCCTTAAATCGCCCCCAAACCCCCCAAAATTCCCCCAAATTCCCCCCAGGACCCCCAAAATCCTCTCTGGGCCCCCCCAAAATCCCCCCAGGGCCCCCCAAAACCCCTCTAGGACCCCCCAAAATCCCACAGGAGCCTCAAATCCCCCCTGAGACCCCCCAAAATCCCCTCAAGTCCCCCCAGAATCCCCCAAAATCCCTCAAAAACCCCCCAAATCCTCCCAAAAATCCCCAAATCTCCCTCAGGACCCCCCAAAATCCCCCTCAGGACCCCCCAAAATCCCCTCAAGACCCCCCAGAATCCCCCAAAATCCCTCAAAACCCCCCCAAATCCTCCCAAAAATCCCCAAATCTCCCTCAGGACCCCCCAAATCTCCCTCAGGACCCCCAAACCCCCCCGGGACCCCCAAAATTCCCCCCGGGACCCCCCAAACCCCCCCGGGACCCCCAAAATCCCCCCGGGACCCCCCAAATCTCCCTCAGGACCCCCCAAATCTCCCTCAGGACCCCCCAAAATTCCCTCAGGACCCCCCAAAACCCCCCCGGGACCCCCCAAAACCCCCCCGGCCCCCCGACCCACGCGGGCCCGTTTCAGGTAGAGCATTTGGCTGCCCTGGATGAAGAACCAGCGCCTGGGGAGGGAAAAAGGGAATTTTTGGGGCTTTTTGGGGCTTTTTTGGGAACGTGGGGGAGGGGCTGGGGGGGTTGGGGATTTTGGGGTGGATTGGGGTCATTTCGGGGAGGGTTTGGGGTGATTTTTGAGGTGGTTTTGGGATATTTTGGGGTGATTTTGGTGGTTTTGGGGTGTTTTGAGATGAGTTTTGGAGTATGTTGGGATGTTTTGGGTTTTTTTTTGGTGGTTTTTGGGGTATTTTCAGGTGATTTTTAGTGGTTTTGGGCTGTTTCGGGCTGATTTTGGTGTTTTTGGGGTATTTCAGGGTGTTTTGGGGTGGATTTATGGTGATTCTGGGGTAATTTTTGGTCTTTTTGGGATATTTTGGGGGGTTTTGGGGTGGGTTTTGGGATATTTTCGGGTGACTTTGGGATATTTTGGGTTGATTTTTGGTGATTTTGGGGTGTTTTGGGATATTTTGGGCTGTTTCGGGCAGCTTTTGCTGTTTTTGGGGTACTTTGGGGTATTTTGGGGTGGTTTTGTGGTGATTTTGGGGTGATTTTTGGTGGTTTGGGGGTATTTTTGGGGTGATTTTTAGCGGTTTTGGGCTGTTCTGGGCTGATTTAGGTGTTTTGGGGTATTTTGAGGTATTTTGGGGAGTTTTGGGGTGATTTTGGGGTGATTTTTGGTGTTTTGGGGTATTTTGGGACGTTTTGGGGTGGTTTTGTGGTGATTTTGGGGCGATTTTTGGTGGTTTTGGGATGTTTTGGGATGTTTTGGGGTGATTTTGGGGTGATTTTTAATGTTTGGGGTTATTTTGGGGTGGTTTTGTGGTGATTTTGGGGTGATTTTGGGGTGATTTTGGGGTGATGTTTGGGGTATTTTTGGGCTGGTTTGGGGGTATTTTTGGGGTGCTTTGGGATGAGATCTGGGGTATTTTTGGGGTGATTTTGTGTTGATTTTGGGGTGATGTTTGGGGTATTTTTGGGGTGCTTTGGGATGAAATTTGGGGTGGTTTTGGGGTGAGGTTTGGGGTGTTTTGGGCTGAGGTTTGGGGTATTTTTGGGGTGATTTTGGGTGATTTTGGGGTGATTTTGGGGTATTTTTGTGGTGATTTTGGGGTGATTTTGGGGTGATGTTTGGGGTATTTTTGGGCTGGTTTGGGTGTATTTTAGGGGTGCTTTGGGATGAGATTTGGGGTATTTTTGGGGTGGTTTGGGGTGGTTTTGGGCTGAGGTTTGGGGTATTTTTGTGGTGATTTTGGGGTGATTTTGGGGTGATGTTTGGGGTATTTTTGGGCTGGTTTGGGGGTATTTTTGGGGTGCTTTGGGATGAGATTTGGGGTATTTTTGGTGTGATTTTGGGTGATTTTGGGGTGCTCAGGGTGTTCCATACCTGCTCCAGGTGCGGAAGGCGTTGCTCGCTCGCTTGTACAGGTAACCCTCCATGGGAGGGGCCTCAGGCCCCGCCCCCGCCGCGGCCACGCCCACCTCCTCCCGCGATAGGTCCTGGGAGCCGCCAATCAGCACAGGCCACGCCCACGGCTCCGCCCACCACCCAAACCACACCCCCACCGGAGCTGTCAATCAAACTGATCCTTCCCCGAGCTGTCAATCATCTCCAATAGAGCTGCCAATCAAATTAGCTCCGCCTTAAGCTGTCAATCAATTCTACCACAGCTGTCAATCAAGGCCTGGCCACGCCCCTTATCTCCCATTAGTCCCGAGGGTTTAAGCCCCACCCCTCCCCGAGCTGTCAATCAAACTGATCCTTCCCCGAGCTGTCAATCAATTCTAGCACAGCTGTCAATCAAAGCTTGGCCACGCCCCTCATTCCCCATTAAGCTCCACCCTCCCCGAGCTGTCAATCAAACTGATCCCCTCCCCGAGCTGTCAATCAAATTGATCCTTCCCTGAGCTGTCAATCAACTCCAATAGAGCTGTCAATCAAATTGGCAATCCCTCAAGCTGTCAATCAACTCCAGTGCAGCTGTCAATCAATGCATGGCCACGCCCCTCAACCCCCATTGGTCCAGAGGGTTTAAGCTCCACCCCCTCCCTGAGCTGTCAATCAAACTGATCTTTCCCTGAGCTGTCAATCAACTCCAGTGCAGCTGCCAATCAAACCCAGGCCCCGCCCAGCCACCTGTCAATCATCCACGCTTAAGGCATGTCAATCACCGCTGGCCACGCCCCCTTAACCAACCGAGCTGCCAATCAACAGCGACCACACCCCTGCTGGGCTGCCAATCACTGAGTCCCGCCCACCACGGCCACGCCCACAATGGCCACGCCCACCCAGGCCACGCCCACCCAGGCCACGCCCACCTGCTGCAGCAGGAGGTGGTGCCGCTGCTCCAGGTCCCGCCGGCGCCGCGCCGCGTCCAGCTGTGCCCGCTCCAGCTGTGCCCGAACACACACACCTGGGCACACCTGGGGTATCCCTGGGTATACCTGGGGGCACCTGAACACACCTGGGCACACTTGGGCACACCTGGGCATCCCTGGGGTATCCCTGGGGGCACCTGGGGCATCCCTAGGGCACACCTGGGCACACCTGGGGACACCTGAGGGATCCCTAGGGCATATCTGGGGGCACCTAAACACACCTGGGGGCATCTGGGGCACATCTGGGCACACCTGGGGGCACCTGGGGCATCCCTAGGGCACACCTGGGCACACCTGGGGCACACCTGGGGCACACCTGGGGTACCCCTGGGCACAACTGGGGCACACCTGGGCACACCTGGGGGCACCTGGGGGCATCTGGGGGATCCCTAGAGCACATCTGGGGGCACCTTGGGCACACCTGGGCACACCTTGGCACACCTGGGGGCACCTGGGGGCATCTGGGACATCCCTAGGGCACACCTGGGGCACACCTGGGGCACACCTGGGCACACCTGGGCACACCTGGGCACACCTGGGCTCACTTGGGCACACCTGGGGCATCCCTAGGGCACACCTGGGCATCCCTGGGGCACACCTGGGCACACCTGGGGGCACCTGGGCACACCTGGATTTTGCAGGGGGTCTCTGGAAATATTTTAGGTGTTTTTGGGGGTTTTTTTGGGGGTAATTTGGGGTTTTTTTGGGGTCCCCGCCTCACCTGCGCCCCCAGGTGTCCCCGGTAGTCGCGGGTCGCTGTCTCCCCCTGGTGGCCGCAGGTGAAAAACGCGGCCTGAGCCTCCAGCAGGGACAGCACCTGGGGGGGGGGTCAGGGGGGGTCAGGGGGGTCTGGGGCACCCCCAAAACCCCACCGGGACCCCCCAGACCCCTCCCCAAAGTCAGCGAGCCCCAAACCCCCCCAGGAACCCCAAAACCCCCCACCCAGGAACCCCCCCAAAAACCCCCCCCCACAAAACCCGTGACTCTCAGATTCCCTCCCCAAATCTCCCCAAAAAACCCAAAACCCCCCCAAAATTCCCCCCAAAATTCTCCCCAGGACTCCCAAAACTTTCCAGGACCCCTCCAAAATTCCCTCAGACCCCCCCACCTCAGTACCACCCATAGACCCCCCAAAACCCACCCAGACCCCCCAAGAACTTCCCCCAGACCCCCCCGGACCCCCCTAAAGCCCCCAGGACCCCTCCGAACCCCAAAACTCTCTCAGCCCCCCAAAATCTCCCCAAAACCCCCAAATTTCCCTGTTTTGGGGTGCTCAGAGCCCCCCAAATCCAGCCCAGGGACCCCTTGAGACCCTCAATGACCCCCCCGGACCCCCCAAAATCCAACCCAGGGACCCCCCCGAGACCCTCAGGGACCGCCAAACCCTCCCAGGGCCCCCGAAAATCCTCAGAACCCCCAAAAAAGCCCCAAATTTGGCTCACAAATTGCAGAATTTCCGTTTTCTGCCGGTCCTGCAGCACCTTCAGCTGAGGGGGGCGGGGCAGGTAAGGGCGGGGCCAGGCCACGCCCCTCGAGGCCACACCCACTGACCCCACCCTGTAACGTCACTCATGTGTGGCCCCGCCCCTTTAGGCATAGTTAAGGCACGCCCCAATTAGGCCACGCCCACTAAAATAAACCATGCCCATATTTGGGGTGTAACCCAGCCCCACCCCATTAAGCCACGCCCACTTATTTAAGCCACACCCAATTCCTGTTTAAGCCACGCCCACCTTTAGGACATAGTCCCGCCCTTTGGCCACACCCAGTTTAACCCCACCCACCCAGTGTTAACTCCGCCCACCCACCCAATTTAGCCCCACACACCTTTGGGACATAGTCCCGCCCCCTGGCCACACCCATTGATTTAAGCCACGCCCACCCAATTAAGCCCCGCCCACCTTTAGGACATAGTCCCGCCCCCGGCCACGCCCATTGATTTAAACCCCGCCCACCCAGTTTAACCCCGTCCACCTATTAAGCCCCGCCCACCTGTAGGACGTAGCCCCACCCCATGCCACACCCAGTTTAACCCCACCCACCGAATTAAGCCCCGCCCACCTGCAGGACATAATCCCGCCCCTTGGGCACACCCATGGCTCTAAGCCACGCCCACTCAGTTTAACCGCACCCCAGTTAAGCCCCACCCACCTGGAGGATGTAGTCCCGCCCCGGCCACACCCATGGCTTTAAGCCACGCCCACACAGTTTAACCACGCCCACCCATTTAAGCCCCACCCACCTTTAGGTCATAGTCCCGCCCCGGCCACACCCATTGATTTAAGCCTCGCCCACCCAATGTTAACCCCACCCACTGAATTAAGCCCCGCCCACCTTTAGGACATAGTCCCGCCCCCTGGCCACACCCATGGATTTAAGCCCCGCCCACCCAGTTCAACCCCGCCCACCCAATTAAGCCCCGCCCACCGAATTAAGCCCCACCCACCTGGAGGATGTAGTCCCGCCCCCTGGCCACACCCAGTGTTAACCCCGCCCACCGAATTAAGCCCCGCCCACCCTGAGAACATAATCCCGCCCTCTGGCCACACCCATGGAGTTAAGCCCCGCCCCTGAATTAAGCCCCGCCCACCTGCAGGACGTAGTCCAGCCCCCGGGCCCTGGCCACGCCCCTGGCCCCGCCCAGCGCCGCCGCCGCCGCCGCGGCCTCCAGGGGGCGCCGCCGGGGGGTCTCCGCGTGGTGCTGCAGCGCCCCCTGCAGGAGATCGGCCGCGCGCGAACGGGCCCGGCCCGCGGAGAGGAGAGAGCGCAGGGAGCTGGGGAGAGACGGAGTGGGGAAACGGGCAAAAATGGGGTTAGAACAGAGAAAAATGGGGAAAAACAACAGCCAAAAATGGGAGAAAATGGCAAAAAATGGGGTTAGAATGACCGAAAGTGGGGGAAAACGGCCGAAAATGGGGGAAACGGACAAAAATGGGGTTAAAACAGACAAAAACGGGGTTAAAACAGCTAAAAATGGGGTCAGGACAGCCAAAATGGGGAAAAACGGCCTAAAATGGGGTTGTAACAAGGGAAAATGGGGTTAGAACAGCCAAAATTGGGGAAAAACGGCCAAAAATGGGGAAAAACAGCCAAAAATGGGGGAAAATGGCCAAAATTGGGGAAAAACAGCCCAAAATGGGGTCAGGAAAGCCGAAATGGGGGAAAACGGCCAAAAATGGGGGAAAACAGCCAAAAATGGGGAAAACAGCTGAATATGGGGAAAAACGGCTGAAAATGGGGTCAGGACAGCCGAAAATGGGGTCAGGACAATCAAAATGGGGAAAAACAGCCAAAAATGGGGGAAAATGGCCAAAAGTGGGGAAAAACAGACAAAAATGGGGTCAGGACAGCCAAAATGGGGAAAAACAGCCAAAAAGGGGGTCAGGAAAGCCGAAATGGGGTTAAAACAGCCACAAATGGGGTCAGGACAGCCGAAATGGGAAAAACAGCCAAAAATGGGGTTAGAATGGCCAAAAATGGGAAAAACAGCCAAAAATGGGGTCAGGACAGGCGAACATGGGGTCAGGACAGCCAAAATGGGGAAAAACAGCCAAAAGTGGGGGAAAGTGGGCAAAAATGGGGTCAGGACAGCCGAAAATGGGGTTAAAACAGCTGAAAATGGGAGAAAACGGACAAAAATGGGGTTAGAACAGACAAAAATGGGGAAAACAATCCAAAATGGGGGAAAACAGACAAAAACGGGGTTAGAATTGCCAAAAATGGGGTTAGAATGGCCGAAAGTGGGGGAAAACGGCCGAAAATGGGGGAAACGGACAAAAATGGGGTTAGAACAGACAAAAATGGGGGAAAACAGACAAAAACGGGGTTAAAACAGCCAAAAATGGGGTCAGGACAGCACAAATGGGGAAAAACGGCTGAAAAAGGTGGAAAACAGCCAAAAATGGGGTTAGAATGGCCAAAAATGGGGTTACAACGGCCAAAAATGGGGTAAAATGGCCAAAATGGGGTCAGGACAGCCAAAAATGGGGTCAGGACAGCAAAAATGGGGGAAACCAGCCAAAAATGGGGGGAAATGGCCAAAAATGGGGTTAAAACAGCCAAAAATGGGGTCAGGACACCCAAAAATGAGGTCAGGACAGCCAAAATGGGGAAAAACAGCTGAAATGGGGAAAAACAGCCAAACATGGGGTCAGGACAGCCAAAAATGGGGTTAGAACAGGGGAAGATCGGGTTAGAACAGCCAAAAATGGGATTGAAACACAAAAAATGGTGTTAGAACAGCCAAAAACGGGGTTCGGGCAGGGGAAAATGGGATTGAAACACAAAAAAGTGGTGTCTCCCCCAAATCCGCCTGAAATCCCCCCAGGACCCCCAAAATCTCCCCCAGATCCCTCCAGGCCCCCCAAAGTCCCCCTGGGACCCCCAAAATCTCCTCATGATTCCCCCCAAAATCTCCCCCCAAATCCCCCCCAAATGTCCCAAAATCCCCTGAAATCCCCTGAAACCCCCCAAATCGCTCCCAAATTTCCCGAAATCTCCCCAAATCCCCCCAAAATCCCCCCCGTCCCCCCTCACTGGCCCAGCGGCTCCAGGTGCCTCCCGAGGGCGCTCTGGGTGCAGCTCCGCAGCTCCTGGGGGCGGGGCCAGGGAAAAGGGGCGTGGTCAGAGCCAGAGGGGCGGGGCAAGGCGGGGCGGGGCCAATCAGGGCGTGGTCATGAATAAAAGGGGCGTGGCCAGGCAGAAAAGGGGCGGGGTCAGACCCAGAGGGGCGGGGCAAGGCGGGGTGGGGCCAATCAGGGGCGTGGTCATGAATAAAAGGGGGCGGGGCAGAGGTGGGTGGGGCTCGAGGAAGGGGCGCGGCTTGGCGGGAATCTCGCGGGAATTTGGTGGGATTTTGGCGGGAATTTGGCGGGAATTTGGCGGGAATTTGGCGGGAATTTGGCAGAAATTTGGCGGGATTTTGGCGGGAATTGGGTGGGAATTTGGCGGGAATTTTGCAGGAATTTGGCGGGAATTTGGCGGGAATCTGGCGGGAATTTGGCGGGAATTTGGTGGGAATTGGGCGGGAATTTGGCAGGAATTTGGCGGGATTTTGGCAGGATTTTGGCGGGAATTTGGTGAGAATTTGGCGGGATTTTGGCGGGAATTTGGTGGGAATTTGGTGGGAATTTGGTGGGAATTGGGCGGGAATTTGGCAGGAAATTGGCGGGAATTTGGCAGGAAGTTGGTGGGATTTTGGCAGGAATTGGGTGGTAATTTGGGGAGAAATTGGCAGGAATTTGGTGGGAATTTGGCAGGATTTTGGCGGGAATTTAGCGGGATTTTGGTGGGAATTTGGCGGGATTTTGGCGGGAATTTGGTGGGAAATTGGGGGGATTTTGGTGGGACTTGAGTGGGAATTTGGTGTGAATTTGGCGGGAATTTCGCAGGAATTTGGCGGGGGAAATGGGCGTGGTCTTGTAGGAAATGGGCGTGGCCAAGTAACGGGTGTGGTGCACCGAGGTTTGAGATTATGCAAATGAGGGGCGGGGTTTAGGAGAATGGGTGTGGTCAGCACAAGTGGGCGTGGCTTGAATAGAAGGGGTGTGGCTTAAAGGGGCGTGGACTGGGAAGAGGCGTGGCCAGGGAAGGGGGCGTGGCCTGTGAAGGGGGCGTGGCCTGCTGACCTCGTGGCTGTCCATCATCTGCTCCAGGGAGTCACAGAACTTCTCCAGAGCCTCCTGCGGGACCCCAAAATTCACCCCCGGGACCCCAAAATTCACCCCTGGGACCCCAAAATTCACCCCTGGGACCCCAAAATTCACCCCGGGACCCCAAAATTCACCCCTGGGACCCCCAAATTCACCCCAGGGACCCCAAAATTCACCCCTGGGACCCCAAAATTCACCCCGGGACCCCAAAATTCACCCCTGGACCCCAAAATTCACCCCGGGACCCCAAATTCACCCCTGGGACCCCCAAAATTCACCCCTGGGACCCCCAAAATTCGCCCCTGTGACCCTAAAATATCCTGGGACCCCAAAATTCACCCCTGGGGCCCCCAAAATTCACCCCTGGGACCCCAAAATTCACCCCAGGGACCCCAAAATTCATTCCTGAACCCCCCAAAACTCTCCAGGACCCCCAAACCAACCCAGGACCCCAAACATTCTTCTCAGGATCCCCAAAATTCCCACTGGGGACCCCCAAATTCCCACCAAGGAACCCAAAATTCACCCCAAGGCCCCCCCAAACCCCCTGGCAGCCCCAAAACACCCCAGAACCCCCAAAATTCCTCTCGGGACCCCCAAACCTCCTTCCAGACACCCCAAAATTCCCCCCAGGGATCCCCAAAATTCCCCCCGAGGGCCCTCAAAGCCACCCAAGACCTCCCAGGACCCCAAATTTGGGGCTCTCCCCCAGCCAGGACCCCCCAAACTCGGGGTTCTGCCCCCCCCCATGGGGTTTTTGGGGGTCTCACCCGCACCAGGGGGTCCCCCCGGGGGGTCCCCGCCAGCTCCCGGAGCCCCGCGGCGAAGGCGCGGCTGGAAACTTCCAGAACCCGGCCGGCCTCCAGCACGGCCGAGCAGAGCTTCAGCACCTGGAGCCCCAAAAACTGCCGGAATCACCCCAAAATCTGCCCCAAAATCCACCCAAAAATCCACCCCAAAATCCCCAGCACGGCCGAGCAGAGCTTCAGCACCTGGGAACCCCAAAAACTGCCGGAATCACCCCAAAATCTGCCCCAAAAACCACCCCAAAAATCCCCAGCACGGCCGAGCAGAGCTTCAGCACCTGGCACCCCAAAAATTGACAGAATCACCCCAAAATCTGCCCCAAAATCTGCCCCAAAAACCGCCGGAATCACCCCAAAATCCGCCCCAAAATCTAACCCCAAAAACTGACAGAATCACCCCAAAATCTGCCCCAAAATGCACCCAAAATCCACCCCAAAAATCCCCCAAAATTCCCCGAAAATCCACCCCAAAAATCCCCAGCACGGCCCAGCAGAGCTTCAGCACCTGGAGCCCCAAAAACCGCTGGAATCACCCCAAAATCTGCCCCAAAAATCCACCCCAAAAATCCCCAGCAGAGCTTCAGCACCTGGGACCCCAAAAATTGACAGAATCACCCCAAAATCTGCCCCAAAATCTGCCCCAAAAATCCCCAGCACGGCCCAGCAGAGCTTCAGCACCTGGAACCCCAAAAACTGTCGGAATCACCCCAAAATCCACCCTGAAAATCCCCTCAAAATTCCCCCAAAATCCCCTGAAAATCCGCCCCAGAATCCACCCCAAAATTCCCCTTAAATCCCCCCAAAATCCACCTAAAAATTCCCTCAAAATCCACCCCAAAATTCCCCTTAAATCCCCCCAAAATTTCCCCAAAATCCCCCCAAATCCCCCCAAACCCACCCAAAAATCCCCAGCGCGGCTGCAGCCCCTGAGACCCCAAAACCCCCAAAACCCCCCAAAATCGCCCCAAATTTGGGGTCCCCCTCCCCCCAAACCTTCTCCAGGTGAGTCTCGAGTTCGGCCGCGTCCGCGGCGGCCTCGTCCAGCGCGGCCCTGGGGAGGGGGCAGGGGGGATTTTGGGGGGATTTGGGGGGGATTTGGGGGGGATTTGGGGGTCCCAGGAGGGTTTGGGGGGCATTTTGGGGGTCCCAGGAGGGTTTTGGGGGGATTTTGGGGGGAATTTGGGGGTCCTGGGGGGATTTTGGGGGGATTTGGGGGGTCCTCGGGGAATTTTGGGGGGTCCTGGGGGGATTTTGGGGGTCCTGGGGGGGATTTTGGGGGGATTTGGGGGGTCAGGAGGGATTTTGGGGGGGATTTTGGGGGTCCTGGGGGGGGTTTGGGGGGATTTGGGGGGATTTTGTGGGGTTAGGGGGGACTTTGGGGGGATTTTGGGGGGAATTTAGGGGGTCCTGGGGGGATTTGAGGAGATTTTGGGGGGTCCTGGGGGATTTTGGGGGGATTTTGGGGGGTCCCAGGGGGGAATTTGGGGGGTTTGGGGGGATTTCAGGGGGTCCTGGGGGGATTTGGGGGGTCCCGGGAGGGTTTTGGGGGGATTTGAGGAGATTTTGGGGGCTCAGGGGAGATTTTGGGGGGTCCTGGGGGGATTTTGGGGGGAATTTGTGGGGTCCCAGGGGGATTTGGGGGGTTCCAGGAGGGTTTTGGGGGGTCCTGGAGGGATTTTGGGAGGTTGTGGGGGGATTTGGGGGGTCCTGGGGGGATCTGAGGAGATTTTGGGGGTCCCAGGAGGGTTTTGGGGGGATTTGGGGGGGTCCCAGGAGGATTTTTGGGGGTCAGGGGGGTCCTGGAGGGATTTGGGGAGATTTTTGGGGGGTCAGGATGGGTTTGGAGGGTCCCAGGAGGGTTTGGGGGGGTCAGGGGGGTCCTGGAGGGATCTGGGGGGGAATTTGTGGGGTTATGGGGGACTTTGGGGGGATTTTGGGGGGTCCTGGAGGGATTTGGGGGGTCCTGGGGGGATTTTGGGGGGTCCTGGGGGGATTTTGGGGGGTCAGGGGGGACTTTGAGGGGAATTTGGGGGGTCCGGATGAGTTTTGGGGGATTTTGGCGGGAATTTGGGGGGTCCTGGAGGGATTTGGGGGGTCCTGGGGGGATATGGGGGAGAATTTGTGGGGTTAGGGGGGACTTTGGGGGGATTTTGGGGATTTTGGGGGGGCCCAGGAGGGTTTTGGGGGGATTTGGGGGGTCCTAGGGGGGGTTTGGGGGGTCCTGGGGGGATTTGGGGGGTCCCAGCAGGGTTTTGGGGGGTCAGGGGGGACTTTGGGGGGTCCCAGGGGGATTTGGGAGGATTTTGGGGGGTCAGGATGAGTTTTGGGGGATTTTGGGGGGAATTTGGGGGGTTTGGGGGTCCTGGGGGGTCCTGGGGGGTCCTGGGGGGTCCTGGGGGATTTTGGGGGGATTTTGGGGGATTTGAGGGATTTTAGGGTCGGGGGGGGATTTGGGGGGGATTTGAGGGATTTTGGGCAGTTTTGGGGTCCCTGGGTGGGGGAGGGGCGGGTTTGGGGCGGTTTTGGGGCAGTTTTGGGGTCCCTGGGTGGGGGAGGGGCGGTTTTTGGGGCGGTTTTGGGGCGGTTTTTGGGGATTTTGGGGCCCCTTCCGGAGCCGTTTCCGGAGGCGCCGCCGCAGCACCGGGGGGGGGGGGGGGGGGTGGGGGAGGGGCGGGGGAGCCCCAAAATCGGCCTCGAGCAAAATCCCATTTTGGGGACAAAATCCCATTTTGGGTACAAAATTCCCAGTTTTGGTACAAAATTCCCTTCTTTGGGTACAAAAATCCCATTTTTTGGGTACAAAATCCCCTTTATTTGGCCCCAAAATCGCCATTTTTTGGATACAAAATTCGCTTTTTTAGTACAAAATCCCATTTTTGGTACAAAATCCCCAGTTTTTGGTACAAAAATCCCGTTTCTTTGGCTAAAAAGTCCCATTTTTTTGGCACAAAATCCCTTTATTTGACCCGAAATCCCCTTTTTTTGGGTATAAAATCCCTTTATTTTCTACAAAATTCTTCCTTTTTGAGGTACCAAAACCGGTTTTTTGTACAAAATCCCTTTTTTGGGTAAAAAAATCCCTATTTTTGGGTACAAAATCTCAGTTTTTGGGTACAAAATCCCCATTTTTGGCTACAAAATCCCATTTTTGGGTACAAAATCCCAATTTTGGGTACAAAATCCCCATTTTTGGTACAAAATCCCCATTTTGGTACAAAATCCCCATTTTTGGTTATAAAATCCCTTTTTTGGGTACAAAATCCCCACTTTTGGGTACAAAATCCCTTCTTTGGGTACAAAAATCCCATTTTTTGGTACAAAATCCCCTTTATTTGGCCCAAAATCGCCATTTTTTGGGTACAAAATTTCCATTTTTTGGCACAAAATCCCTTCATTTGGCCCCAAATCCCCTTTTTTGGGTACCAAAATTGGGTTTTTTTGGTACAAAATTTCCCTTTTTTAGTACAAAATCCCTTTTTTTGGTAGAAAATCCCTTTATTTGGGTACAAAATCCCCATTTTTGGGTACTAATCCCCCTTTTTTTTGGTACAAAATCCTCTTTTTTGTGTACAAAATCCCGTTCTTTTTGTCCAAAAACCCTTTATTTTGTACAAAATTCCCCCTTTTTAAAAAAATCCCCATTTTTGGGTACAAAATTCACTTTATTTGGCCCAAAATCCCTTTTTTTTAGTATAAAATCCCCTTTTATGGGCATTAAACTCCTTTTTTGGGTAGAAAATCCTGGTTTTTTTGCACAAAATCCCTTTATTTTGTACAAATTCCCTGGGGGGAATTTTGGGGGGATTTGAGGAGTTTTGGGGGGTCCTGGGAAGATTTTGGGGGGATTTGAGGGAATTTTGGGGAGATTTTGGGGGTCCCGGGAGGGTTTGGGGGGAATTTTGGGGGGTCTCCGTGGGGGGAAAGTTTGGGGGATTTTTTGGGAGGGTTTGGGGGCAATTTTGGGGTTTTTTGGGGGGATTTTAGGGGGAATTTTGGGGTATTTTGGGGGGGATTTGGAGGGAATTTTGGGTTTTTTTGGGGAGAATTTTGGATTTTCTTCGGGGAGGTTCCGGGTAGGTTTTTTGGGAAATTTCGAGGGGGTCCCGGGGGTCTTTTGGAGTTTTTTTGGGGGGAATTTGGGGGTTTTTTTGGGAGGATTTTTGGGGAGATGTTGGGGTTTTTTGGGGTTTTTTTTGGGGTACCTGAACCACGGCGAGTCCCTCAGACACTCCTCGAAATCCAACTCCACCGTCATGGCTGGGGGGGCCGGGGGGATTTTGGGGGGATTTGGGGGGATTCTGGGGGGTTTGGGAGGATTTTGGGGGTCCCTGGGAGATTTTGGGGGTCCTGGGGTGGGTTTGAGGGTGCCGGGGTTTTGGGGAGGGGTCCTGAGGGGATTTTGGGGGGTCCCGGGGGGGTTCCGGGGGATTTTAGGGGAGTTTTGGGGAGGATTTTGGGGGGGTTTGGGAGGATTCTGGGGATCCCGGGGGGATTTTGGGGGTATTTTGGGGTTCCCTGGAGGGAATTTGGGGGTCCTGGGGGGGATTTGGGGGTCCTGGGGGGCCTCTGGGGGAGTTTTGAGGGGGTTTGGGGGAGGTTTTGGGGGTCCCGGGGGGATTTTGGGGGGTCCCGGGGGATTTTGGGGGGTCTCGGGGGTTTTGGGGGGGGGGTTTTGGGGGATTTTGGGGGGTCCCGGGGGGATTTTGGGGGGTCCCGGGGGGGTTTTGGGGGGTCCCGGGGGGGGTTTGGGGGGTCCCGGGGGGTTTGGGGGGATTTTGGGGAGGATTTTGGGGGTCCCGGGGGGGTTTGGGAGGATTTTGGGGGGTCCCGGGGGATTTTTGGGGGGTCCCGGGGGGATTTTGGGGGTCCCGGGGGGATTTTGGGGAGGATTTTGGGGGGTCCCGGGGGGATTTTGGGGGTCCCGGGGGGGATTTTGGGGGTCCCGGGGTGGGTTTGGGGGGATTTTGGGGGTCCCGGGGGGATTTTGGGGGGTCCCGGGGGTATTTTGGGGGTCCCGGGGGGGTTTGGGGGGTCCCGGGGGGATTTTGGGGAGGATTTTGGGGGTCCCGGGGGGTTCGGGGCCGGTGCCGGGCCGTGGCTGTCGCCGCCGGGGCCGGACCGGGAACGGGAACGGCTCCGCCCCGGGGAGGGACCGGGGGAGGGACCGGGGGGTTTGGGGGTGCGGGGGGGATTTGGGGGGTTTGGGGGAGAATTTGGGGGTTTGGGGGGGATTTGGGGGGGATTTGGGGTGATGGGAGGGGGATTTTTGGGGATTTTGGGGGAATTTGGGGGTCGGAGAGGAGGATTTGGACGATTTGGGGGGCATTTTGGGGGATTTGGGGGCCCAAAGGGGGATTTGGGGTGATGGAAGAGGGATTGAGGGGATTTGTGGGGGATTTGTGGGGGATTTTGGGGGGATTTTGAAGATTTGGGGGGATTTGGGGGGGTTTGGGGGGATTTGGGTGGATTAGGGGGAATTTGGGGGAGATTTGGGGACATTTTTGGGGTAAGGGGCGAGATTTGGGGGGTTTGGGGGTTCGGGGGGAGAATTTGGGGCGTTTGGGGGGATTTGGGGTGATCGAAGGGGGATTTGAGGGGGGGATTTGTGGGGATTTGTGGGGTTCGAGGGAGATTTGGGGTGGTGGAGGGAGATTTGGGGGGATTTGGAGTGAGGGAGGGGGGATTTTGGGGGATTTTGGGGGTTTGGAGAGGGGAATTTGGGGGATTTGGGGGAGATTGGGGTGATTTTGGGGGATTTTTGGGGATTTTGGGGGAATTTGGGGGGATTTTGGAATTGGGATGGATTTTAGGGGGAATTTGGGGGTCGAGGGGCGTTTGGAGGGGAATTTTGGGGATTTTTTGGGAGGATTCGGGGTGATTTTAGGGGTTCGGGGGAGGATTTGGGGTGTGGGGGAAAGTGGGGAGGAAAATTTGGGATTTGGGGGAGATTTGAGGGGGATTTTGGGGGAAATTGAAGGGATTTGGGGAAAATTGGGGTTCGAGGGGGACTTGGGGTGAATTCGGGTGGATTTGGGGCGATTGGGGGGGATTTGAGGGGAATTTGGAGGAATTTGGGAATTTTGGGGAGAATTTGATAATTTTGGGTGGAAATTGGGAATTTTGGGGTGAATTTGGTTGGATTTGGGGCGATTGGAGAGGATTTGAGGGGAATTTGGAGGAATTTGGGAATTTTGGGGAGAATTTGAGAACTTTGTGTGGAAATTGGGAATTTTGGGGAAAATTTGCGAATTCTGAGGGAAATTTTGGGTGAATTTCTGTTGAGGGCGGGGGAGCAGCACCACGAACCCCTAATTACCCTAATTACCATTAATTCCAACCCTTCACATCCTGGACGGCACCTCTTGATTAATTAACTCCTAATTAGCGCTAATTACCCCCAGTAACCCCACGGCACCCCCTCGCTGCCGCTTTATTCCCCTCCCCACGAGCCCCCCGCGCTAATTACCGCGGCCCGTTAATTAATGAGCGCCGTTGCCAGGCAGGGCCTGTCCCCATGGCAACCGTTGCCGGGGCGCTGCCGTAAAGCGAGGAAGGGCTATGAGGGGCCTCACCGCCGCTCTGCCGTCAAGCGAGGAAGGCGGTTCTGAGGGGCTGCCGTAAAGCGCTGCCACATTAAAACCACGGAGGGAAACAACCCCAGCGGGGTGGGGGAGGGCGAGAAGGGCGGGGGAGGGGAAATTCGGATGAGGAAAGCGCTGAGAGAGGGGGAGGGACACCACAGCGCGCTTTTAACGGTGGAAAAATAACCTGGAGTGACTCTGTCGGCGCACGGCCGTGAAGCGAGGCAAGCCGTGAAAATGTCGCGAAACGTCGCAAAAGCGTCGCGCCGGCGGCGGGGCCCGGCGGGGCGGGACGGAGCGATGGCGGCGCCGGGGCCCGGCGGCGGCTCCGGCGGGGCGGCCTCGGCAGGAGCCCCGGGAGGAGCCCCGGGAGGAGCCCCGGGAGGAGCCCCGGGGCCGCCCCCGGAGCTGCACCCGCGCTGCGGCCGCCTCGTGTCGCTGTCGCAGGGCGGCCGCAGCGCCGCCAGGGCCCAGCCGGGCCAGGAGTTCAACCACGGGCTGGTGCTGAGCCGGGAGCCGCTGAGGCCCGGCCGCGTCTTCACCGTGAGGATCGACAGGAAGGTGCGGGGGGAACTGGGGGAACTGGGGGGACTGGGGGGACTGGGAGGGACTGGGAGGGGGATGGAGGGGAATGGAGGGGACTGGGAGGGGGATGGAGGGGACTGGGAGGGGGATGGAGGGGACTGGGAGGGGGATGGAGGGGACTGGGAGGGACTGGGAGGGACTGGGAGGGACTGGGAGGGACTGGGAGGGACTGGGAGGGGGATGGAGGGGAATGGAGGGGACTGGGAGGGGACTGGGGGGTACTGTGAGGGAGATGGGGATATTGGGAGGGAACTGGGAATGACTGGGAATGACTGGGAGGGGACTAGGATGGACTGGGAGGGACTGGGAGAGGACTGGGAATAACTGGGAGGGAGATGGGGGTATTGGGAGGGACTGGGACGGGACTGGGAATGACTGGGAGGAGATTAGGATGGACTGGGAGGGACTGGGAAGGACTGGGAGGGGGATGGAGGGGACTGGGGGGTACTGGGAGGGGGATGGAGAGGACTGGGGGATACTGGGAGGGACTGGGAGGGACTGGGAGGGGGATGGAGGAGACTGGGAATGACTGGGAGGGAACTGGGGGTACTGGGAGCGGACTGGGAGGCGACTGGGAAATACTGGGAGAGAAGATAGGGTAGACTGGGAGCAACTGGGAGGGACTGGGAGACCGTAGGAGAGGGATGGGGGGGGGACTGGAGAGGACTGGGAGGAGGTTGGGATGGACTGGGAGGGACTGGGAGGGACTGGGAGAGGGATGGAGGGGACTGGGGGGGACTGGGAGGGACTGGGAGCAACTGGGAGCAACTGGGAGACGAGATGGGGGCACTGGGAGGGAACTGGGAGGAGGTTGGGAGAGACTGGAGGGGAACTGGGAGGGACTGGGAGAGGAACTGGGGTAGACTGGGAGGAACTGGGAGGGTGATGGGGGGGAACTGGGAGGGACTGGGAACAAACTGGGTTATACTGGGAGGGACTGGGTTATACTGGGGGGGAATTGGGTTATACTGGGAGGGACTGGGTTATATTGCGTTATACTGGGCTATACTGGTAATGACTGGGTTATACTGGGTTGTGTTGGTTTATACTGGTAATGACTGGGTTATATTGGGTTGTATTGGTTTATACTGGGAGGGACTGGGTTATACTGGGTTGTATTGGTTTATACTGGTAATTACTGGGCTGTGGTGTGTTATATTGGTTTATACTGGGAATGACTGGTTTATACTGGGAATGACTGGGTTATACTGGGAATGATGAGGTTATACTGGGAATGACGGGGTTATACTGGGAATGACTGGGTTATACTGGGCTCTACTGGGAATGACTGAGCTATACTGGTTTATACTGGGTTAGATGGGATTATACTGGCAATGGCTGGGTTATACTGGTTTGTACTGGGATATGGACTCAGTTATACTGGGTTATACTGGGAAAGACTGGGTTACACAGAATTATACTGGGAATGACTGGTTTATACTGGTTTGTACTGGGCTTCCCCATTTGCAGGTGAAGTCATGGAACGACTCTACCGAAACACCCTCCAAATTCCATTTTATTCCCATTTTACCTCCCAAGATCTCATTTTTTCCCTATTTTTTCCCATTTTAACCCTGTTTTTTCCCATTTTCTCCCCATTTCCAGGTGAACTCATGGAGTGGCTCCACCCAAACCCTCCCTAAATCCCATTGTATTCCCATTTTACCCCCAAAAATCCCATTTTTTCCCCATTTTACCCCTAAAACGTTTCCCAAATCCCATTTCTTTCCCATTTTCAGGTGAACTCATGGAATGGCTCCACCCAAACCCTCCCTAAATCCCATTGTATTCCCATTTCACCCCCAAAAATCCAATTTTTTCCCCATTTTACCCCCAAAAATCACATTTTTTTCGGTTTTTTGTGCATTTTTTCGCCGTTTTTTCCCATTTTTTTTATTTTTCACCCAATTTCCCCCCATCTCCTCCTGTTTTTTAGGTGAACTCATGGAGCGGCTCCACCCAAACCCTTCCTAAATCCCATTTTATTCCCATTTTACTCCCAAAAATCCAATTTTTTTCCCCATTTTATCCCCCAAAATCACATTTTTTCACCGTTTTTTCCCATTTTCACCCCGTTTCTCCCCATTTCCAGGTGAACTCGTGGAGCGGCTCCATCGAGGTGGGCGTCACGGCCCTGGACCCGCCGTGCTGGACTTCCCCAGCAGCGCCACGGGGACCCCAAACCCCGATTTTTTCCCATATTAACCCTGAAAATTCCCATTTTCTCCCCGTTTTTTCCCATTTTTTCCCATTTTGATCCCATTTCTCCCCATTTCCAGGTGAACTCATGGAACGACTCCACCGAAACCCTCCCTAAATCCCATTGTATTCCCATTTTACCCCCAAAAATTCCATTTTCCCCCCATTTTTTCCCATTTTATTTCTTTTTCACCCATTTTTCCCCATTTTCCCCCATTTCCAGGTGAACTCGTGGAGCGGTTCCACCCAAACCCTTTCTAAATCCCATTTTATTCCGATTTTACCCCCAAAAATCCCATTTTATTCCCATTTTACCCCCCAAAATCCCATTTTTTTCTCAATTTTTTCCCATTTTCCCACATTTCCAGGTGAACTCGTGGAGCGGCTCCATCGAGGTGGGCGTCACCGCCCTGGACCCGCCGTGCTGGACTTTCCCAGCAGCGCCACGGGGACCCCAAACCCCGATTTTTTCCCATTTTCACCCCATTTTTTCCCATTTTCCCCTGTTTTTAGGTGAACTTGTGGAGCAGCTCCATCAAACCCTCCCTAAATTCCATTTTTTTCCCATTTTACCCCCCAAAAATCCCATTTTTTTCCGTTTTCACCCCATTTCTCCCATTTTCACCCCATTTCTCCCCATTTGCAGGTGAACTCATGAAACGACTCCACCCAAACCCTCCCTAAATCCCATTTTTTTCCCATTTTACCCCCAAAACCCACTTTTTTTTGTGCATTTTTTTGCCGTTTTTCCCATTTTCACCCCGTTTTTTCCCATTTTCACCCCATTTCATCCCATTTTTTTCCCATTTTCAGGTGAACTCATGGAATGGCTCCACCAAAACCCTCCGTAAATCCCACTTTACCTTTCAAAAATCCCATTTTTTTCCCATTTTACCCCCAAAAATCCCATTTTTTTCTCATTTTACCCCCAAAAATCCCTTTTTTTTTCAATTTAACCCCCAAAAATCCCTTTTTTTTTATTTTTCGCCCAATTTTCCCCCATTTTCTCCGCATTCCCAGGTGAACTCATGGAGCGGCTCCACCGAAACCCTCCCTAAATCCCATTTTTTCCCCATTTTTCCCATTTTTTTTCTTTTTCACCCCGTTTTTTCCCATTTTAACCCCGTTTTTTCCCATTTTTCCCTGTTTTTAGGTGAACTCCTGGAGCGGCTCCATCGAGGTGGGCGTCACGGCCCTGGACCCGCCGTGCTGGACTTTCCCAGCAGCGCCACAGGGACCCCAAACCCCATTTTCCCCCATTTTCTCCCCCTTTTTTCAGAGTTTCCCCATTTTCTCCCCATTTCCAGGTGAACTCATGGAGCGGCTCCACCCAAACCCTCCCTAAATCCCATTTTTTTCTCATTTTACCCCCAAAAATCACATTTTTCCCCATTTTTTCCCATTTTTTTTCTTTTTCACCCTGTTTTTCCCCATTTTCACCCCATTTTCTCCCCATTTGCAGGTGAACTCATGGAACGACTCCACCGAAACCCTCCTTAAATCCCATTTTATTCTCATTTTTTCCCTATTTTTTCCCATTTTCACCCTGTTTTTTCCCATTTTCACCCTGTTTCACCCCAGCTTTTCCCATTTCCAGGTGAACTCATGGAGTGGCTCCACCGAAACCCTCCCTAAATCCCATTTTATTCCCATTTTACCCCCAAAAATCCAATTTTTTTCTCATTTTGGCCCCCAAAATCCCATTTTATTCTCATTTTACCCCAAAAAATACCATTTTTTCCCCAGTTTTTCCCATTTTCACCCCGTTTTTTTCCCATTTTCAGGTGAACTCATGGAATGGCTCCACCCAAACCCTTCCTAAATCCGATTTTATTCCCATTTTACCTCCCAAAATCTCATTTTTTCCCTATTTTTTCCCATTTTCACCCCATTTTTTCCCATTTTCACCCTGTTTTTTCCCATTTTCACCCCATTTTCTCCCCATTTCCAGGTGAACTCATGGAGCGGCTCCACCCAAACCCTCCCTAAATCCCATTTTTTTCTCATTTTACCCCCAAATATCCCATTTTTTTTCTGTTTTAACTGCAAAAATCCCATTTTTTCTCATTTTCTACTCAATTTCTCCCCATCTCCTCCTGTTTTTAGGTGAACTCGTGGAGCGGCTCCACCCAAACCCTTCCTAAATCCCATTTTTTTCCCATTTTACCCCCCAAAATCAGATTTTTTTTGGTTTTTGTGCATTTTTTCAATTTTTCCCCCATTTCTTTCCCATCCCCAGGTGAACTCGTGGAGCGGCTCCATCGAGGTCGGCGTCACCGCCCTGGACCCGGCTGTGCTGGACTTTCCCAGCAGCGCCACGGGGACCCCAAATCCCGTTTTCTCCCCCTTTTTTCAGAGTTTTCCCATTTTCACCCCATTTCTCCCCATTTGCAGGTGAACTCATGGAACGACTCCACTGAAACCCTCCATAAATCCCATTTTTTTCTAATTTTACCCCCAAAAAATCCCATTTTTTTTCAATTTTAACCGCAAAAATTCCCATTTTTTCCCATTTCATTTCTTTTTCACTCAATTTTTCCCCATTTCTCCCCATTTTTAGGTGAACTCCTGGAGCGGCTCCATCGAGGTGGGCGTCACGGCCCTGGACCCCGCCGTGCTGGACTTCCCGAGCAGCGCCACGGGGCTGCGGGGCGGCTCGTGGGTGCTGTCGGGCTGCTCGGTGCTGCGCGACGGCCGCTCCCTGCGCGAGGACTTCGGGCCCGACCTGGACGCGCTGGCCGAGGGCGACCGCGTGGGCGTGGAGGCCACGGCAGCCGGCGAGCTGCGCCTGTGGGTCAACGGCCGCGACTGCGGCGTGGCGGCCGCCGGGCTGCCCCCGCGCGTCTGGGCCGTGGTGGATCTCTACGGGAAATGCACCCAGGTCACCGTGGTGCCCGCGCCCGACGTGCCGCCGGTGCCACCGGTGCCTCCACTGATCACAGAGGTGACCCAGGAGGTGACCCGGGAGGTGGCGGAGGTGGGAGATGAGAGCGGCGCAGCGGCGGGTAGGTGGTGGTGGGGTTTGGGGGGTTTTGGGGGGTTTGGGGTCAATTTTGGGGGTTTTGGGGGAATTTGGGGTCAATTTGGGGGGTTTGGGGGTTTGGGGTGGTGGGAAGGGGGTTTTGGGGGGGTTTGGGGTGGTGGGAAGGGGGTTTGGGGTGGTGGGAAGGGGGTTTTGGGGGGTTTTGGGGTGATGGGAAGGGGGATTTGGGGGGGATTTTGGGGTTTTGGGGGTTTCAGGTAGTGGGAAGAGGGTTTTGGGGTGGTGGGAGGAGGGATTTGGGGTTTTGGGGTGGTGGGAGGAGGGATTTGGGGTTTTGGGGTGGTGGAAAGGGGGTTTTGAGGGGTTTGGGGTGGTGGGAAGGGGGTTTTTGGGGTGGTGGGAGGAGGGATTTGGGGTTTTGGGGTGGTGGGAGGAGGGATTTGGCGTTTTGGGGTGGTGGAAAGGGGGTTTTGGGGGACCTTTGGGGGGGTTTGGGGTAGTGGGAAGGGGGTTTTGGGGTGATGGGAAGGGGGTTTTAGGGAGTTTTGGGGGATTTGGGGTGGTGGGAAGGGTTTTGGGGTGGTAGGAGAGGGGATTTGGGGGGTTTGGGGTGGTGGGAAGGGGATTTCAGGGTTTTGGGGTGGTAGGAGGGGGTTTTGGGGGTTTTGGGGGGGGTTCGGGTGGTGGGAAGGGGATTTGGGGGAAATTTGAGGGGGTTTTGGGCAGTTTGGGGCGTTTGGGGTGGTGGGAAGGGGGATTTGGGGTTTTGGGGTGGTGGGAAGGGGGTTTTGGGGTGGTGGGAAGGGGGTTTTGGGGGTTTGGGGTGGTGGGAAGGGGGTTTTGGGGGGTTTGGGGGTTTGGGGTGGTGGGAAGGGGGATTAGGGTGAATTTGGGGGCAATTTTGGGGGGGTTGGGGGTTTTGGGGTTGTGGGAAGGGGGTTTTGGGGGTTTTGGGGTGGTGGGAGGGGGTATTTCAGGGTTTTGGGGTGGTAGGAGGGGGGAATTGGGGGTTTTGGGGTGGTGGGAAGGGGATTTTAGGGAAATTTGAGGGTTTTGGGCTGGTGGGAAGAGGGTTTTGAGGTGGTGGGAAGGGGATTTAGGGGGGTTTTTGGGGGAATTGGGGGGTTTGGGGTAGTAGGAGGGGGGATTTGGGGGCATTTGGGAACAGTTTGGGGGGTTTGGGGTGTTTTGGGTGATGGGAAGGGGATTTGGGGGGTTTTGGGGGGTTTTGGGGTGGTGGGAAGGGGGTTTAGGGGGAATTTGGGGGTTTTGAGGTGATGGGAAGGGGGGTTAGGGGGAATTTGGGGGCAATTTTGGGGGCGCTTTGGGGGTTTGGGGTGGTGGGAATGGGGTTTTGGGGGTTTTGGGGTGGTGAGAAGGGGGATTAGGGGGGATTTGGGGGTTTTGGGTGGTGGGAACAGGGTTTTGGGGTGGCAGGAGGGGGGTTTTGGGGGGTTTGGGGGGGTTTTGGGGGGTTTGGGGGGTTTGGGGTGGTGGGAAGGGGGATTTGGGGGGGAATTGGGGGTTTTGGTGTGGTCAGAAGGGGGATTTGGGGTGGTGGGAAGGGGGTTTGGGGGTTTTAGGGTGGTGGGAAGGGGGTTTAGGGGGAATTTGGGGGCAATTTTGGGGGGAGTTTGGGGGTTTGGGGTGGTGGGAGGGAGGATTTGGGGGCTTTTGGGGTGGTGGGAAGGGGGTTTTGGGGGGGTTTGGGGTGGTGGGAGGGGGGATTTGGGGGGTTTGGGGTGGTGGGAGGGGGGTTTTGGGGGGCTTTTGGGGGGGTTTGGGGTAGTGGGAAGGGGGTTTTGGGGTGATGGGAAGGGGGTTTTAGGGAGTTTTGGGGGATTTGGGGTGGTGGGAAGGGTTTTGGGGTGGTAGGAGAGGGGATTTGGGGGGTTTGGGGTGGTGGGAAGGGGGTTTTGGGGAGGTTTTGGGGGTGATTTGGGGGTTTTGGGGTGATAGGAAGGGGGTTTTGGGGTGGTGGGAAGGCGTTTTAGGGGATTTTGTGGGGGTTTGGAGTGGTGGGAAGGGGATTTTCAGGGAATTTGGGGGGAGTTTGGGGGTTTATGGTGGTGGGAGGGGGGATTGGGGCTTTTGGGGTGTTGGGAAGGGCGGTTTGGGAAATTTTGGGGGGTTTGGGGTGGTGGGAAGGGGGATTTGGGGGAATTTGGGGGTTTTGGGGTGGTGGGAAGGGGGTTTAGGGGGAATTTGGGGGTTTTGGGGTGGTGGGAAGGGGGTTTAGGGGGAATTTGGGGGGGTTTTGGGGGGTTTGGGGGTTTGGGGTGGTGGGAAGGGGGGATTTGGGGTGAAGGGAAGGGGGTTTTGGGGGAATTTGGGGACAACTTTGGGGGGGTTTGGGGTGGTGGGAAAGGGTATTTGGGGTGGTGGGAAGGGGGTTTAGGGGGAATTTGGGGGGTTTTGGGGGGAATTTGGGGGTTTTGGGGTGGTGGAAGGGGGTTTTGGGGGATTTTGGGGGGTTTTGGTGTGATGGGAGGGGGGATTTGGGGGTTTGGGGTGCTGGGAAGGGGGTTTTGGCGGATTTTGGGCCATTTTGGGGTGGTGGAAAGGGCGTTTTGGGGTATTTTGGGGGCATTTAGGGGGGTTAGGGGCATTTGGGGGAAATTTGGGGATGGGAAGGGGGGGATCTGGTGTCACTGGTGTCACCCACGGGTGTCCCGGGTGTCACCCACGGGTGTCCCCAGTGTCACCCATGGGTGTCCCCCCTGTCCCTCCCCAGCCCCGCCCCCGGCCCCGCCCCGGGCCCCGCCCCAGCCCCGCCCGGACACGTTCCCGAACAGCCTGGAGCCGCCGGGGGGCGGTGAGTGCGGGACACGCCCCTTATGCTAATGAGGGGCTCGGGGGGTGTGGCCAAGTGAGGCATAATTATAACAAGCCACACCCCTTTATGCTAATGAGGGGCTCGGCTGTGGGGTGTGACTCTAACAAGCCACACCCCTTTATGCAAATGAGGGGCTCAGCTGTGGGTGGGGGTGTGGGGCCAACATGGGGTGGAACTCGAGCGCCCATTTCCCCCCATTTTCCCCCAATTTTTCCCCATTTTCCCCATTTCCCCCAATTTTTCCCCATTTCCCCCATTTTCCCCCAATTTTTCCCATATTCCGCCAAATTTTTCCCATTTCCCCCATTTCCCCCATTTCCCCCAATTTTCACAATTTCCCCCATTTTCCCCCATTTTTTCCCGTTTTCTCCAATTTTACCCATTTTTCCCCCATTTCCCCCATTTTTCCCCATATTCCCCCATTTCCCCCCATTTTACCCCCAACTTTTCCTCATTTTTTCCCTGTTTTCCCCCCATTTCCCCCCCACTTTTCCCCCCCATTCCCCCCCACATTTCCCCCCATTTTCCCCCAATTTCCCCTCTTTTTCCCCCCATTTTCCCTGTTTTTTTCCCTAATTTTCCCATTTTTTCCCTTATTTTCTCAATCTTTTCCCCATACTTTTCCCCCTAATTTTCCCCCATTTCCCCCCATTTTTTCCCTAATTTTCCCCAAATTTCCCCCATTTTTTCCCTAATTTTCCCCTAATTTCCCCCATTTTTTCCCTAATTTTCTCAATTTTCCCCCTCCATTTCCCCCTAATTTTCCCCATTTTTTCCCCTAATTTTCCCCATACTTTTCCCCCTCATTTCCCCCCATTCCCCCCAATTTTTTCCCTAATTTCCCCCATTTTCCCCCCATTTCCCCCTTATTTCCCCCCATTTTTCCCTAATTTTCCCCATTTTCCCCCATTTTTCCCCTAATTTTCTCAATCTTTTCCCCATACTTTTCCCCCTAATTTTCCCCCATTTTTTCCCTAATTTTCCCCATTTTTCCCCTAATTTTCCCCATTTTTCCCTAATTTTCCCCATTTTTCCCCAAATCCCCGTTGTTCCCGCAGCGCGCTCCCCGACCAACGAGGCGCTGCTGTTCCACGAGAAGTGCGGGGCTCTGATCAAACTCAGCAACGGCCACAAAACGGCCGAGAGGCGGCGGCCGCTGGACGAGTTCAACAACGGCGTGGTGCTCACCAACCGGCCCCTGCGCGACGGGGAGATGTTCGAGGTCAGGCAGGGAATTTGGGATTTTGGGGATTTTTTTAGGGGATCGTTTGGGATTTTTTTGAGGTTTTTTTTTGGATTTTTTGGGGATTTTTTGGGATTTTTTGGGATTTTTTTTTTTTTTTTTGGGATTTATTTGAGATTTATTTGAGATTTTTAGGGGATCGTTTGGGGGTTTTTTGAGGTTTTTTTGGGGGTTTTTTGAGTTTTTTTTTTGGGATTTATTTGGGATTTTTTGGGGTTTTTATTTGGGTTTTTGGGTGGTTTTTGGGGTATTTTGGCTGCTGGACGAGTGCAACAACAGCGTGGTGCTCACCAACCGGCCCCTGCGCGACGGGGAGATGTTCGAGGTGACACGGGGAATTTGGGATTTTGGGGTTTTTATTTTGGGATTTATTTCAGATTTTTAGGAGATCGTTTGGGGTTTTTTTTGGGGTTTTTTGGGGATTTTTTGGGGATTTTTTTGGATTTTTTTGCATTTTTTGGGGATTTTTTTTGAGATTTATTTGAGATTTTTAGGGGATCGTTTGGGATCTTTTTGAGGTTTTTTTGGGGATTTTTGGGGATTTTTTGAGGTTTTTTTGGGGATTTTTTGGGATTTTTTTGGATTTTTTTGCATTTTTTGGGGATTTTTTTTGAGATTTATTTGAGATTTTTAGGGGACAGTTTGGGATTTTTTTGAGGTTTTTTTTGGGATTTATTGGGGATTTTTTGGGATTTTTATTTGGGTTTTTGGGTGGTTTTTGGGGTATTTTGGCCACTGGACGAGTTCAACAACGGCGTGGTGCTCACCAACAGGCCCCTGAGGGACGGGGAGATGTTCGAGGTGACACCAGAAATTCGGGATTTTGGGGGTGTTTTTATTTGGGATTTATTTGAAATTTTTAGGGGATCATTTGGGATTTTTTTGAGGTTTTTTTGGGGTTTTTTTGGGATTTTTTGGGGATTTTTTTTTGATTTTTTGGGTTTTTTTTGGGGATTTTTTTGAGATTTATTTGAGATTTTTAGGGGATCATTTGGGATTTTTTTGAGATTTTTTTGGAGATTTATTTGGGATTTTTTGGGATTTTTTTTGGGATTTTTTTGACATTTATTTGAGATTTTTTGAGGTTTTTTTGGGTTTTTTTTGGGATTTTTTAGGGATTTTTTTGAGATTTATTTGGATTTTTTGGGGTTTTTTGGGGGATTTTTTTGAGATTTATTTGAGATTTTTAGGGGACCGTTTGGGAATTTTTTGAGGTTTTTTGGGGATTTTTTTGGGATTTTTTGGGATTTTTTTTGGGGTTTTTTTGGGATTTTTTTGGGATTTTTTTGAGATTTATTTGAGATTTTTAGGGGACCGTTTGGGAATTTTTTGAGGTTTTTTGGGGATTTTTTTGGGATTTTTTGGGATTTTTTGGGATTTTTTTGGTGTTTTTTTGGGATTTATTTGAGATTTTTTTGAGGTTTTTTTGAGATTTATTTGAGATTTTTAGGGGATCATTTGGGATTTTTTTGAGGTTTTTTGGGGATTTATTTGGGTTTTTTTTGGTTTTTTTTGGGATTTTTTGGGGATTTTTTGGGGAATTTTTTTGATATTTATTTGAGATTTATTTGAGATTTTTAGGGGATCGTTTGGGATTTTTTTTTCTTTTTTTGGGGTTTTTTTGGGATTTTTTGGGATTTTTTTGAGATTTATTTGAGATTTATTTGAGATTTTTAGGGGATTGTTTGGGATTCTTTTTTTCTTTTTTGGGGTTTTTTTTGGGGATTTTTTTGGGATTTTTTTGGGATTTTTTTGAGATTTATTTGAGATTTTTAGGGGATCGTTTGAGATTTTTTTGGGGATTTTTGGGGATTTTTTGGGATTTTTTTTGGGATTTTTTTGGGATTTATTTGAGATTTTTTTGAGGGTTTTTTGAGATTTATTTTAGATTTTTAGGGGATCGTTTGGGGTTTTTTTGAGGTTTTTTTGGGGTTTTTTGGGGATTTTTTTGGGGATTTTTTTGAGATTTTTTTGAGATTTATTTGAGATTTTTAGAGGATTGTTTGGGATTTTTTTGAGGTTTTTTTGGGGATTTTTTGAGGTTTTTTGGGGATTTTTTTGGGGGGTTTTTGGGTGGTTTTTGGGGTATTTTGGTCACTGGACGAGTTCAACAACGGCGTGGTGCTCACCAACAGGCCCCTGAGGGACGGGGAGATGTTCGAGGTGACACCAGAAATTCGGGATTTTGGGGTTTTTATTTTGGGGATTTATTTCAGGTTTTTAGGGGATCATTTGGGATTTTTATTTGGGTTTTTTTTGGTTTTTTTGGGGATTTACTTGGGATTTTTTGGTGGTTTTTTGGGGATTTTTTTGGGATGTTTCTGAGATTTATTTGAGATTTATTTGAGATTTTTAGGGGGTAGTTTGGGATTTTTTTTTGTTGTTTTTTTGGGGATTTTTTGGGGATTTTTTTGGGGATTTTTTTGGGATTTTTTTGAGATTTATTTGAGATTTATTTGAGATTTTTAGGGGATCGTTTGGGATTTTTCTGAGATTTTTTGGGGGGATTTTTTTGAGATTTTTTTTGGGTTCATTTGGGATTTTGGGGATTTTTTTTGCAATTTTTTTGGGTTTTTTTAATATTTTGGGGTTTTTTTGGGATTTTTTGTGTTGTTTTTTGAGATTTTATTTGGGATCATTTGGGATTTTTAGGGATTTTTAAACTTTTTTTAAAATTAAAAAAAAAAATTTTATTTTATTTCTTTGGGATTTTATGGGGAACTGTTTGGGATTTTTGAGATTTTTTTGGGGGGGATCTTTTGGGAATTTTTTGGGGATTTTTTTGGGATTTTTATTTAGATTTTTTTGGGGGATTTGTGGGGTTATTTTGGGGTTTTTTGGGGTTTTTTTGTGTTTTGGGGTTCTCTGACCCGGTGCCCCCCAGATCCGCATCGACAAACTGGTGGATAAATGGTCGGGGTCCATCGAGATCGGGGTCACCGCCCACAACCCCAACAGCCTCGAGTACCCGGCCACCATGACCAACCTGCGCTCAGGTGAGCCCCAAACCCGCGGAAAATCACCCCAGAAATCCGGGAAAACATCCCCAAAAATCCGGGAAAACATCCCCAAAAATCCGGGAAAACATCCCCAAAATTCTGGGGAAATAGCCAAAAAAATCCTGGGAAAAATCACCCAAAAATCCGGGAAAACATCCCCAAAATTCTGGGGAAACATCCCCAAAATTCTGGGGAAATAGCCAAAAAAATCCTGGGAAAAATCACCCAAAAAAATCCTGGGAAAAATCACCCCAAAAATCCGGGAAAACATCCCCAAAAATCCGGGAAAACATCCCCAAAAATCCGGGAAAACATCCCCAAAAATCCGGGAAAACATCCCCAAAATTCTGGGGAAACATCCCCAAAAATCCAGGAAAATCGCCCCAAAATCCTGGGAAAAATCACCCAAAAATCCTGGGGAGAAATCCCTCTAAAATTCTGGGAAAACATCCCAAAAGTCCTGGGGGAAATCACCCCAAAATCCCGGGAAAACATCCCAAAAATTCTGGGAAAAATCACCCAAAAATCAAGTGAAAAATTCCCTGAGAATCCTGGGAAACATCCCCTGAAATCTTTGGAAAATCCATCGGAAAATGCCCAAAATTGCTTGAAAATCCCCCGAAATTTCTCGGAAATCCCTTAAGATTTCTGGAAAATCCGCTAAAATATCCAGAAAATCCCTCAAAAAATCACTGGAAAATCCCCCAAAATTTCTGGAAAATCCCTCAAAAATCGCTGAAAAATCCTCCAAAATTTCCCGGAAATGCCCCAAAATTTCTGGAAAATGCCCCAAAATCTCTGGGAAAATCCCCCCAAAATTTCCAGGAAATGCCCCAAAATCTCTGGAAAAACCCCTCAAAATTTCCAGGAAATGTCCCAAAATTTCCATAGAATCCCCTAAAATCTCCAGAAAATCCCCCAATATCTCTGAAAAATCTCTCAAAATCTCTGCAAAATCCCCCAAAATCTCTGGCAAATCCCCCAAATTTTCTGGAAAATCCCTTAAAATTTCTGGAAAATCCTCCAAAGTTTCCTGGAAATGCCCCAAAATTTCCATAGAATCCCCCAAAATCTCTGGAAAATTCCCCAAATTTTCTGGAAAATCCTGCAAAATCTCTGGCAAATCCCCCAAAATTTCCCGGAAATGCCCCAAAATCTCTGGAAAATGCCCCAAAATCTCTGAGAAATCCCCCAAAATTTCCCGGAAATGCCCCAAAATCTCTGGAAAATGCCCCAAATTTTCCCGGAAATGCCCCAAAATCTCTGGAAAATGCCCCAAAATCCCCGGCAATCCCGAATTTGGCGCAGGGACGATCATGATGAGCGGCTGCGGGATCCTGACCAACGGCAAAGGGACGCGCCGCGAGTACTGCGAGTTCAGCCTGGACGAGCTGCAGGTGACCCAAAAACCCCCAAAACCCGCCCAAAAATCACCCGCGGCACCCCCAAAACCCGCCCCGGGGGGGTTGGGGTGAATTTGGTGGGGTTTGGGGTGAATTGGGGCGGTTTTGGGGTGAATTGGGGCGGTTTGGGGTGAATTTGGGGTGAATTGGGCGGTTTGGGGTGAATTTGGGGTGGTTTAGGGTGAATTGGGGGGGTTTGGGGTGAATTGGGGCGGTTTGGGGTGAATTTGGGCAGTTTTGGGGTGAATTGGGCCGGTTTTGGGGTGAATTTGGGGTGAATTGGGGCGGTTTGGAGTGAATTTGGGTGGTTTTGGGGTGAATTTGCGCAGTTTTGGGGTGAATTTGGGTGGTTTTGGGGTGAATTTGGGCAGTTTCAGGGTGGATTTGGGGTTTTTTGGGGTGAATTTGGGGTTTTTGGGGTGAATTTAGGGGTTTGGGATGAATTTGGGGGCTGTGGGGGCAGTTTCGGGGTGAATTTGGGCAGTTTTGGGGTGAATTGGGGTGATTTGGGGCGGTTTGGAGTGAATTTGGGTGGTTTTGGGGTGAATTTGCGCAGTTTTGGGGCGAATTTGGCAGTTTTGGGGTGAATTTGGCAGTTTTGGGGTAAATTTGGGCAGTTTCGGGGTGGATTTGGGGTTTTTTTGGGGTGAATTTCGGGTTTTTGGGGTGAATTTGGGCAGTTTCGGGGTGGATTTGGGGTTTTTTTGGGGTGAATTTGGGGGCCGTGGGGGCAGTTTCGGGGTGAATTTGGGCTTGGGCTGTTTTGGGGTGAATTTGGGCAGTTTCAGGGTGGATTTCGTCAATTTTGGGGTGAATTTGGGCGGTTTTGGGGTGGATTTCATCAATTTTGGGGTGAATTTGGATGGTTTTGGTGAATTTTGGCAATTTTGGGGTGAATTTGGGCTGTTTCAGGGTGGATTTGGGGCAGTTTGGGGTGAATTTGGGCGGTTTCAGGGTGGATTTGGGGCAGTTTGGGGTGAATTTGGGCGGTTTTGGGGTGGATTTTGGCAATTTTGGGGTGAATTTGGGCTGTTTTGGGGTCCCCGCAGGAGGGTGATCACATCGGGCTGACCCGCAAGGCCAACAACGCTCTGCACTTCTACATCAACGGCGTGGACCAAGGTGGGGCCCCAAAATCCCCCTGAGTCACCCCAAAATCACCCCAAAATCTCCCAAAATCCACCCCGAACCGGCATCCCAGAACTGACCCCAAAAATTACCCCAGAAACCCCCAAAATCACCCAGAGTCACCCCAAAATCACCCAAAATCACCCCAAAAACCCTCCAAAATCCACCCCAAACTGGGATCCCAGAACTGACCCCAAAATCCGCCCAAAATCCCCCAAAATCACCCCAAAATCACCCCCAAAACCACCAAAATCCAGCCCGAACCGGGATCCCAGAACTGACCCCAAAAAGCCCCAAATTCACCCCAAAATCCCCCCAAAATCCCCCCCGAACTGGGATCCCAGAACTGACCCCAAAAACCCCAAATTCCCCCAAGCCCGACCCCAGTCTGGGCCCTTTTGGGTCCCCGATGTCCCCGTGTCCCCGGTGCCACCACAATGTCCCTGCTGTCCCCACATCCCCAGTGCCACCACCGTGGTGTCCCCGTGGCTGTCCCCACCCTGTCCCCAGTGCCACCACTGCCATGTCCCCACATCCCCGGTGCCACCACTGCCGTGTCCCCACCGTGTCCCCGGTGCCACCACCATGTCCCTTCTGTCCCCATGTCCCCGGTGCCACCACCGTGTCCCTGCTGTCCCTGTGTCCCTGGTGCCACCACCGTGGTGTCCCCATGGCTGTCCCCACTGTCCCCGGTGCCGCCACTGCCGTGTCCCCACCGTGTCCCTGGTGCCACCACGATGTCCCTGCTGTCCCCATGTCCCTGGTGCCACCACCACGTCCCCGCTGTCCCCATGTTCCCGAGGTGTCCCCACTGTCCCTGCTGTCCCCATGTCCCTGGTGCCACCACCGTGTCCCCAACTGTCCCTGCTGTCCCCGTGTCCCTGGTGCCACCACCGTGTCCCCAACTGTCCCTGCTGTCCCCGTGTCCCTGGTGCCACCACCGTGTCCCCAACTGTCCCTGCTGTCCCCGTGTCCCTGGTGCCACCACCGTGGTGTCCCCACCGTGTCCCTGGTGCCACCATGATGTCCCCACTGTCCCCACCCTGTCCCCAGTGCCACCATGATGTCCCTGCTGTCCTCACTGTCCCCATGTCCCCGAGGTGTCCCCGCTGTCCCTCCGCAGGTGTGGCCACCTCACTGACTCCACAGGTGGTGTACGGTGTGGTGGCCATGTCCCCGTGTCCCTGGTGCCACCACCATGTCCCTGGTGTCCCCGAGGTGTCCCCACTGTCCCCATGTCCCCGAGGTGTCCCCGAGGTGTCCCCACTGTCCCTCCGCAGGCGTGGCCACCTCGCTGACGCCGCAGGTGGTGTACGGCGTGGTGGACCTGTACGGGATGGCCGTCAAGGTGACCATCGTGCACAACCACAACCACAGTGACCGCCTGCGCCGCAACAACGCCATCCTGCGCGCCCTGTCCCCCGAGGGGACAGCGGGGACACCGCGCCACCGCGCCACTGCCACCGCCACCGCGGCCACCGCGCCGCCGCCGCGGCTCCTCTTCCACCCCAACTGCGGCCAGAAGGCGGCCGTGGTCAACGAGGGCCGGACGGCGCTGCGGCCGCAGTGAGTGACCGCGGGGACGGGGGGGATTGGGGACATGGGGACATTGGGGACAATGGGGGCATTGGGGACAGTGGGGACATTGGGGACATTGAGGGGATTGGGGACACTGAGGACATTGGGAGGACTGGGGACACTGGGGGGATTGGGGACATTGGGGTGAGCAGGGGGACATTGGGGACACTGAGGACACTGAGGACACTGGGGACACTGGGGGGATTGGGGATACTGGGGGGATTGGGGACATTGGGGACATTGGGGTCAATGAGGGCCGGACGGCGCTGCGGCCGCAGTGAGTGACCACAGGGACATGGGACATTGGGGACACTGGGGGGATTGGGGACATTGGGAAGACCAGGGGGACATTGGGGACACTGAGGTCAACAAGGGCCAGACAGCGCTGCGGCCGCAGTGAGTGACCAGGAGGATGGTGGGGACACTGGGGACACTGTAGGTGTTGGGGACATTGTGGTCAGTGTCCCCACAGCAACACGACGTTGCTGTGTCCCCGATGTCCCCAACGTCCCAAACATGTCCCAATGTCCCCAGTGCCACCGACGACTTCAACCACGGCGTGGTGCTGAGCGCGCGGCCCCTCGGGGACAATGAGTGTCCCCATGTCCCCACGGTGTCCCCATGTCCCCATGGTGACACCGCTGTCCCCATGTCCCCGCTGTGCCCGTGGTGACACCGCTGTCCCCATTGTCCCCATGTCCCCATGGTGACACCGCTGTCCCCATGTCCCCGCTGTCCCCATGGTGACACCGCTGTCCCCATGTCCCCACTGTCCCCGTGGTGACACCGCTGTCCCCAATGTTCCCATGTCCCCGTGGTGACACCGCTGTCCCCATGTCCTCACTGTCCCCGTGGTGTCCCCGCTGTCCCCACGGTGACACTGCTGTCCCCATGTCCCCGCTGTCCCCATGGTGACACCGCTGTCCCAATGTCCCCAGTGCCACCGATGACTTCAACCACGGCGTGGTGCTGAGCGCGCGGCCCCTCGGGGACAACGAGCTGTTCCAGGTGCGGCTGGACAAGATGGTGGACAAGTGGGCGGGGTCCATCGAGATCGGCGTCACCACCCACAACCCGGCGTACCTGCAGCTGCCATCGACCATGACCAACCTGCGCTCAGGTGTGTCACCTGTGTCACCTCAGTGTCACCTCAGTGTCACCTCAGTGTCACCTGTGTCACCTCAGTGTCATCTCAGTGCCACCTGTGTCACCTCTGTGTCACCTGTGTCACCTGTGTCACCTGTGTCACCTCACTGTCACCTGTGTCACCTCAGTGTCACCTCAGTGTCACCTGTGTCACCTGTGTCACCTGTGTCACCTCACTGTCACCTGTGTCACCTCAGTGTCACCTCAGTGTCACCTCAGTGTCACCTGTGTCACCTGTGTCACCTCACTGTCATCTGTGCCACCTCAGTGTCACCTCAGTGTCACCTCAGTGTCACCTGTGTCACCTCAGTGTCACCTGTGTCACCTGTGTCCCCAAGGTGACACATCCCTGTGTCCCAGAGGTGACATTTCCATGAACAATCCCAGTGATGTCCCCAACGTCCCCACTGTCCCTCAATGTCCCCAATGTCCCAAGTGTCCCCTCAATGTCCCCAATCCCCCCCGATGTCCCCTGATGTCCCCAATGTCCCCAATGTCCCCAACGTCCCCAACATCCCCATTATCCCCAATGTCCCCAATGTCCCCAGTGTCCCCAGTGTCCCCAGTGTCCCAAATCCCCCCAATGTCCCCAATGCCCCCAATGCCCCCAGTCCCTCCCATGTCCCCAATGTCCCCAATCCCCTGATGTCCCCACTGTCCCCAGTGTCCCCAGTCCCCCCCAATGTCCCCAATGTCCCCAGTGTCCCCACTGTCCCCAATGTCCCCAATCCCCCAAATGTCCCCATTGTCCCCCAATGTCCCCCCAATGTCCCCAATCCCCCCAATGTCCCCAATGTCCCCACTGTCCCCAATGTCCCCACTGTCCCCAACATCCCCAATGTCCCCAATGTCCCAAATCCCCCCAATGTCCCCCCGATGTCCCCTGATGTCCCCACTGTCCCCACTGTCCCCAGGCACGTGGATGATGACCGGTAACGGGGTCATGCACAACGGCACCACCGTGCTGGACGAGTACGGCCACAACCTGGACCGCCTCAAGGTGGGGACCCCGCGGCCACCACGGCCACCACGGCCACCACGGCCACCACGGCCACCACGGCCACCGCGGCCACCACGGCCACCACGGCCACCACGGCCACCACGCCACCACACCCGGTGCCAGCAGTGATGGTGACACTGTCCCCGCAGGCGGGGGACACGGTGGGGGTGGTGCGCAGGGACGACGGGACCCTGCACTTCTTCGTCAACGGGGTCCCCCAGGGCCCGGCCGCCTGGAACGTGCCCCCCAACGTCTACGCCGTGGTGGACCTGTACGGGCAGGCGGCACAGGCCACCATCGTGGAGGAGGGAGGTGGGTGCCACCTCTGGGGACACTGGGGACATCGGGGACATCGGGGACATTGGGGTGTTGGGGACATTGGGGACATTGGGGACATTGGGGACACTGGGGGGATTGGGGACATTGGGGACATTGGGGACATTGGGGGATATTGGGGACATTGGGGACATTGGGGACACTGGGGGGATTGGGGACATTGGGGACATTGGGGACATTGGGGGGATTGGGGGAATTGGGGACATTGGGGGGATTGGGGACATTGGGGGGATTGGGGTCACTGGGGACAGGACCTGTACAGGCAGGCGGCACAGGCCACCATCATGGAGGAGGGAGGTGGGTGCCACCTCTGGGGACAGCGGGGACATTGGGGGGATTGGGGACATTGGGGGCATTGGGGACACTGGGGGGGGGTGGGGGCATTGGGGGGATTGGGGACATTGGGGACATTGGGGACATTGGGGGGATTTGGTGTTTTGGGCCACAAAGGATCTTGAAGGACACAGGGAACATTGGGGACATGGAGACCATTGGGGACATTTGGGGACATGGAGAGCTTTGGGGACATTAAGGACATGGAGAACACTGCGGACATTTGGGGACATGGAGAACATTGGGGACATTTGGGAACACGGAGAACACTGGGGACATTTGGGACATGGAGAACTCTGGGGACATTGGGGACATTTGGGGACATGGAGAACATCGGGGACGTTTGGGGACATGGAGAGCATTGGGGACATTGGGGACATTTGGGACGTGGAGAACACTGGGGACATTTGGGGACATTTGGGGACATTTGGGGACATGGAGAGCATTGGGGACATTTGAGGACATGGAGAACATTGGGGACATTGGGGACATTTGGGGACATGGAGAGCACTGGGGACATTGGGGACATGGAGAACATTGGGGACATTGGGGACATTTGGGGACATGGAGAACATTGAGGACATTGGGGACGTGGAGAACATTGGGGACATTGGGGACATTTGGGGACATGGAGAGCACTGGGGACATTGGGGACATTGAGAACATTGGGGACATTTGGGGACGTGGAGAACATTGGGGACATTGGGGACATTGGGGACATGGAGAGCATTGGGGACATTTGGGACATTTGGGGACATGGAGACCATTTGGGACCCCGGGGACACGGGGGCCGTGCCAGCCGTGGCCCAGCCCCCTCCGCGTGTCCCCAGAGGTGGCGGCGCTGGTTGGGGACAGCTCGGAGGGTGACAGCGGCGGTGGCAGCCCCGAGGGCGCGTCCCCGGGCGCGTCCCCGAGCGACCTGCGCTTCCACCGGCTGCACGGCGCCAACGCCGTCATCACCAACGGCGGCCGCACCGCGCTGCGCCAGAACTGCCGCTCCGAGTTCAACGACGCCATCGTCATCTCCAACCGGTGAGGGATCCCGAAAATATCCCAAATCCCAAAAAAATCCCCAAAAAAATCCCCAAAAAAATCCCCAAAAAAAATCCCCAAAAAAATCCCCAAAAAAATCCCCAAAAAAATCCCCAAAAAAATCCCCAAAAAAATCCCATTAAAATCCCCAAAACCAAACCCCAAACCATGGTAGAGCAGCCACTCCGAGTTCAACAACGCCATCGTCATCTCCAACCGGAGGGGTCCCGAAAATATCCCAAATCCCAAAAAAATCCCCAAAAAAATCCACCCAGGAACACCGGAATTGTGAAATTCCCCAAAAAATCCCCCAATCCCAACCCCAAACCCAACCCCAAACCAAACCCCGGCGCTGCGCCAGAATTGTTGCTCTGAGTTCAACGACGCCATCGTCATCTCCAACCGGTGAGGGATCCCGAAAATATCCCAAATCCCAAAAAAATCCCCAAAAAAATCCACCCAGGAGCACCAAAATGGTCAAATCCCAAAAAAAATCCCCCAATCCCAACCCCAATCCCAACCCCAAACCCCGGCAGAGCGGCCGCTCCAAGTTCAACGACGCCATCGTCATCTCCAACCGGTGAGGGATCCCGAAAATATCCCAAATCCCAAAAAAATCCCCAAAAAAATCCCCAAAAAAATCCCCAAAAAAATCCCCAAAAAAATCCCCAAAAAAATCCCCAAAAAAATCCACCCAGGAACACTGGAATTGTGAAATCCCAAAAGAATCCCCCAATCCCAACCCCAAACCCAACCCCAAACCCAACCATGACAGAACTGCCGCTCCGAGTTCAACGACGCCATCGTCATCTCCAACCGGTGAGGGATCCCGAAAATGTCCCAAATCCCAAAAAAAACCCCAAAAAAATCCACCCAGGAGCCCCAAAATGGTGAAATTCCAAAAAAAAATCACATTAAAATCCCCAAAACCAACTCCAAACCATGACAGAGCGGCTGCTCAGAGTTCAACAATGCCATCGTCATCTCCAACCGGTGAGGGTTCCCGAAAATATCCCAAATCCCAAAAAAATCCCCAAAAAAATCCATCCAGGAGCACCAAAATTGTGAAATCCCCAAAAAAACCCCGTTAAAATCCCAAAAAACCCGTTAAATTCCCCAAACCTGCCCCAAACCCAACCATTTCTCAGTTTTTGGATGTCCCATTTTTGGGGTCATTTCCCCATTTTTGGGGTCATTTTAGGGTAATTTCCCCGTTTTTGGGGTGCAGGGCCCTGCGGGACGGGGAGCTGTGGGTTTGGGGTGATTTTTGGGGCCATTTCCCCATTTTTGGGGTGATTTTTGGGGTGATTTTTGGGGTCATTTCCCCATTTTTGGGGTGATTTTTGGGGTGATTTTTGGGGTCATTTCCCCGTTTTTGGGGTGATTTTTGGGGTGATTTTTGGGATCATTTCCCCATTTTTGGGGTGATTTTTGGGGTCATTTCCCCGTTTTTGGGGTGATTTTTGGGGTGATTTTTGGGGTCATTTCCCCGTTTTTGGGGTGATTTTTGGGGTGATTTTTGGGGTCATTTCTCCATTTTTGGGGTGCAGGGCCCTGTGGGACGGGGAGCTGTGGGTTTGGGGTGATTTTTGGGGTAATTTCCCCGTTTTTGGGGTGATTTTTTGGGGTAATTTCTCCATTTTTGGGGTGATTTTTGGGGTGCAGGGTCCTGCGGGACGGGGAGCTGTGGGTTTGGGGTGATTTTTGGGGTGATTTTTGGGGTAATTTCCCGGTTTTTGGGGTGCAGGGCCCTGCGGGACGGGAGCTGTGGGTTTGGGGTGATTTTTGGGGTAATTTCCCTGTTTTTGGGGTGATTTTTGGGGTAATTTCCCCGTTTTTGGGGTGCAGGGCCCTGCGGGACGGGGAGCTGTGGGTTTGGGGTGATTTTTGGGGTAATTTCCCCATTTTTGGGGTGATTTTTGGGGTGATTTCCCCGTTTTTGGGGTGCAGGGCCCTGCGGGACGGGGAGCTGTTCGAGATCGTCATCCAGAAGATGGTGGATCGATGGTCGGGGTCCATCGAGGCCGGTGAGGGGACACTGGGGACATTGGGGACACTGAGGGGACATCGGGGACATTTGGGGACGTTGGGGACATTGGGGGGGTTGGGGACAATGAGGGGACATTGGGGGGACATTGGGGACATTTGGGGTGTTTGGGGACATTGGGGGATTGGGGGGACATTAGGGACATTTGGGGGACATTTTGGGCACATTAGAGGGGATTGGGGACATTTGGGACATTGGGGACATTTGGGGACATTGGGGACATTTGGGGACATTGGGAGGACATTTGGGGGACATTTTGGGCACATTAGAGGGGATTGGGGACATTTGGGACATTGAGGACATCGAGGACATTTGGGATATTGGGGGTTGGGGACATTGGGGACATTGGGGACATTGGGGACCTCGGGGACACCGGGGGACACCCGGGGTGACAGCGGTGTCCCCGTGTCCCCCCAGGTGTCACCGCCATCCGCCCCGAGGACCTGGAGTTCCCCAACACCATGACGGACATCGACTACGACACCTGGATGCTCAGGTGGGGACAGCGGCGTCACCTGGGGCCACCAATGTCCCCAGGGGGCCACCGGGGTCACCTGGGGCCACCAATGTCCCCAAGGGGCCACCGGGGTCACCTGGGGCCACCAATGTCCCCAAGGGACACCGGGGTCACCTGGGGCCACCAATGTCCCCAGGGGGCCACCAATGTCCCCAAGGTGTTCTGCAGGGTCACAGGGTTCCCTGAGGGTCCCTGATTGTCCCCAAGGGTCCCCAGGTGTCCCCAAAGGTCCCCAGGTGTCCCCAAGGGTCCCCATGTGTCCCCAAGGGTCCCCATGTGTCCCCAAAGGTCCCCAGGTGTCCCCAAGGGTCCCCGTGTGTCCCCAAAGGGTCCCCGTGTGTCCCCAAGGGTCCCCAGGTGTCCCCAAGCACCGCAGCACGGGGGACAGGGAGGTGTCCCCTCGTGTCCCCCTGGTGTCCCCATGGCCGTGTCCCCACTGAGGTGTCCCTGTGTCCCCATGGCTGTGTCAGGGCTGTGTCCCCACGGTGTCCCTGATGTCCCCAGTGTCCCCAGTGTCCCCCACTGTCCCCCACTGTCCCCAATGTCCCCAATGTCCCCAATGTCCCCAAACCCCCCAATGTCCCCGATGTCCCCAATGTCCCCGATGTCCCCGATGTCCCCAATGTCCCCAATGTCCCCAATGTCCCCGATGTCCCCGTGTCCCCACAGCGGCACGGCCATCATGCAGGACGGGAACACCATGCGCAATAACTACGGCTGTGACCTGTCCTTGTGTCCCCAATGTCCCCAATGTCCCCAATGTCCCCAATCCCCCCAATGTCCCCAATGTCCCCAATGTCCCCGTGTCCCCAATGTCCCCAATGTCCCCAATGTCCCCAATGTCCCCAATGTCCCCAATGTCCCCAATCCCCCCCAATGTCCCCAATGTCCTCAATGTCCCCATTGACCCCAATGTCCCCAATGTCCCCAATGTCCCCAATGTCCCCGTGTCCCCAATGACCCCAATGTCCCCGATGTCCCCAATGTCCCCATGTCCCCAATGACCCCAATCCCCCCAATGTCCCCAATGTCCCCAATGTCCCCAATCCCCCAATGTCCCCAATGTCCCCAATGTCCCCAATGTCCCCAATCCCCCCGATGTCCCCAATGTCCCCAATGCCCCCAATCCACCCAATATCCCCAATATCCCCCAGTGTCCCCAACGTCCTCAATCCCCTTAATGTCCCCAATCCCTCCAACATCCCCAATCCCCCAAATGTCCCCAATGTCCCCAATGTCCCCAATCTCATTTCTTCCATTTTTCTCCCATTTTTTCCCAATGTCCTCAAATGTCCCCAAATCTCATCAATGTCCCCAACATCCCCAATGTCCCCAATATTCCCCAATGTCCCCAATTCCCCCAATATCTCCAATGTCCCCAAATCCCGTCAATGTCCCAAATGTCCCCAATGTCCCCAATGCCCCTCAATGTCCCCAATGTCCCCAATGTCCCCAATGTCCCCAATGTCCCCGATGTCCCCAACGTCCCCACGATGTCCCCAATGTCCCCAATGTCCCTGTTCCTGTCCCCATGGCTGTGTCAGGGCTGTGTCCCCATGGTGTCCCCAATGTCCCCGATGTCCCCAATGTCCCCAATGTCCCCAATGTCCCCAATGTCCCCAATGTCCCCGTGTCCCCAATGTCCCCAATGTCCCCAATGACCCCAATGTCCCCGTGTCCCCAATGTCCCCAATGTCCCCAATGTCCCCGATGTCCCCAATGTCCCCAATGCCCCCAATGTCCCCAATGACCCCAATGCCCCCAATGTCCCTGATGTCCCCGATGTCCCCAATGCCCCCAATGTCCCCAATGTCCCCAATGTCCCCAATCCCCCCAATCCCCCACAGTGTCCCCGATGTCCCCAATGTCCCCAATGTCCCCAATGTCCCCAATGTCCCCAATGTCCCTGTTCCTGTCCCCATGGCTGTGTCAGGGCTGTGTCCCCATGGTGTCCCCGATGTCCCCAATCCCCCCAATGTCCCCACTGTCCCCTCGATGTCCCCGCAGTGGCACGGCCATCATGCAGGACGGGAACACCATGCGCAATAACTACGGCTGTGACCTGTCCCTGTGTCCCCAATGTCCCCAATGTCCCCAATCCCCCCAGTGTCCCCAATGTCCCCCAATCCCCCCAATGTCCCCAATGTCCCCAATGTCCCCAGTGTCCCCAATGTCCCCAATCCCCCCAATGTCCCCAATGTCCCCGATGTTCCCAATGTCCCCAATGTCCCCACTGTCCCCACTGTCCCTGTTCCTGTCCCCATGGCTGTGTCAGGGCTGTGTCCCCATGGTGTCCCCAGTGTCCCCAGTGTCCCCCAATGTCCCCGATGTCCCCGATGTCCCCAATGTCCCCAATGTCCCCAATCCCCCCAATGTCCCCAAATGTCCCCCATGTCCCCAATGTCCCCAATGTCCCCAATGTCCCCAATTCCCCCAATGTCCCCAATGTCCCCAATGTCCCCAATGTCCCCAATGTCCCCAATCCCCCCAATGTCCCCAATCCCCCCAATGTCCCCAATGTCCCCCCAATCCCCCCAATGTCCCCAATCCCCCCAATGTCCCCAGTGTCCCCAATGTCCCCAGTGTCCCCAATGTCCCCTCGATGTCCCCGCAGCGGCACGGCCATCATGCAGGACGGGAACACCATGCGCAATAACTACGGCTGTGACCTGTCCCTGTGTCCCCCCAATGTCCCCAATCCCCCCAATGTCCCCAATGTCCCCAATGTCCCCAATGTCCCCGATGTCCCCAATCCCCCCAATGTCCCCGCAGCGGCACGGCCATCATGCAGGACGGGAACACCATGCGCAATAACTACGGCTGTGACCTGGACGCTCTGGGCACGGGGGCGCGGATCGGGATGATGCGCACGGGGGGAGGGGACCTGCGCTACTTCATCGATGGCACCGACCAGGGAGTGGCCTGCTCGGGGCTGCCACCGGGTACGGGACATGGGGACATGGCGGGGACAGCGGGGACATTGGGGACATTGGGGACATTGGGGGATTGGGGACATTGGGGACATCAGGGGGTTCAGGGACAATGGGGACATTGGGGACACTGGGGGGATTGGGGACAGTGGGGACATTTGGGACATTGGGGGGATCAGGGACATTGGGGGGTTTGGGGACAGCGCGGACAGCACGGGGATTGGGGACATTGGGGACATTGGGGACATTGGGGAGACATTGGGGACATTGGGGACATTGGGGACAATGGGGGGTTTTGGGAAATTGGGGACAGCGGGAAGTTGGGGACAGTGGGGACACTGGGGATATTGGGGACATTGGGGACATTGGGGGGTTTGGGGACAGCGCGGACAGCAGGGGGATTGGGGACATTGGGGACATTGAGGATGTTGGGGACATTTGGGACATTGGAGGACATCAGGGACATTTGGGACACTGGGGACATTGGGGACGTTGCGGGGACTGAGGGGTTGGGGACATCGGGGGGCATCAGGCCGATGTCCCTGAGGTTGACGCTGAGGTAGCACTGAGGTGACACAGGTGACACTGAGGTGACACACAGGTGAGGTGACACACAGGTCACAGGTGACACAGGTGACACACAGGTGACACAGGTGACACTCAGGTGACACACAGGTGAGGTGACACACAGGTCACAGGTGACACAGGTGACACACAGGTGACACAGGTGACACTCAGGTGAGGTGACACAGGTGAGGTGACACAGGTGTCCCCTGTCCCAGAGGTGTACGCCGTGGTGGATCTCTACGGTCAGTGTGTTCAGGTGTCCCTGAGGTCACACAGGTGATACAGGGAGGTGACACAGGTGACACACAGGTGACACAGGTGACACAGGTGAGGTGACACAGGTGACACTGGTGTCCCCAGAGGTGTACGCCGTGGTGGATCTCTATGGTCAGTGTGTTCAGGTGTCACTGAGGTCACACAGGTGACACAGGTGACACACAGGTGACACAGGTGACACAGGTGACACTCAGGTGACACAGGGAGGTGACACAGGTGACACTCAGGTGAGGTGACACAGGTGTCCCCTGTCCCAGAGGTGTACGCCGTGGTGGATCTCTATGGTCAGTGTGTCCAGGTGTCCCTGAGGTCACACAGGTGACACAGAGAGGTGACACAGGTGACACACAGGTGACACAGGTGACACAGGTGACACAGGGAGGTCACACAGGTGACACAGGGAGGTGACACAGGTGACACAGGGAGGTGACACAGGTGACACAGGTGAGGTAGCACAGGTGAGGTGACACAGGTGACACAGGTGAGGTGACACAGGTGTCCCCTGTCCCAGAGGTGTACGCCGTGGTGGATCTCTATGGTCAGTGTGTCCAGGTGTCCCTGAGGTCACACAGGTGACACAGAGGTGACACAGGTCACACAGATCACACAGGTGACACAGGGAGGTGACACAGGTGACACAGGTGACACAGGTGAGGTGACACAGGTGTCCCATGTCCCCAGAGGTGTACGCCGTGGTGGATCTCTATGGTCAGTGTGTTCAGGTGTCCCTCACCGGCGCCTCCGGACCCACCGACAACAGCCACAGCCCGGGGGCGGGGCCTGAGAAAGCCCCGCCCCCTTCGCCAGGTACCCACGGGGGGGAATGGGAGGGACTGGGAGGGACTGGGAGGGACTGGGAGGGAACTGGGATAAACTGGGAGAGAACTGGGGGGGAACTGGGAGGGACTGGGTTATACTGGGAGGGAACTGGGTTATACTGGGTTATACTGGGAGGGAACTGAGTTATACTGGGTTATACTGGGAGGGACTGGGATAAACTGGGGGGAACTGGGAGGGGACTGGGAGGGAACTGGGAGAGACTGGGAGGGAACTGGGATGGGATTGGGAGGGAACTGGGAGGGAACTCGGTTATACTGGGTTATACTGGGAGGGAACTGAGTTATACTGGGTTATACTGGGTAATACTGGGAGGGAACTGGGAGGAACTGGGAGCGACTGGGAGGGGACTGGGAGGGAACTGAGTTATACTGGGTTATACTGGGTTATACTGGGTTATACTGGGAGGGAACTGGGTTATACTGGGTTTTACTGGGTCATACTGGGAGGGAACTGGGTTATACTGGGTTATACTGGGTTACACTGGGTTATACTGGGAGGGAACTGGGTTGTGCTGGGATATGCTGGGTTATACTGGGTGGGTTATATTGGTTATAATGGGTTATACTGGGAAGGAACTGAGTTATACTGGGTTATACTGGGCTTTACTGGGTTATACTGAGTTATACTGGGTTATACTGGGAGGGAACTGGGAGGGAACTGAGTTATACTGGGTTATACTGGGTTATACTGGGTTACACTGGGTTATACTGGGTTATACTGGGTTATACTGGGTTATACTGGGATATACTGGGATATACTGGGTTATACTGGGATATACTGGGTTATACTGGGAGGGAAGTGGGTTATACTGGGTTATACTGGGTTGTACTGGGAGGGAACAGGTTGTGCTGGGATATACTGGGTTATACCTGGGTTATAACTGGGTTATACTGCGTTATACTGGGATATACTGGGATATACTGGGTTATACTGGGTTATAGTGGGATATACTGGGTTATACTGGGTTACACTGAGTTATACTGGTTTATACTGGGTTATACTGGGAGGGAACAGGTTGTGCTGGGATCTACTGGGTTATACTGGGTGGTTTACATTGGGTTATACTGGGATGCACTGGTTTATACTGGGAGGGAACTGGGTTGTGCTGGGATATACTGGATTTTACTGGGTGGGTTATACTGGGTTATACTGGGTTATACTGGGAGGGAACTGGGAGGAACTGGGAGGGAACTGAGTTATACTGGGTTATACTGGGTTATACTGGGAGGGAACAGGTTGTGCTGGGATATACTGGATTATACTGGGTGGTTTACATTGGGCTATACTGGGACGCACTGGTTTATACTGGGAGGGAACTGGGTTGTGCTGGGATATACTGGATTTTACTGGGTGGGTTATATTGGGTTATACTGGGTTATACTGGGAGGGAACTGGGAGGAACTGGGAGGGAACTGAGTTATACTGGTTTATACTGGTTTATACTGGGAGGGAACAGGTTTACTGGGATATACTGGGTTATACAGGGTGGGTTATACTGGAAGGGAACTGGGTTATATGGGGTTATACTGGGATATACTGGGTTACACTGGGCTATACTGGGTTATACTGGGTTATACTGGGCAGGTTATATTGGTTTATACTGGGACGCACTGGTTTATACTGGGACGCACTGGTTTATACTGGGTTATATGGGGTTATACTGGGATATACTGGGTTATACTGTGCGGGTTATATTGGGCTATACTGGGACGCACTGGTTTATACTGGGTTATATGGGGTTATACTGGGATATACTGGGTTATACTGTGCGGGTTATATTGGGCTATACTGGGACGCACTGGTTTATACTGGGTTATATGGGGTTATACTGGGATATACTGGGTTATACTGTGCGGGTTATATTGGGCTATACTGGGACGCACTGGTTTATACTGGGAGGGAACAGGTTTACTGGGTTATACTGGGTTATACTGTGCGGGTTATTATGGTTTATACTGGGACGCACTGGTTCATACTGGGAGGGAACAGGTTTACTGGGATATACTGGTTTATACTGGGTGGTTTACATTGGGTTATACTGGGTTATACTGGGTTATACTGGGAGGGAACAGGTTGTGCTGGGATATACTGTATTATACTGTGCGGGTTATACTGGGCTATACTGGGACGCACTGGTTCATACTGGGATGTCCGTGCCGCAGCGCCGGGGCCGTGCCAGCGCTTCCATGGGCGCTGCGGGCAGAACGTGGCGCTGGCGGCCGAGGGCCTGAGCGCGGCGCGGGTGGCCGGCTACTGCCACGGGCTGGTGTTCAGCCGCTCCCACCTGCGCCCCGGGGAGCTCTTCGAGGTGGGCGGGGCCCTTTAAGGAGCGGGCGGGGCCGGGGTGGGCGGGGCATAACTGGGTGGGGTTACCTGTGAGGCCACACCAAAGGGCGCTGTCCCTTTAAGGAAAAGGGCGCTGTCGCTTTAAGGGAATGGGCGTGGCCCTGGTGGGCGTGGCCTAAGCGGGTGGGGTTACCTGCCACGCCACGCCCCCAGGTGGGGTGGGAAAAGGCCACTGTCCCTTTAAGGGAATGGGCGTGGCCCTTCTGGGCGGGGCCTAAGTGGGCGGGGTGAAGGACACGCCCATGGGTGGGTGGGGTTACCTGTGAGGACACGCCCATGGGTGGGGCAGGAAAAGGGCGCTGTCGCTTTAAGGAAACAGGCGTGGCTGTGGAGGGCGGGGCCTAAGTGGGTGTGGTTACCTGCCAGGCCACGCTCACCTGCCGGGGCGGGAAAAGGGTGCTGTCACTTTAAGGGAACAGGCGTGGCCGTGGTGGGCGGGGCATGGGGATAGGCCACACCCCTCATTTGGAAGCCCCGCCCCTTTCCAGAGTGATTGAAACGCTCCCAGGTGAGTTCTGGGCTCACCTGTGCCACGCCCCCATCCAGGTGTGTTCAGGGCTGTCCCCTCACCCTCACCTGTCCCGGGTGTGTCCCTCACCTGTCCCAGGCGTGTCCCAGGTGTGTCCCAGGTGTGTCCCAGCCTCACCTGTCCCTGTCTCACCTGCCCAGGTGCGCATCGAGGCCCTGGACGAGCGCTGGGCGGGGTCTGTGGGGGTGGGGCTGAGTCAGGGCTCCCCCAGGTGTATCTCAGGTGTATCTCAGGTGTGTCCCTCACCTGTCCCAGCCTCACCTGTGCGTGTCTCACCTGCCCAGGTGCGCATCGAGGCGCTGGACGAGCGCTGGGCGGGGTCAGTGTGGGTGGGGCTGAGTCAGGGCTCCCCCAGGTATGTCCCAGGTGTGTCCCTCACCTGTCCCAGGTGTGTCCCAGCCTCACCTGTGGGTGTCTCACCTGTCCCAGGTGTGCACTGACAGCATTGGATGAGCACTGGGCGGGTGGGGCTGAGTCAGGGCTCCCCCAGGTGTGTCCCTCACCTGTCCCAGGCGTGTCCCAGGTGTGTCCCTCACCTGTCCCAGGTGTGTCCCAGCCTCACCTGTGTGTGTCTCACCTGCCCAGGTGCGCATCGAGGCGCTGGATGAGCGCTGGGCGGGGTCGGTGCGGGTGGGGCTGACGGCCCTGCCCCCCCCCGGCCCCCCCGCCCTGCCCCCCTCCCTGCTGGACCTGCCGGCCGCGCCCACCTGGGCGGTCAGCGGGGCCGAGGTGCGGCACAACGGCGCCCAGGTGCGCCACAACTACGGCGTCAGCCTGGACCGCCTCGCGGTAAGTGCTCACCTGGGCGGTTTGGGGTCACCTGGGGGGGTTTGGGGTCACCTGGGGGGGTTTGGGCTCACCTGGGGGGAGTTTGGGTGGTTTTGGGGTCACCTGGGGGGAGTTTGGGTGGTTTTGGGGTCACCTGGAGTGGGTTTGGGGTCACCTGGGAGGATTTGGGCTCACCTGGGCTCACCTGGGTGGGTTTGGGGTCACCTGGGGGGGTTTGAGCTCACCTGGGCTCACCTGGGCTCACATTCAGGGGGTTTGGGGTCACCTGGAGAGCATTTGGGGTCACCTGGGCTGACCTGGGGGGAGTTTGGGGTCACCTGTGCTCACCTGGGGGGAGTTTGGGTGGTTTTGGGGTCACCTGGAGAGGGTTTGGGGTCACCTGGAGAGGGTTTGGGGTCACCTGGAGAGGGTTTGGGGTCACCTGAGGGGGGTTTGGGGATGGTTTTGGGATAAATTTGGGATGTTCTATGTGGGGAACCGTCTGGGGATGGATTTTTGGGATAATTTGGGATAATTTTGGGACATTTCGGGACATTTTGGGACATTTTGGGCCGTTCCAAGTGGGGAACCGTCTGGGGATGGATTTTTGGGATATTTTGGGATAATTTTGGGATAATTTTGGACATTTTCCAGGTGGGGAACCGGCCGGGGATGGATTTTTGGGATATTTTGGAATAATTTTGGGATATTTTGGGACATTTTGGGCCATTCCAGGTGGGGAACCGGCTGGGGATGGATTTTTGGGATAACTTTGGGATAATTTTGGGACATTTCGGGACATTTTGGGACATTTTGGGCTGTTCCAAGTGGGGACCCGGCTGGGGATGGATTTTTGGGATATTTTGAGATTATTTTGGGTTATTTTGGGAGATTTTGGGACATTTTGGGGTGATTTCCCAGGTGGGGAACCGTCTGGGCGTGCGCCGCGGCGCCGACGACTCGATGCACCTGGTGGTGGACGGGCAGGACATGGGGCCCGCGGCCACCGGCGTGGCCAAGGTACGGCGGGCACCCCAAACTCACCTGGGGGCACCTGGGGCACACCTGGGCACCCCAAAACTCACCTGGGGGCACCTGGGGGCACCCAAAACACACCTGGGCACCCCCAAAACACACCTGGGCACACCTGGGCACCCCCAAAACACACCTGGGCACATCCAAAACTCACCTGGGGGCACCTGGGGGCACCCAAAACACACCTGGGGGCATCCAAAACACACCTGGGCACACCCAAAACACACCTGGGGGCACCCAAAACACACCTGGGGGCATCCAAAACACACCTGGGCACACCCAAAACACACCTGGGGGCACCCAAAACACACCTGGGGGCACCCAAAACACACCTGGGCACACCTGGGCACACCTGGGCACCCCCAAAACACACCTGGGGGCACCTGGGGGCACCAAAACACACCTGGGCACCCCCAAAACACACCTGGGCACACCTCGGGGCACCCAAAACACACCTGGGGCACACCTGGGCACACCTGTGGGCACCTGGGATAAACCTGGGGGGGGTAAACACACACCTGGGCACACCTTGGGGGGGGGTAAATTCACACCTGGGGGTCGTAAACACACACCTGGGGGCACCTGGGGAGTACCTGGGGCACACCTGGCACACCTGGGCACACCTGGGGCACACCTGGGCACACCTGGGATACACCTGGGATACACCTGGGCACACCTGGGGCACACCTGGGATACACCTGGGCACACCTGGGCTCACCTGGGGCACACCTGGGCACAACTGGGGGGTACCTGGGGGTACCTGGGGGTACCTGGGGCACACCTGGGCACAGCCAAAACACACCTGGGCACACCTGGGCACACCTGTCTGCCCCGTGTGCCATCATTCCCACCCCTCCCCCATCACTCCTGCCTGTGGGGGGGAGGGGGCGGGGCCGTGACGTCACTCCCGCCCCTCTGACGTCACGCCCCGCCCCCCGTGACGTCACAGAACGCCTTCGTGGCCCTGGACCTGTACGGGCGCGTGACGGCCGTGTCCATCGTCAGCGCGGGGGGAGGGGCGGGCGGGGCCGGGGACGGCCCCTCCCCCACCCACAGCCCCTCCCCCACCCCCTGCCCCTCCCCCTGCCACAGCCCGCCCCTCCCCCACCCCGGCGGGGACGGCGCAGAGTGGGTGAGAGGAACTGGGGTATACTGGGAGGGACTGGGAGGGGTTAAAAAGGAGATTTGGGGTTACTGGTTTATACTGGGACAAACTGGGAGGGAACTGGGAGGGACTGGGAGGGACTGGGAGGGACTGGGGGATACTGGGAGGGACTGGGAATAAACTGGGAGGGACTGGGAGGGAACTGGGGGGGACTGGGAATAAACTGGGAGGGACTGGGAGGGAACTGGGGGGGACTGGGAGGGAACTGGTTTATACTGGGAGGGACTGGGATGGACTGGGGGGAACTGGGGGAATGGCTGTGGTTTTGCTCCCCATTTTTAACCCCAAATTTTGATGTTTTATCCCCAAATTTCACATTTTTAACCCCAAATTTTGATGTTTTAACCCGAAATTTCACATTTTTAATCCCAAATTTCAATGTTTCAACACCAAATTTTGGTGTTTTATCCCCAAATTTTCCATTTTTACCCCAAATTTTCCATTTCTAACCCCAAATTTTTTATTTTTATGCCAATTTAGGGTCCCCCCACGTTCCTGGGCTGCCACCCAGAGCATCCTACAGCCCCTCCCCCTTTTAACCCTTTCATTTCTCCTTTTAGACCCCCAAAACCCCAAATTTCACATTTTTAATCCCAAATTTTACATTTTTAACCCCAAATTTTGGTGTTTTATCCCTAAATTTTGGGGTTTTTTCCTGATTCAGGGCCCGCCCCGGTTCCTGGGCTGCCACGGCAAGAACATCCTGCAGCCCCTCCCCCATTTAACCCTTTCATTTTCCCTTTTAGCCCCCCAAAACCCCAAATTTCGACATTTTAACCTGAATTTCACATTTTTCACCCCAATTAGGGTCCCCCCCGGTTCCTGGGCTGCCACGGCAAGAACATCCTGCAGCCCCTCCCCCATTTAACCCCTTTTAGCCCCCCAAAACCCCCAAATTTCAATGTTTTAACCCCAAATTTCGATGTTTTATCCCCAAATTTCGGATTTTTATCCCCAATCCAGGGTCCCCCCCGGTTCCTGGGCTGCCACGGCAAGAACATCCTGCAGCCCCTCCCCCATTTAACCCTTTATTAACCCCCAAACCCCCAAATTTCACATTTTTAACCCCAAATTTCGATGTTTTAACCCAAATTTCACATTTTTATCCCCAATTAGGGTCCCCCCCGGTTCCTGGGCTGCCACGGCAAGAACATCCTGCTGTCCAACGGGGGCCGCACGGCCGCGCGCGTCTCCAGCTACAACCAGGGGCTGGTGCTGGTGGGGCCGCCCCTCCCCCCCGGACGCCTCTTCCAGGTGACGTCATCGGCGCCCTTGTGACGTCATCAGCACCCCCATGACGTCATCAACCCCACCCGTGACGTCAGCAGCGCCCCCGTGACGTCATCACCGCCCCTGTGACGTCATCACCGCCCCCGTGACGTCAGCAATGACCCCGTGACGTCAGCAGCACCCCCGTGACGTCAGCAGCCCCACCCATGACGTCATCAAAGCCCCCGTGATGTCATTGCTGCCCCTGTGACGTCATCAATCCCACCCGTGACGTCAGACACGCCCCCGTGACGTCAGCCACACCCCTGTGACATCATCACCGCCCCGTGACGTCAGCAATGACCCCGTGACGTCATCGTCACCCCTGTGATGTCATCAACCCCACCCGTGACGTCATCAATGCCCCTGTGACGTCATCGGGGCTGTTGGGTGGTGGTGACGTCATACAGGGAGGTGGTGACATCATAGGGGAGGTGGTGACATCATTGGGGGGATGGTGGTGATGTCATAGGGGATGTGGTGATGTCATAGGGGACACGGTGACTTCATTGGGGAGGTGGTGACGTCAAACGAGAGCGGCCAATGGGAGATTGGAGAGGTCATGACGTCATTGGGGTTGTGGTGATGTCATAGGGGAGGTGGTGATGTCATTGGGGAGGTAATGACATCATAGGGGACATAGTGACATCATTGGGGAGGTGGTGATGTCAAATGAGAGCGGCCAATGGGAGATTGGGGAGGTGGTGACGTCATTGGGGAGGTGGTGACGTCATTGGGGGTGACATCATAGGGGTGGTGGTGACATCACAGGGGAGGTGGTGATGTCATGGGGACATGGTGATGTCATTGGGGAGGTGGTGACATCATAGGGGAGGTGGTGACGTCATAGTGGACATGGTGACGTCATAGGGGACGGTGGTGATGTCAAACGAGAGCGGCCAATGGGAGATTGGGAAGGTGGCGATGTCACAGGGGAGCAGCCAATGGGGGCTTAGACAGCCGGTGATGTCACAGGGCACGGTGGTGATGTCATGGAGGGGGTGGTGATGTCACAGGGCAGCGGCCAATGGGAGACTGGGGAGGTGGTGACGTCATAGGGGACGGTGGTGATGTCACAGGGGAGTGGCCAATGGGGACCTTGGGGGCACTGAGGGACACGGGGGGGGGTCGCCGATGACATCACCAGGCCCTGATGACATCACCGATGACGTCACAGGTGCAGATCGACGCCCTGAACCCGCAGTGGAGCCGATTTTGGGGGAGTTTGGGGCTGTTTTGGGGCTGTTTTGGGGCGGTTCAGGGGAAGCTGAGGAACACTGGGGGTGGCTGATGACGTCACCCACCCCGATGACGTCACTGTGACATCACCGATGACGTCACAGGTGCAGATCGACGCCCTGAACCCGCAGTGGAGCTCCTCCCTGGCTCTGGGGGTCACCGGGGCCCCCCCCGGCCGCGCCCCCCTCCCGGCCTGCGCCCACGGCCTCAAGCGGCCGGCCTGGATCCTGCAGCGCCGCGGCGTCTTCCACAACGCCAGGAAGGTCAGAAAACACCCAAAATATCCCCAAAAATATCACCAAAATATCCCCAAAATATCTCTGAAATATCCCCTAAATATCCCCAAAATATCCCCTAAATATCCCCAAAATATCCCGAATTATCCCAAACCCCGCCTGGATCCTGCAGCGCCGCGGCGTCTTCCACAACGCCAGGAAGGTCAGAAACACCCCAAAAACTGCCTGAAACACCCCAAAAATATCCCCAAAATATCTCCTAAATATCCCTGAAATACCCCCAAAAATATCCCCAAAAATATACCGAAATATCCCAACCCCCGCTGGATCCTGCAGCGCCGCAGCGTCTTCCACAACGCCAGGAAGGTCAGGAACAGCCAAAATATCCCCAAAATATCCCCAAAATATTCCCAAAATATCCGCTCAATACCCCCAAAAATATCCCCAAAGTATCCCTGAAATAGCCCCAAAATATCCCGAAAAATATCCCCAAAATATCCCTAAAGTATCCCCAAAATATCCCCAGAAATATCCCCAAAATATTCCCAAATTATCCCCTAAATATCCCTGAAATATCCCCAAAGTATCCCCAAAAACATCCTAAAATATCTTTGATATTTGCCTGAAATAACCCCAAAAATATCCCAAACACCCCCAAAATATCCCCAAAAATATCCCTGAAATATCCTCAAAATATCCCCAAAATATCCATGAAAACATCCCGAAAACATCCCAAAATATCCTTGATCTTTGCCTGAAATAACCCCAAAAATGCCCCAAAAATATCCCAAACACCCCCAAATTATCCCTAAAATATCCCAAAAATACCCCCAAAACCCCTCCTGACCCCCAAATTTCACTCTGATCCCCAAATTTACCCAAATTTCACTCTGACCCCCAAATTTACCCAAATTTTGCCCCCCAGGTCCGTGACCTGCCCGGCCCCTCCCTGGAGCTGCTCCCGGCCGGGACCTGTGACCCCAAAACCCCCAAAAACCCCAAAAAAATCCCCAAAACATCCCCAAAACCCCCCCAAACCCTTCCTGACCCCCCCAAATTTCACCCTGACCCCCCAAATCTCACTCTGACCCCCCAAATTTCACTCTGACCCCCCAAATTTTGCCCCCCCAGGTCCGTGACCTGCCCGGCCCCTCCCTGGAGCTGCTCCCAGCCGGGACCTGTGACCCCAAAACTCCCCAAAAAACCCCCAAAACCCCCCAAAAACCCTCCCAAACCCTTCCTGACCCCCCAATTTCAGCTCTGACCCCCCAAATTTCACTCTGACCCCCCAATTTTACCCAAATTTCGCCCCCCAGGTCCGTGACCTGCCGGGCCCCTCCCTGGAGCTGCTCCCGGCCGGGACCTGTGACCCCAAAACTCCCTAAAAACCCCCAAAACATCCCCAAAACCCCCCAAAAACCCCTCCCAAACCCTTCCTAACCCCCCAAATTTCACCCTGACCCCCCAAATTTCACTCTGATCCCTCAAATTTTGCCCCTGAACCCCCAAATTTACCCAAATTTTGCCCTCCCAGATCCGTGACCTGCCCGGCCCCTCTCTGGAGCTGCTCCCGGCCGGGACCTGTGACCCCAAAACTCCCCCAAAAACCCCCCAAAAACCCCCAAAACCCCTCTCAAACCCTTCCTGACCCCCCAAATTTCACTCTGACCCCCCAAATTTCACTCTGACCCCCCAAATTTTCACTCTGACCCCCCAAATTTCGCCCCCCAGGTCCGTGACCTGCCCGGCCCCTCCGTGGAGCTGCTCCCGGCCGGGACCTGTGACCCCAAAACCCCCCAAAAACCCAAAAAAATCCCCAAAACATCCCCCAAAACTCCCTCAAACCCCTTCCTGCCCCCCCAATTTTCACTCTGACCCCCCAAATTTTGCCCCCAGGTCCGTGAGCTGCCCGACCCCTCCCTGGAGCTGCTCCCGGCCGGGACCTGTGACCCCAAAAACCCCCAAAAACCCCCAAAACCCCCCAAAATGCCTCCCAAACCCCTCCTGACCCCCCAAATTTCACTCTGAACCCCCAATTTTAACTCTGACCCCCAAATTTTGCCCCCCCAGGTCCATGACCCACCCGGCCCCTCCCTGGAGCTGCTCCCGGCTGGGACCTGTGACCCCAAAAACCCCCCAAAACACCCCCAAAACCCCCCAAATTTCACTCTGACCCCCCAATTTTCACTCTGACCCCCCAAATTTTGCCCCCCAGGTCCGTGACCTGCCCGGCCCCTCCCTGGAGCTGCTCCCCGCCGGGACGATTTTGGGGCTCCTGGTGGACGGGGGGGGGCGGCTGCACCTCTTCATCAACGGCCGCGACCAGGGCGCCGTGGCCGGGGGGGTGCCCAGCCCCTGCCACGTCCTGCTGGACCTCTACGGGCAGTGCCAGCAGGTGAGGGGGGCACAGGGGCACCCCCAAATCGGGCACCCCAAAAAACCCCGAAAAAACCCGAAATTCGGGGACCCAGAAACACCCGAAATCCAGAAACCCCAAAAATCCCCATCAAAACCCCCCCCTGGGCACACCTGGGCACACCTGTGGGACCTCTACGGGCAGTGCCAGCAGGTGAGGGGCACCCCCAAATCGGGTATCCCAAAAAACCCCAAAAAAAACCCCAAAAAAATGGAATTCTGGGAGCCAGAAACCCCAGAAAGCCCAAAAATCCCCATCAAAACCCCCCCTGGGCACACCTGGGCACACCTGGGCACACCTGTGGGGGCTCTGTGGGCAGTGCCAGCAGGTGAGGGGCACCCCCAAATCGGGCACCCCAAAAAACCCGAAATTCTGGGAGCCAGAAAGACCCGAAATCCAGAAACCCCAAAAATCCCCATCAAAACGCCGCCCAGGCACACCTGGGCACACCTGGGCACACCTGTGGGACCTCTACGGGCAGTGCCAGCAGGTGAGGGGGGCACAGGGGCACCCCCAAATCGGGCACCCCAAAAAAACCCCCAAAAAAACAAAAAAAAACCCCAAAAACCCCGAAATTCTGGGACCCAGAAACACCCGAAATCCAGAAAGCCCAAAAATCCCCATCAAAACCCGCCCCTGGGCACACCTGGGCACACCTGGGCACACCTCTGGGGCATCTGTGGGCAGTGCCAGCAGGTGAGGGGGGCACGGGGGCACCCCAAAATCGGGCACCCCGAAAAACCCCCAAAAAACCCCAAAAAAATGGAATTCTGGGAGCAAAAAACCCCAGAAACCCCAAATTCAGGGCACTGAACCTGCCCAGCCACACCTGGGCACACCTGGGCACACCTGTGGGGCCACTGTGGGCAGTGCCAGCAGGTGAGGGACACCCCCAAATCGGGCACCCCAAAAAAACCAAAAAAACCCAAAAAAACCCCCCAAAAGAATGGAATTCTGGGAGCCAGAAACCCCAGAAAGCCCAAAAATCCCCATCAAAACCCACCTGGGCACACCTGGGCACACCTGGGCACACCTGGGCACACCTGTGGGACCTCTACGGGCAGTGGCAGCAGGTGAGGGGCACCCCCAAATCGGGCACCCCAAAAAACCCCAAAAAAACCCGAAAAAACCCCAAAAAATTGAAATTCTGGGAGCCAGAAACCCCAGAAAGCCCAAAAATCCCCCTCAAAACCCCCCCCGGGCACACCTGGGCACACCTGGGCACACCTGTGGGGGCTCTGTGGGCAGTGCCAGCAGGTGAGGGGCACCCCCAAATCGGGCACCCCAGAAAACCCCAAAAATCCCCAAAAAAAAACCCCAAAAAATTGAAATTCTGGGAGCCAGAAACCCCAGAAAGCCCAAAAATCCCCCTCAAAACCCCCCCCGGGCACACCTGGGCACACCTGGGCACACCTGTGGGGCCTCTACGGGCAGTGCCAGCAGGTGAGGGGCACCCCCAAATCGGGCACCCCAAAAAACCCCGAAAAAACACAAAAAACCCCAAAAAACCCCGAAATTCTGGGAGCCAGAAAGACCCGAAATCCAGAAACCCCAAAAATCCCAAAAATCAGGAAAAAAATCCTTCCAAATCCAACCTTTGGGATGCCCCCAAAATTCCCAGGACCCCCCAAAATGTGTCTGGGACCCCCCAAAAAAAGGTTTGGGACCCCAAAAAGGGTTTGGGGACCCCAGAAAAGGGTCGAGGACCCCCAAAAAGTCCCTGGGACCCCCAAAAATGTGTCTGGGACACCCCAAAAGGGTTTGGGGACCCCCAAAATGGGGTCCAGCCCCACCAGGATGTCCCAAAAAGCCCCAAAATCGATCAGGGACCCCCAAAAAAGGGTTTGGGACCCCCAAAAAACTCCCAAGAACCCCCCAAAATCAGTCAGGGACTCCCCAAAAAAGGGTTTGGGACCCCAAAAAGGGTTTGGGGGCCCCAGAAAAGGGTCAAGGACCCCCAAAAAGTCCCTGGGACCCCAAAAATCGACCAGGGACCCCCCAAAAAAGGGTTGGGACCCCCCAAAAAACTCCCAAGAACCCCCCAAAATCGGTCAGGGACCCCCCAAAAAAGGGTCTGGGACACCCCAAAAGGGTTTGGGGACCCCAAATCCGGCCCAGCCCCCCCAAATCCCTTCCCCCCCCCCCAGGTGACGATCGTGACCGAGGGTCCGGCCGGGGGGGGCTCCCCCAGCGGGGACCCCCGAAATCGGGGGGACGTGGAGAAAGCCGACGTGGTGGACGGTGAGGGGCACCCCGAAATTCGGGGGTTTGGGGGGGCTGGGACCCCAAAATCTGGGGTTGGACCCAAAAATTTGGGGGTTTGACCCACAAATTTGGGTGTTTGGGAGCCCCAAAATGTGGGGGACCCCGAAATTTGGGGGTTTGAGGGACAGGGACCCCAAAATCCGGGATTTGACCCCAAAATTCGGGGGTTTGGGAGCCCTAAAATGGGGGGGACCCCGAAATTTGGGGGTTCGGGGGGGGCTGGGACCCCAAAATCAGGGATGTGACCCCAAAATTTGGGGGGTTTGACAATGAAATTTGGGGGTTAGGGAGCCCCAAAATGGGGGGACCCCAAAATTTGGGAGTTTGGGAACCCAAAATTGGGGGGGACTCCAAAATTTGGGGGCTTGGGAGCCCTAAAATGGGGGGGGACCCCAAAATTTGGGGGTTTGGGGGGGCTGGGACCCCAAAATCTGGGGTTGGACCCTGAAATTTGGGGGTTTGACAATGAAATTTGGGGGTTTGGGAGCCCCAAAATGGGGGGGACCCCAAAATTTGGGAGTTTGGGAACCCAAAATTGGGGGGGATCCCAAAATTCGTGGGTTTGGGGTGGGTGGGACCCCAAAATCCGGGATTTGACCCCAAAATTTGGGGGTTTGGGAGCCCCAAAATGGGGGGGACCCCGAAATTTGGGAGTTTGGGAACCCAAAATTGGGGGGGACCCCAAAATTTAGGGATTTGGGAGGGCTGGGACCCCAAAATCAGGGATGTGACCCCAAAATTTTGGGGCTTGGAGCCCTAAATTGGGGGGGGATCCCAAAATTCGTGGGTTTGGGGTGGGTGGGACCCCAAAATCCGGGATTTTACCCCAAAATTTGGGGGTTTGGGAGCCCGAAATTGGGGAGCACCCAGAAATTTGGGGGCTCTGGGAAGGGGAGACCCCAAAATTTGGGGGTTTGGGAGCCCAAAATTGGGGGAGAACCCCAAAATTCGAAGGGTTTGGGCTCTGCAACCCCAAAATATGGGATGTGACCCCAAAATTTGAGGGTTTGGGAGCCATAAATTGGGGATATCCCAAAATTTGGGGGGTCTGGGAGAGGGGACCCCCAAAATTTGTGGTGGGTGAGGGTCAAGGAACCCCAAATTTTGGTGGGGGGGGGGTGGTCAAGGAACCCCAAATTTGGGGCAATTCAGAAGAAAAATCTCAATTTTTGGGGCTTGGGGAGGCTCTGGAAGCCCCAAATTTTGGGGAGGGGGTTTTGGGGACCCCCCGGTTTTTTTGGGGGGGGTCTGGGTGGGCTCTGAGCCCCCCCTGCCCCCCCCAGGGGTGAAGGAGAGCCTCTGTTGGGGTCCCCCCGCGCCCCCCCAGCCCTGCCCCTACCAGGCGCTCTGTGCCCGCTTCAAGGACCTGCTGCTGCTGCCCGGTGGGTCTGGGGGCTTTTGGGGGGGTTTGGGGGGGTTTGGGGGGATTTGGGGGGGTTTGGGAGAATTTGGGGGACATCTGGGGGGTCCTGAGTGGGATTTAGGGGGTCCTGGGGGGGATTTGGGGGGTCCTGAGGGGGATTTTGGGGGTTTTGGGGGGTCCTGGGGGGGGTTGGGGGGGGGTTGGGGGGTCCTGGGAGGGATTTTGGGGGGTCCTGAGTGGGATTTGGGGGGTCCTGAGGGGGATTTTGGGGGCTTTGGGGGGTCCTAGGGGGATTTGGGGTGGTTTGGGGGGGTCGTGGGAGGGATTTTGGGGGGTCCTGGGGGGGTTTGGGGTGTCTTGGGGGGTTTTGGGGGGCATTTGGGGGGTCCTTAGGGGGGATTTGGGGCGTTCTGGGGGAGGTTTGGGGGTTCCTGAGGAGGATTTGGGGGGCATTTGGGGGGTCCTGGGGGGGATTTGGGGGGTCCTGGGGGGATTTTGGGGGGTCCTAAGGGGGTTTGGGGGGTCCTGGGAGGGATTTTGGGGGGTGCTGGGGGGGGGTTGGGGGAGGATTTGGGGTCCCTGACTGCATTTTTGGAGGTTCTGACCCCATTTTTTAGGTCTTGTCCCCAATTTTGGGGTTCCTGACCCATTTTTGGGGTCCCTGACTTCATTTTTTGAGGTTTTAACTCCGATTTTGAGGTCCCTGACCCCGTTTTTGGGGTCCCTGACCCCGATTTGGGGTCCCTGACCCCATTTCTGGGGTCCCTGCCCCCCCTTTCCGTGGTCCTGACCCCGATTTGGGGGTCCCTGACCCCGTTTTTGGGTCCCTGACCCCGATTTTGGGTCCCTGACCCCGATTTGGGGGTCCCTGACCCCGATTTTGGTGTCCCTGACCCCGTTTTTAGGGTCCCTGACCCCGATTTTGGGGTCCCCGCCCCATTTCCCCCCCACAGATGAGTACTTCGCCCCCGAGCCGCGGCGCAGCCGCTGCTTCTGTCAGGGCTGTGAGCGGGGGGGGGGCGACCCCCGGGACCCCCGGGAGCCCCCCCTGCCCCTGGGCTGGTGCCGCTTCAGCCTCCGGTACGGGGGAATTGGGGGGCTTGGGGGGGATTTGGGGGGTCTGGGGGGGATTTGGGGGGGTCTGGGGGGTCCTGGGGGGTTTTGGGGGGGTTTGGGGGTGTCCTGGGGGGGCTTGGGGGGGATTTCGGGGAGTCCTGGGGGGTCCTGGGGGACTCTGGGGTGGGGGGCTTGCAGGGATTTGGGGTGGAACTGGGGGGTTTGGAGGTCCTGGGGGGGTTTGGGTGGAGTTTGGGGGGATTTGGGGGGATTTGGGTGGGATTTTGGGGGTCTTGGGGGGTTAGGGGGGATTTGGGGGGGGTTTAGGGGGGATTTGGGGAGTCCTGGGTGGGTCTGGGGGGAATTTGGGGGGTCCTGGGGGCAATTTTGGGGGGATTTGGGGAGTCCTGGGGGGGTTTGGGTGGAGTTTGCTGTGGATTTTGGGGTTCGGGTTTAATTGGTTGTGGATTTTGGGGTTCGGGGTTAATTTGGGGTGGATTTTGGGGGTTGATTTTGGGGATTCTGATCAACTTTGGGGTGGATTTTGGGGTTCGGGGTTGATTTGCTGTGGGTTTTGGGGTTCGGGGTTCATTTGGGGTGGATTTTGGGGTTGGGGGTTAATTTTGGGGTGCATTTTGGGATGGATTTTGGGGTTCGGGGTTAATTTTGGGGTGGATTTTGGGGATTCTGATTAACTTTGGGGTGGATTTCGGGGTTCAGGGTTAATTTGGGGTGCATTTTGGGGTTCAGGGTTAATTTTGGGATGGATTTGGGGGTTCAGGGTTAATTTTGGGGTGGATTTTGGGGTGTATTTTGGGGTTCAGGGTTAATTTTGGGATAGATTTCAGGGTTCAGGGTTAACTTTGGGTGCATTTTGGGGTCCCCAGGCCGAAGCCGCGGCCCGAGGGGGGCGGGGGGTGGCAGAAGTGGCCTCGGGCCTATCACGGCACCAGCGCCGGCGCCGTGCGGCGCAGCCTCGACCGCGGGGAGCTCGTGCCAGGTGGGACCCCGAAAACGGGATGGGAACCCCAAAAATGGGGGTGGGAACACCAAAAATGGGCTGGGAACCCCAAAATGGGGGTGGGACTCCGAAATGGGCACGGGGACCCAAAAAATGGGATTGGGAACCCCAAAATGGGCTGGGAACCCCAAAAATGGGGATGAGAACCCCGAAAATGGGCACCGGGACCCCAAAATGGGCACGGGGACACCAACAATGGGGGTGGGGACCCCAAAAATGGGGGTGGGACCCCAAAATGGGGGTGGGACTCCGAAAATGGGGGTGGGAACGGCAAAAATGGGGTTGGGGAGCACAAAATTAGGCATGGGAACCCCCAAAATGGGGATGGGACCCCGAAAATGGGGATGGGAAAGCCAAAAATGAGGATGGGGACCCTGAAAATGGGCATGGGACCCCAAAATGGGGGTGGAACCCCAAAATGGGCACGGGGATCCCAAAAATAGGGATGGGGACCCCTAAAATGGGATGGACACCCCAAAATCGGGATGGACACCCTGAAAACGGGTCTGGGAGCCCAAAAATGGGGAGGGGGAGGCTGAAAATGGGGACAGGTCCCAAAAAATGGGGAGGGGACCCTGAAAACGGGGAGGGGTCCCAAAAATGGGGAGGGGGACCCCCAAAAACCGTGAGGGCCCCCTCAATCCCCCCCCCCCCAGGCCCGTGGTCGCTGCTCAGCGCCCCCTGCCGGCCGGAGCCGCCTGGCCCCGCCCACCCGCGCTCAGGCCCCGCCCCCCCGGGCCCCGGGCCACGCCCCCCCGGCCCCGCCCCCCTGGTGCTGTCCCCCGCCCTCGGGTACGCCGCCATGGAGCCGTTCGCCAGCCGCGTCACGTGAGTGGGCGGGGACACGGGAAGGGGCGGGGCCAAAGGAAAGGGGCGGGGCCAAAGGAAAGGGGCGGGGCCAACTGTGAGGGGGAGGCGCGAAAGAAAAGTGGGAGGGGCAACAGAAAAGTGGGAGTGGCTAATGAAAAGTGGGAGGGGCTAAAGAATAGTGGGAGGAGCTAAAAATAGTGGGAGGGACTAAATAAAAGTGGGAGGGAATAAGGGAAAATGGGAGTGGCTAAAGAAAAGTAGGAGGGGCAAAAAATTAGTGGGAGGAGCTAAGGAAAAGTAAGAGGGGCTAAAAAATAGTGGGAGGGGCTAAATAAAAGTGGGAGGGGCTAAATAACAGTGGGAGGAGCTAAGGAAAAGTGGGAGGGGATAAGGGAAAATGGGAGTGGCTAAAGAAAGGTGGGAGGGGCAAAAGAACAGTGGGAGGGGCTAAGGAAAAGGGAGGGGCTAAAGAATTTGGGGTCTTGTTAGGGGGGAGTTTTGTGTTGGATTTTGGGATATTTTAGGATATTTTGGGTTGTTTTGGGTTATTTTGGGACATTTTCTGAGTCCTTTCTCGCCCTCCAGCTTCCGGGAGCCGGGCTGGCTTTGGGGTGAATTTTGGGGTGAATTTTGGGGTGAATTTTAGGCTGGCTTTGGGGTGAATTTTGGGGTGAATTTTGGGCTATTTTAGGCTATTTAAAGCTATTTTATGACCCGTTTTTCCCCCCCCAGGTTCCGGGAGCCGGGCTGGCCGCGGCCCCGGGGGGCTCAGGTGGCCTTCGAGGTTTGGGTCCGTCCCGGCTCCTTCCGGGCCGGGCCCCCCTCGCTGAGCCCCCCCCCAGCCCTGGAGCCCCCCCAGGGGCTGGACCCCGCCCAGCTGGAGTGGGTGACCAAGGAGCCGGGGGCCACCGTGCTGGCCGGGCTGCTGGTCCGCGTCGACTGAGCCCCCGAAAATGGGAGAAATCACCTCAAAAATGTGGGGGGAATCACCCCAAAACTGTGGTGGAATCGCCCTGGAAATATGGGGGGAATCGTTCCAAAAATGGGGGAGTTATCACCCAGAAATGGGAGAAATCACCTCGAAAATGTGGGAGGAATCACCCCAAAACTGTGGTGGAATCGCCCCGAAAATTGGGGGGGAATCGTCCCAAAAATGGGGGAGTTATCACCCAAAAATGGGAGAAATCACCTCGAAAATGTGGGAGGAATCGCCCCAAAGATATGGGAGGAATTGTCCCAAAAATGAGGGAAATCGCCCTGAAAATATGGGATAAATCACCCCAAAAATGGGAGAAATCGCCCTGAAAATGTGGGGGGAATAGTCCCAAAAATGGGGGAATTATCACCCAAAAAATGGGAGAAATCGCCCTGAAAATATGGGGGGAATTTTCCCAAAATATGTGGGAATTACCACCCAAAAATGGGAGAAGGTACCCCAAAAACTATGGAGGAAATCACCCACAAATGGGAGAAATCACCCCAAAAATGTGGATGAGTCACCTCGAAAAATTGGACGAGATCACCCCAAAAATGAGAGAATTATTATCCAAAAATGGGGGAATTTTTGGGAAAAATTGGGGGAATTCCTTCAAAAAAATTCTCACAAAAATATGGGGAAATTCCATGGGAAAATGGGGGAATTCTGTCAAAATTTAGTAGAATTTCATCAAAATATGGGGAGATTTCTCCCCAAAACAGGAAAATTTCTCCAAAATTTCACCAAAAATTTGGAAATTTCTTCAAAAATATTTGGAAATTTCCCCTAAAAATGTGGGAGTTTCTCGCAAAAAAAATTTGGTTATTTCTCCCAAAAAATTGGGAAATTTCTCCCCAAAACATTTGGGAATTTCTCCCAAAAAAAACTTTAGGAATTTTCCCGAAAAATTAGGGAATTTCTCCCCCAAGAATTTGGGAATTTTTCCTAAGAAATTGGGCCTTTTTCCCCAAAAATGTGGGAATTTATCTAAAAAAATTTTGGGAATTTCTGAAAAAAAATTTGGGAATTTCTCCCCGAAAATTTGGAAATTTCTCCCCAAAAATTTGGGAATTCCTCCCAGGAAGGAAAACCCCCCAAAAAAATCTCCAGGGATGGGGACCCCAAAATTTAGGGGGGGGTTGGAAAGACGAGAACCCCCCAGAAATGAGGGGGACTCCCCAAAAAATTTGGGATCCCCCAAAATTGAGGAAACCCCCCCAAAAAATGGGAAAAATCCTCAAAATTTGGGACCCCCCCCCCAAAAATGGGGAAAACCCCCCAGGAATTGGGGACCCCCCCAAAACCGCCCCAATTTTGGGGTCCTTGATCTCATTTTTGGGGGGGTTCACCCCAAATTTTGGGTCTCCCCCAAATTTGGGAAGGGGGAACCACTTCTGGTGGTGGGGGAGGGGCCCCCACATTTTTTTGGGGGAGGGGGGTCCTTAAATCTCAAATTTTGGGGTCTTTTCGCCCAATTTAGGGATTCTTGATCAATTTTTGGGGGGTTTCACCCCAATTTTTTTTGGGGAGGGAGGGGTCACGGCACTTCCCCCCTCCCCCACTGCACAGCCCCTCCCCCCCGCCCCTCCCCCCCCCCCTTTATTTATTGCCCCAAATGTGAACCCGGGGGTGGGGGGAGGGGATTTTTGGGGGGGTTTCGGGGTTTTTTGGGGGTTTCTGGTCGGGTTTAATTTTTGGTTTTTTTGTGTTTTTTTCTCGGTTTTTTTTTGATTTTTTTTTTAAAAATGAATTTTTATTTAAAGCTGCTGCGAGGGGGGTGGGGGAGGGGGGGCCGAGCCCCTCCTCCCCCCTTTTCCCCTCCCCTCCCCCCTCCCCAAAATAAAACCGTGAGAGAAAAATGTTGGAATTTTCTGTGGGGGAGGGGCGGGAAATTTTGGGGGGCCATGGGGTGGGGGAGGGGCCTGAGGAAGCTAAAGGGGCGTGGCTTAGTTTTATTTAATTATCAGTGCGTCATTTAGCCTTATAAGGAAATTGGGGGGGGGCTTGGCATCGTTTTCATGCAAATGCGTGAATTTTTTCCCTTATATGGTAATCAGGGCGTGGTTAAGACTAATTTCCATGCAAATATGCAATTTTTTCCTTAAATGGTAATCAGGGCATGGTTATGCCTAATTTCCATGCAAATGTGCAATTTTTTCCTTATATGGTAATCAGGGCGTGGTTAAGCCTCGTTTTCATGCAAAGGTGTGAATTTTTTCCCTTATATGGTAATCAGGGCATGGTTAAGCCTAATTTCCATGCAAATGTGCCTCATTTTCATGCAAAGGTGTGAAATTTTTTCTTTATATGGTAATCGGGGCATGGTTTAGCCTCGTTTTCACCCCAAGGTGCGTGTTTTTTCCTTAAATGGTAATCAGGGCGTGGTTTAGCCTCATTTTCATGCAAAGGTGTGAAATTTTCCCTTATATGGTAATCGGAGCGTGGTTTATCCTCATTTACTCACAAGGGGCGTGGCTTAGCCTCGTTCCCGCTCGAGTGGGCGTGGCCTCGCCTCACGGAGCGGTTTGGGGCGTGGTTTAGCCTCGTTCCCGCTCGGGTGGGCGTGGCTTCGCCTCACGGAGCGCTTTGGGGCGTGGCTTAGCCTCGTTCCCGCCGAAAGGGGGCGTGGCCTCGCTCTGAGGGGAACCCTTCCCCTCGGCCGCCGCCGCCGCTCCGGAAGCGGAACCGCGACCGCGGCCCGGCCCCGATCCCGATCCCGGCCCCGATCCCGGTCCCGCGGCCCCGGCCCGGCCCGCTCGGAGCCTCCGGGACCCGGAGCCTCATCCCGGCCCCGCTCGGAGCCTCGGGGACCCGGCGCGGCCCCGTCCCCGCCCGCTTCCCCTCACCCCCCCGGTCTCCGCCACGATGCCGGCGCTGCTGGAGCGGCCGAAGCTGAGCTCGGCCATGGCGCGGGCGCTGCACCGCCACGTCATGGTGGAGCGGGAGCGAAAGCGGCAGGGTGAGAGCGGGGGAGCCCCGGGACCGGGCGGGGTGGGGGCGGGGGAGCCCCGGAGGGTCCCGGGAGGGTCCCGGGAGGGTCCCGGGAAGGTCCCCGGAGGGTCCCGGGCCGGGGGAGCCCCGCAGGGCCCCGGAAGGGTCCCGGGAGGGTCTCCCGAGGGTCCCGGGCCGGGGGAGCCCCGCAGGGCCCCGGGAGGGTCCCGGGAGGGCCCCGGGAGGGTCCCGGGCCGGGGGAGCCCCGCAGGGTCCCGGGAGGGTCTCCGGAGGGTCCCGGGAGGGTCCCTGAGGGCCCCGCGCCGCCATGGCGGGGTTGCCATGGCAACTTGAGACGCCCCCGGGGTCTCCGTAGCAACAGGCCACGCCCCCGATGGGGTTACCATGGCAACAGGCCACGCCCCCTCGGCGTCTCCATGGCGCCGTTTCTGTGGGGGAGGCCACGCCCCCGGTGGGGTTACCATGGCAACAGGCCACGCCCCCTTAGGGGAGGGGGTCGGGTCAAGGTGGAGCTGGGACCCCCAAAATCCCACAGTGACCCCTGAGTGACCCCTACGTGACCCCTACGTGACCCCCTGACCACTGAGTGACCACTGAATGACCCCTGAGTGACAACTGAGTTACCCCTGTATGACCCTAAGTGACCCTGAGTGACCCCTGCTGACCCTGAGTGAGCCCTGAGTGACCCTGAATGACCCCTGAGTGACCCCTGAGTGACCACTGAGTTACCCCTGGATGACCCTGGGTGACCTCTGAATGACCCCTGAGTGACCCTGAATGACCCTAAGTGACCCCGAGTGACCCGAGTGACCCCTGCTGACCATGAGTGACCCCTGAGTGACTCTGAGTGACCAATGAGTGACCACTGAGTGACCCCTGAATGACCCCTGAGTGACCCTGAGTGACCTTAAGTGACTCCTGAGTGACCCCTGAATGACCTGAATGACCCCTGAGTGACCCCGGGTGACCCCGGGTGACCCCGGGTGACCCCGGTGCCCTCTGGCCGCAGAGGAGGAGGAGGTGGACAAGATGATGGAGCAGAAGGTGCGGGAGGAGCAGGAGCGGCGCCGGCGGAAGGAGCTGGAGGAGAGGATGTCCCTGGAGGAGACACGAGAACAGGTGGGGAATTCACCAAAATCCCAAAAAATTCACCCAAAATATTCACCCAAAATCTCAAAAAATCCCTCTCAAAAATCCCCCTGAAATCGCAAAAAAATCCCAAAAAATCCCCTCAAAATCGCCCCCCTGGAGCAGAGGATGTCCCTGGAGAAGACCCGGGAGCAGGTGGGGAATTCACCAAAAAACACAAAAATCAACCCAAAACTCAACCCAAAAATCCCCAAAAAATCTGTCTAAAAAAAACCCAAAAAATCCCTGAAAATTCCCCAAAAATCCCCCCAAAATCACCTCCCTTGAGCAGAGGATGTCCCTGGAGGAGACACGAGAACAGGTGGGGAATTCACCAAAAAACACAGAAATCAACCCAAAAATCAACCCAAAAATCCCAAAAAAAATCTGTCCAAAAAAAACCCAAAAAATCCCCTGAAAATTCCCCAAAAATAGCCCCAAAATCGCCCCCCTGGAGGAGAGGATGTCCCTGGAGGAGACCCGGGAGCAGGTGGGGAATTCACCAAAAAACACAGAAATCAACCCAAAAATCAACCCAAAATCCCAAAAAATCCCTCTCAAAAATCCCCCTGAAATGGCAAAAAAATCCCAAAAATTCCCAAAAAAACCCCCCGAAATCGCCTCCCTGGAGGAGACACGAGAACAGGTGGGGAATTCACCAAAATCCCAAAAAATTCACCCAAAATATTCACCCAAAATCTCAAAAAAATCCATCCCAAAAATCCCCTAAAAATTCCCCCAAAAATCCCCTGAAAATTCCCCAAAAATCCCCCCAAAATCGCCTCCGTGGAGGAGAAGATGTCCCTGGAGGAGACACGAGAGCAGGTGGGGAATTCACCAAAAAACACAAAATTCAACCCAAAAATCAACCCAAAAATCAACCCAAAAATCCCCAAAAAATCTGTCCAAAAAACCCCAAAAAATCCCCTGAAAATTCCCCAAAAATCCCCCCAAAATCGCCTCCCTGGAGGAGAGGATGTCCCTGGAGGAGACACAAGAACAGGTGGGGAAAAATGCACCAAAATCCCAAAAAATTCACCCAAAAATTCCCCAAAATCCCCCAAAAAATCCATCCCAAAAATCCCCTAAAGAATCCCCAAAAAAATCCCCTGAAAATTCCCCAAAAATAGCCCCAAAATCGCCCCCCTGGAGGAGAGGATGTCCCTGGAGGAGACCCGAGAACAGGTGGGGAATTCACCAAAAAACACAAAAATCAACCCAAAACTCAACCCAAAAATCCCAAAATATCTGTCAAAAAAAAAAATCCCAAAAAATCCCCTGAAAATTCCCCAAAAATCCCCCCAAAATCGACCCCCTGGAGGAGAGGATGTCCCTGGAGGAGACACGAGAACAGGTGGGGAATTCACCAAAATCCCAAAAAATTCACCCAAAAATCTTCCAAAAATTGCAAAAAAATCCCTCCCAAAAATCCCCTAAATAATCCCCCAAAAATCCCCTGAAAATTCCCAAAAAATAGCCCCAAAATCACCTCCCTGGAGCAGAGGATGTCCCTGGAGGAGACCCGGGAGCAGGTGGGGAATTCACCAAAAAACACAAAAATCAACCCAAAAATCCCAAAAAAATCCCTCTCAAAAATCCCCCTGAAATCGCAAAAAAATCCCAAAAAATCCCCCCAAAATCGCCTCCCTGGAGGAGAGGATGTCCCTGGAGGAGACCCGAGAGCAGGTGGGGAATTCACCAAAAAACACAGAAATCAACCCAAAAATCAACCCCAAATTCCCCTGAAATCCCCAAAAAATCCCTCTCAAAAATACCCCCAAAATCGCAATAAAATCACCCAAAATTGCCTCCCTGGAGGAGAGGATGTCCCTGGAGGAGACACGAGAACAGGTGGGGAATTCACCAAAATCCCAAAAAATTCACCCAAAATATTCACCCAAAATCCCCCAAAAATCCATCTCAAAAACCCCCAAAAAAATCCCCTAAAAATTCACCCAAAATCGCAACAAAATCACCCAAAATCCCCCCAAAATCGCCTCCCTGGAGCAGAGGATGTCCCTGGAGGAGACACGAGAACAGGTGGGGAAAAATTCACCAAAATCCCAAAAAATACACCCAAAAATCATCTCAAAAATCCTTCCAAAATTTGCAAAAAACAAAAAAAAGCCATCCCAAAATTCCCCTTGAAATCCCAAAATAAATCCAAAAAAATTCACCCAAAAAATTCACCCAAAATCCCAAAAAAATCCATCCCAAAAATCCCCTAAAAATTCCCCCAAAATTCCCGTTTTTTCCCCCAAAAAAATCCCATTTCTCCCCCCAAAAATCGCTTATTCCTTCCCAAAAATCGCTTATTTTTCCCTAAAAATCCCACTTTTTTGGGCTAAAATCCTCTTTTTTTTTGTTAAAATCCCCATTTCTTTTGCCAAAATTCCCGTTTTTTCCCAAAATCCCTTTTTTTCCCCCCAAATCAGCTGCTGAAGCTGCAGGAGAAGCTGGGGGCGCTGCAGGAGGAAAAACTCCTTTAAAAATCCCATTTTTTGGGCTAAAATCCCCTTTTTTTTTCTAAAATCTCTTCTTTTTTTGCCAAATTTGTCCTTTTTTCCCAAAATCCTGGTTTTTCACCCCAAATTTAGCTGCTGAAGCTGCAGGAGAAGCTGGGGGAGGAAAAGCTCCCTTAAAAATCAGATTTTTCCCAAAAAGAATCCCTTTTTTTGGGCTAAAATCCCCATTTTTTGGGCTAAAATCCCCATTTTTTTTGCCAAAATGCCAATTTTTTGTGCCAAAATTCCCGTTTTTTCCCAAAATCCCATTTTTTCACCCCAAATTTAGCTGCTGAAGCTGCAGGAGAAGCTGGGCGCGCTGCAGGAGGAGAAGCATCAGCTCTTCCTGCAGCTCAAGAAGGTTCTGCACGAGGAGGAGAAACGGCGCCGCAAAGAGCAGAGGTGGTTTGGGGGGAAAAAACGGGATTTTGGGAAAAAATGGGATTTCGGGAAAAATCAGGGGAATTCTGGGAAAAAATTGGGAGTTTTTGGGGTAAAAATGGGGATTTTAATGGGGAAAATGGGGATTTTGGGGGGGGAAATAATGGGGATTTTTGGGATGAAAAATAAGGAGGTTTGGGGTAAAAATGGGGATTATGGGGTGAAAAATGGAGATTTTGGGAAATATAATGGGGATTTGGGGGGGAAATGGGAATTTTGTGTGGAAAAATGGCATTTTTGGGGGGGGAAATGGGCATTTTGGGAAAAATTGGGGATTTGGGGAAAAATGGGAATTTTGGGATAAAACTGGGGGATTTTGGGGGAAAAAACAGGAATTTGGGGGGAAAATTGGGAGTTTAGGGGGACAATGGGGATTTTGGGAAAAATAATTGGAATTTTGGGGGAAATAATGTGAATTTGGGGGAAATTTGGAGTTTTTGATGTAAAAATTGGGATTTTAAGGGGAGAAATGGGGATTTTGGGGGAAAATTGGGACTTTTTGGGTAAAAGTGGGGATTTTGGGGAAAATCGAGGATTTGGGGGACAATTGGGAATTTTTGGGTAAAAATGGGGATTTTGGGGGTAAAAGTGGGGATTTTAAGGGGAAAAGTGGGGATTTGAGGAAAATTGAGGATTTGTGGAAAAAAATGGGGATTTTCGGGAAAGAAATGGGAATTTGGGGAAACAATTGGGGGTTTTTGGGTAAAAATAGTGCTTTTTGGAGGAAAATGGGATTTTTTGGGGGAAAACGAGATTTTTGGGGGGGAAAAATGAGAATTTAGAGGGAAAATATGGGGATATTGGGGGGGAAATCGCAGTTCAGGTTTTTCTGGGGAAAATGGGATTTTTGAGGGGTTTTGGAGGAGATTTTTGGGTTTTCCAGGTGTTTGAGGGGGTTTTTTTTGCCTGTTTTGGGTTTAATTTGGCTGTTTTGGGGTGAATTTGGGTGATTTTGGGCTGCTTTGGGTTGGTTTTGTCCATTTTGGGCTGGTTTGGGGTGGATTTGGCTGATTTTGGGCTGTTTTGGGCTGATTTTGGGGTGATTTTGGGGCTGGTTTTGGGTGGATTTGTCTGGTTTTGGCTGTTTTGGGCTGATTTTGGGCGGATTTTGGGGCTGTTTTTTGGGTGGATTTGTCTGGTTTTGCATGTTTTGGGTGATTTTGGGTGATTTTGGGTGGATTTGTCTGTTTTTTGGGTGGATTTGTCTGATTTTGGGTGATTTTGTGTGGATTTGTCTGGTTTTGGGGTGATTTTGGGTGGATTTGTGTGGATTTGTCTGTTTTTTGGGTGATTTTGGGTGGATTTGTCTGGTTTTGGCTGGTTTTTGGGTGATTTTGGGTGATTTTGGGTGGATTTGTCTGTTTTTGCCTGTTTTGGGCTGGTTTTTGGGTGATTTTGTGCTGATTTTGGGTGGATTTGTCTGTTTTTTGGGTGATTTTGGGTGTATTTGTCTAGTTTTTGTCTGTTTTTGGGTGATTTTGTGCTGATTTTGGGTGTATTTGTCTGTTTTTGTCTGTTTTTTGGCTGTTTTTGGGTGATTTTCTGCTGTCGTGGCTCCTGCCCCTCCTGCAGTGACCTGACCACGCTGACGGCGGCCGCGTACCCCCAAAGTTTGGGGGTGCCGGGGGCGCATCTGCTCGGCATGACCGGTGAGGGACGGGGGTGGGGGGTTTGGGGGGGTTTGGGGGGGTTTGGGGGGTCCTGGGGGGATTTTGGGGGGGATTTGGAGGGGATTTTGGGGTAATTTTGGGGGTCCTGGGGGGGATTTGGGGGGTTTGGGGGGTCCTGGGGAGGATTTTGGGGGTCCTGGGGGGGATTTTGGGGGTCCTGGGGGGGATTTTGGGGGTCCTGGGGGGGGTTGAGGAGGTGATTTGGGGGGTCTTGGGAAGGTTTTGGGGGGGTTGGGGGGTCCTGGGGCTGATTTTGGGGTAATTTTGGGGCTGATTTTGGGGTAATTTTGGCACTGACTTAGAGGTAATTTTGGGGTGACTTTGAGGTAATTTTGGGATGATTTTGGGGTGACTTTGAGGTAATTTTGGGGCTGACTTTGTGGTAATTTTGGGGTGGTTTTGGGGTAATTTTGGGGTGTTTGTGAGGTAATTTTGGGGTGTTTGTTAGATAATTTTGGGGTGTTTTTGGGGTAATTTTGGGGTGTTTTTGGGGTGACTTTGAGGTAATTTTGGGGTGTTTGTGAGGTAATTTTGGGGTGTTTGTGAGGTAATTTTGGGCTCATTTTGGGGCTGACTTTGTGGTAATTTTGGGGTGTTTGTGAGGTAATTTTGGGGTGTTTGTGAGATAATTTTGGGGTGGTTTTGGGGTAACTTTGGGGTGTTTTTGTGGTAATTTTGGGGTGTTTTGGGGTCCCACAGGCAGCCCGGGGGGGCCTCGCTCGGGGCTCATCGGGGCCGATCGGGCCAAGCAAATGTTCGGACCCCCCGTGATCAGCGTGAGTCGGGCTTGGGGATTTGGGGGGATTTTGGGTAAATTTGGGGGATTTGGGGTGTTTGTGGGTATTGGAAGGATTTGGGGTGGTTTTGGGGCAGTTTTGGGGTGGTTTTGGGTTCTTTTTGGGGTTTTTGGGTATTTTGTGGTGGGTTTGGGGATATTTGTGGGGATGGGAAGGATTTTGGGGTGTGATTTGGGGGTGATTTTGGGTGATTTTGGGTGGTTTTGGGTGATTTTGGGGTGTTTCTGGGGTGATTTGGGGTGGTTTTGGGGTGATTTGAGGTGATTTGGGGTGATTTTGGTGATTTTGGGATGTTTTTGGGTGATTCTGGGGTGATTTTGGGGTGATTTTGGGGTGTTTTGGGGTGATTTTGGGGTGATTTTGAGGTGTTTTTGAGTGATTTGGGGTGTTTTTGGGGTGATTTTGGGTGATGTTGGGGTGATGTTGGGTGGTTTTGTGGTGATTTTGGGGTGATTTTGGGCTGATTTTGGCTGATTTTGGCTGATTTTGGCTGATTTTGGGGTGTTTTGGGGTGATTTTGAGTGATTTTGGCTGATTTTGGCTGATTTTGGGGTGATTTTGGGTTATTTTGGGGTGATTTTGGGTGTTTGTGGGATGTTTTTGTGTGTTTTTGGGTGTTTTTGGGGTGTTTTTGGATGTTTTTGGGTGATTTTGGGGTGGTTTTGGGTGTTTTTAGGGGTTTTTGGGTGATTTTGGGATGTTTTTGGGTGATTTTGGGTTTTATTGGGGTGTTTTGGGGGTGATTTTGGTGATTTGGGGTGGTTTTTGGGTGATTTTGGGTGATTTGGGGTGATTTGAGGTGATTTTAGGGTAATTTGGGGTGTTTCGGGGTGTTTTTGGGGTGTTTTTGAGTGTTTTGTGTTGATTTTGGGGTGATTTTGGGGTGATTTTGGCTGATTTTGGGGTGATTTTGGCTGATTTGGGCTGTTTTTGGGTGATTTTTGGGTGATTTTGGCTCATTTTGGGTGATTTTGGGGTATTTGGGTGTTTTTGGCTGATTTTGGGGTGATTTTGGGTGTTTTGGCCGTTCCAGCCGCGCCATTTCGGGGCGCAGCCGCCCTTCGGGGCCGGGGGGGACCCCGGAGCTTTTGGGGGGGCCCAGGGGGGTCCCGGCCCCGCCCCCTTCGGGGTGGGGCAAAGTCCGGCCCCGCCCCCGCCCTTCCCCCCCGCCCAACCCCCACCGGCCTACGGAGGAGCCCAACAGCTGCGGGGTGAGACTGGGGAGACTGGTTTGTACTGGGAGGGACTGGGAGGGGACTGGGAGGGACTGGGAGGGACTGGAGGGGAACTGGGGGGGAACTGGTTTCTACTGGGATGGACTGGGAGGGACTGGGAGGGATTGGGAGGGACTGGGAGGGAACTGGTTTATACTGGGAGGGGACTGGGGGGGACTGGGAGGAGTCACTGGGTGTTTCTGCTCCATACTGGTCCATACCGGTCCATACTGGTTTATACTGGTTTATACTGCTCCATACTGGTCTGTACCGGTCCATACTGCTCCATACTGGTCCGTACTGGTCCATACTGGTTTATACTGGTCCGTACTGGTCCATACTGGTCCGTACTGGTTTATACTGGTCCATACTGGTCCATACTGGTTTATACTGGTCCGTACTGGTCCATACTGGTCCGTACTGGTCCATACTGGTCCGTACTGGTCTGTACTGGTCCGTACTGGTCTGTACTGGTTTATACTGGTCTGTACTGGTCCATACCGGTTTATACTGGTTTATACTGGTCCGTACTCGTCCGTACTGGTCCATACTGGTCCATACTGCTCCATACTGGTCCATACTGCTCCATACTGGTTTATACTGGTCCATACTGGTCTCTCCAGCCCCCGCCGCGTTCCCGGCGCTGCCGTTCCTGCCCCAGCAGCCGCCGGGGGGCGCCTTCGGCCTCCACGGGCACTTCCCACCCACACAGCCAGGTGAGGGTACCTGGGCACCCCAAAAAAACACACCTGGGGCCCCAAAATACACCTGGGCACAGCTGGGCACACCTGGGCACACCAAAACACACACCTGGACACAGCTGGGGGCACCTGGGGGCACCTGGGGGTACCTGGGGGTACCTGGACACATCTGGGTACACTTGGGGCACACCTGGGCACACCTGGGGGATACCTGGGGGCACACCTGGGGGGTACCTGGGCACACCTGGGCACACCTGGGATACACCTGGGCACAGCTGGGCACACCTGGGGCACACCTGGGGCATCTCTGTGCACACCTGGGCACAGCTGGGCACACCTGGGGGTACCTGGGACACACCTGGGGGCACCAAAATACACACCTGGGCACACCTGGGGCACACCAAAATACACACCTGGGCACCCCAAAATGTACCTGGGCACCCCAAAAACTCACCTGGCCACACCTGGGGCACACCTGGGGCACACCTGGGGCACACCTGGGGCACACCTGGGGCACACCTGGGCACACCTGGGGCACACCTGGGCACACCTGGGACACATCTGGGCACACCTGGGGGTACCTGGGGCACACCTGAGATACACCTGGGCACACCTGGGCACACTTGGGGGGTACCTGGGGCACACCTGGGCACACCTGGAAACCCCCAAAATGTACCTGGGGCACACCTGGGCACACCTGGGGCATCTCTGGGCACACCTGGGCACACCTGGAAACCCCCAAAATGTACCTGGGGCACACCTGGGCACACCTGGGGCACACCTGGGGGGTACCTGGGCACAGCTGGGCACACCTGGGCACACCTGGGATACACCTGGGCACAGCTGGGCACACCAAAACACACCTGGGCACACCTGGGGGGTACCTGGGGCACACCTGGGCACACCTGGGCACACCTGGGGCACACCTGGGGCACACCTGGGGGCATTTTGGGCACACCTGGGCACACCTGGGCACACCTGGGCACACCTGGGCACACCTGGGGCATACCTGGGGGGACACCTGGGCACACCTGGGGGTACCTGGGCCACACCTGAGATACACCTGGGCACACCTGGGGCACACCTGGGCACACCTGAGCACACCTGGGGGTACCTGAGCTCACCTGTCTCAGGTGTCCCCTCCCCCCCCCCAGGGTTCCTCCCCCCCAGTTCGTCGCTGCCGCTGCAGAAGCAACTGGAACACGCCAACAGCCAATCAGGATTCAGCGAGCCCGTGAGTGGGGCGGGGCTAATGAGGGGGGTGGGGCAGTGGGCAAACAGCCAATCAGGATTCAGCAAGCCCGTGAGTGGGGCGGGGCTATGGGAAAGGGGGCGGGGCAATGGGCCAACAGCCAATCAGGATTCAGCGAGCCCGTGAGTGGGGCGGGGCTAAAGGAAAGGGGGCGGGGCAATGGGCCAACAGCCAATCAGGATTCAGCGAGCCCGTGAGTGGGGCGGGGCTAAAGGAAAGGGGGCGGGGCAAAGGGCCAACAGCCAATCAGGATTCAGCGAGCCCGTGAGTGGGGCGGGGCTACAGGAAAGGGGGCGGGGCATAAAATATGAATGGGGGAGGGGCAATGAGGTGGGGGAGGGGTTTGTGAGTAGGGGAAGGGCAGAATTTGGGGGTGGGGGAGGGGAAATGAGAACTGGGGGGGGGGAATTTGGGGTTCACGGGGGTGGGGGAGGGGCAGGGGAGGTTATGGGGGGTCACCGCCCCCCTCTGACCCCTCCCCCACCCTCTGACCCCTCCCCCACCCTCAGGCGCTGCACCCTGGCCCCGCCCTCCTGCCCAGCCCCCAACTGCCCGTGGCCATCCAGGGCAGCGCCAAGGTGGGGGGGGGAGGGGCGGGGGGGGAGGGGAAATTGGGGAGGGGGTTCTGAGGGGGGGAGGGGCAGAGTTGGGTGGGGAGGGGTTTAGTGGGGGAGGGGAATGAGAGGTTTGGCGGGGGAGGGGCACAGGGTTGAGTGGGGGAGGGGCAAAAATGGGGGGGAGGGGCACAAAATGTGGAGGGGGGAGGGGAAATTGGGGGAGGGGCGGTGGGGAGGGGAGCGATTTGTGGGGGAGGGGAAATGGGGGGGGATTCTGAGGGGGGAGAGGCAGAAAGTTGGGTGGGGGAGGGGCACGGAGGGGTTTAGTGGGGGAGGGGAATGAGAGGTTTTGAGGGGGGAGGGGCACGGGGTTGGGTGGGGGAGGGGTAAAATTGGGGGGAGGGGCAAAAATGGGCGGAGGGGCACAAAATGTGGTGGGGGGAGGGGAAATTGGGGGAGGGGCAGAGTTGGGAGTGGGGGAGGGGAATGAGAGGTTTTGAGGGGGGAGGGGCAAAATTTGGGGGGAGGGGCGAGATATGGGGGGAGGGGCATAAAATGTGGAGGGGGAGGGGAAATTGGGGGAGGGGCAGGGTGGGAGTGGGGGAGGGGAAGGAGGGAGTTCTGACGGGGGGAGGGGCAGCGTTGGGGCGGTTCAGGGGGGGCTGTGGGGGAGGGGAGGTGGCGGCACTGCCCCTCCCCCACCCCACCCCATCCCTCCCCTCCCCCCCCCCAGCCGGCGCTGCCCTTCCCCGCCCCCCCCCGCGCCGCCTCCCCCGGAAGTTTCCCCGCCCACGGCGCCGCCCCGCAGCCGCCCCCCCCCCACGTGAGTGCTGCGCCCCTCCCCCACCCCCCACAGCCCCTCCCCCACCCCCGGATCGATATTTGATATCGATCTCCCGCCCCTCCCCCCCCCCAGGCCCGGCACGGCCCGTTCCTCCCCCACGGGCAGGGACAGCGCTTCTACCACAAGTGATGACGTCACCGCCGCCACGCGTGACGTCACCGGGGGGGCGGGGCCGCCCCGCCCCTCCCCCCGCCCGGGTGACGTCATGGGTTTGGGGGGGGGAGGGGATTTTGGGGGGGATTTGGGGGGATTGAGGAGGGGGGAGGGGCGGTGTGAGCCCTGCCCCTCCCCCCAAAGATTAGAGGTGGAATTAATTAATGAACTATTAGTTAATTAATGGCTTAATAATTAATTAATTAATGGGCTGCTGGCAGTGGGGTTGGAGAAATGAAATAAAAGTTTTAAAAGGGAAAAAAAACCCCAAAATTTTTCAGTTTTGTCACAGGCGGGGTCACTGAGGTCACTCTGGGGTCACTCTGAGGTCACTCCGGGGTCACTGAGGTCACGCTGGGGTCACTCTGAGGTCACTGGGGTCACTCTGGGGTCACTTTGGGCTCACTGTGGGGTCACTCTGGGGTCACTCTGAGGTCACTGTGGGGTCACTCTGAGGTCACTCTGGGGTCACTGAGGTCACTCTGGGGTCACTCTGAGGTCACTGTGGGGTCACTGAGGTCACTCTGGGGTCACTCTGAGGTCACTGGGGTCACTCAGAGGTCACTCAGGGGTCACTCTAAGGTCACTCTGGGGTCACTGGGGTCACTCCGCGGTCACTCTGGGGTCACTCAGAGGTCACTCCCGTGGCCCCTCCCCCATCCCCAATTAACTCCGTTAATTACAGATCGATTAATTACTGAGATAATTAACGACCGCACCACGTGACCGTTTATTTATTATTTATTTATTTATTTATCTCCGATCCGGCGAGGCCCCAGCGGGGGGGGGGGGGGGGGAAGGGGGAGGGGCCAATAAAGGGGGCGGGGCCTGGGGCCGCCCCTCCCCCTCCCCCTCCGGAGGGGCGCCCCTCCCCCACCGCGGGGCTGGGGGGGGTAAAGGGGGGTGGGGGGGGATTTGGGGGTGGGGGAGGGGCGGGGGGACCCCTCCGGCCCCGCCCCCTCCGGTTTAAGCCCCGCCCCCTTCAGGGTGGCCCCGCCCCCCGCGCGCCCCTCCCCCCCCCGCGGCTGCAGGTGGGGGGGCCCGGCCCGACCCCGACCCCGGCGGCGCCTGCGGAGAGAGGGGGGGGGATGGGACCTGAAACGGGACCCCAGACCCAAAAACCCGAACCGGGACCCCAAAATCCCGAACCAGGACCCCAGACCCAAATCGGGACCCAAAATGGGACCCCAGACCCAAATGGGGACCCCAGACCCAAACCGGGACCCCAAAACCCGAAACGAGACCCCAGACCCGAAATGGGACCCGAAATGGGACCCCAGACCCGAATCGAGACCCCAAAACCTGAACCGGGACCCCAAAACCCCAAATTGGGACCCCAGACCCCAACCAGGGACCCCAGACCCCAACCAGGGACCCCAGACCCAAATTAGGACCCCAAAACCCCGAACCGAGACCCCAGAACCAAACCGGGACCCCAAAACCCCAAACGGGACCCCAGACCCGAAACGGGACCCCAGACCCAAATCGGGACCCCAAAACCCCGAACCGGGACCCCAAAATCCCGAACCGGGACCCCAAAATCCCAAAACGGGACCCCAGACCCGAAACGGGACCCCAGACCCAAAATGGGACCCCAAAACCCCAAATCGGGACCCGAAAACCCCGAACCGGGACCCCAAAACCCGAACCAGGACCCCAGACCCAAATCGGGATCCCAGACCCAAACCGGGATCCCAAAACCCAAATTGGGACCCCAAACCCAAATTGGGACCCCAAACCCAAATTGGGACCCCAAAACCCCAAATCGGGACCCCAGACCCAAAATGGGGACCCCCCCCACCACTGACCCCCCCCCAATATTTGGTCTGGCCCCACCCACATCCCTTAGGCCCCCGCCCACAGCCCAGTTAAGCCCCGCCCACATCCCTTAGGCCCCGCCCGCCTGCCCTATTTGGCCCCGCCCACAGCCCATAGACCCCGCCCACCTGCCCTATTTGGCCATGGCTTTGATGGCGACTGCGGCTTCCTCGGTCATCGCCGACAGCACCGTGATCTGCGGGACACCAGTTATAAACCAGTATGGACCAGTACGGACCAGTAAAAACCAGTACGGACCAGTACAAACCAGTACGGACCAGTATAAACCAGTACGGACCAGTAAAAACCAGTACGGACCGCTGTGCACTGGTACGGACCGCTATAACCAGTTATAAACCAGTATGGACCAGTACGGACCAGTACGGACCAATATGGACCAGTACGGACCGGTGTAACCAGTTATAAACCAGTACGGACCAGTACGGACCAGTACGGACCAGTATGGACCAGTACGGACAGTATGGACCACTATGGACCAGTACAGACTGGTGTGCACTGGTACGGACCACTATAACCAGTTATAAACAAGTACAAACCAGTATGGAGCAGTATGGACCAGTACAAACCAGTATGGACCAATATGGATCAGTGTTCACTGGTACGGACTGGCATAACCAGTTATAAACCAGTACAGACCAGTATAAACCAGTACGGACCAGTGTGCACTGGTACGGACCGCTATAACCACTTATAGACCAGTACGGACCAGTATGGACCAGTAAAAATGAGCACAGACTGGTATAAACCAGTATAAATCCCTATAAACCAGTACGGACCAGTACAGACTGGTATAAACCAGGTCAGACCAGTACAAACCAGTATAACCAGTACGCACCAGTATCTCCTCGCCGCAGTCGTACTTCTGCTCGATCTCCCGGCCCAGCTCCCCCAGTACAAACCAGTATAACCAGTATAACCAGTACACACCAGTATAACTGGTATAACCAGTACTAACCAGTATAAACCAGTACGCACCAGTATCTCCTCGCCGCAGTCGTACTTCTGCTCGATCTCCCGGCCCAGCTCCCCCTCCGGCAGCCGCAGATCCTCCCGCACCTCCCCACTGTCCTGGAGCAGCGACAGGTACCCGTCCTGGATCCCGATCAGCTGCACAGGTGAGACAGGTGAGACATGGACAGGTGAGACAGGTGAGATACAGGTAACCCATCATCACTGACAGGTACCCGTCCTGGATCCCGATCAGCTGTACAGGTGAGACAGGTACAGGTGAGACAGGTGAGATACAGGTACAGGTAACACACACACAGGTACCCGTCCTGGATCCCGATCAGCTACAGGTGAGATACAGGTGAGATACAGGTGAGATACAGGTAACCCATCATCACTGACAGGTACCCATCCTGGATCCCGATCAGCTGCACAGGTGAGACAGGTACAGGTGAGACACACAGGTATGGACAGGTGAGACACAGGTATGGACAGGTGAGTCAGGTAAAGACATGTGAGACACAGGTATGAACAGGTGACACAGATACGGACAGGTGAGACAGACATGGACAGGTGAGACAGGTGTGTCACTGTGCCCAATTGTGTTACAGGTGTGTACAGGTGTGTGCAGGTGTGCACAGGTATGTTACCCATACAGGTGTGTTACCTGTACAGGTGTGTCACAGGTGTGTTACCTGTACAGGTGTGTACAAGTGTGTTACCTGTACAGATGTGTGTTACCTGTACAGGGTTTACAGGTGTGTCACAGGTGTGCACAGGTGTGTGTTACCTGTACAGGTGTGCACAGGTGTGTTACCTGTACAGGTGTGTACAGGTGTGCCCAGGTGTGTGTTAGCTGCACAGGTGTGTGTTACCTGTACAGGTGTGTGTTAGCTGCACAGGTGTGCACAGGTGTGTCACAGGTGTGTTACCTGCACAGGTGTGCACAGGTGTGTACAGGTGTGTCACAGGTGTGCACAGGTGTGTGTTACCTGCACAGGTGTGCACAGGTGTGTTACCTGCCCAGGTGTGTCTCACCTGGAAGTCGTTCCGTTTGATGTTGGGCACGTCCATGTTGTGGGTGGAGGGACAAATGTCCTCGTACTTCTTCCCCGTGAAGATGTCGATGCCCACCAGGTGCACCTGCGGGAACTGGTTATACTGGGAGGGACTGGGAGGGACTGGGAGGGACTGGGAGGGACTGGGAGGAACTGGGAGGGACTGGGAGGGAACTGGGAGGGACTGGGAGGGACTGGGAGGGACTGGGAGGGACTGGGTTATACTGGGAGGGACTGGGGGGGACTGGGAGGGAACTGGGATGGACTGGGAGGGACTGGGAGGGACTGGGAGGAACTGGGAGGGACTGGGAGGGAACTGGGAGGGACTGGGAGGGACTGGGAGGGACTGGGAGGGAACTGGGAGGGACTGGGAGGGACTGGGAGGGAACTGGGAGGGACTGGGAATGGGACTGGGAGGGACTGGGAGGGACTGGGAGGGGACTGGGAGGGAACTGGGTTATACTGGGAGGGACTGGGAGGGACTGGGATGGAACTGGGAGGGAACTGGGAGGGACTGGGAGGGACTGGGGGGAACTGGGAGGGACTGGGAGGGGACTGGGAGGGACTGGGAGGGACTGGGAGGGGACTGGGAGGGAACTGGGAGGGACTGGGAGGGACTGGGAGGGATTGGGAGGGAACTGGGAGGGACTGGGAGGGACTGGGAGGGACTGGGAGGGACTGGGGGGGAACTGGGAGGGACTGGGATGGACTGGGAGCACTGGGATCCATACTGGGAGCACTGGGACACACTGGAGGGGCTGTACTGGGAGAACTGGGAGGGGCTGGGAAAGGCATACTGGAGTTACTGGGAGCACTGGGAATGGCGTAAGAGCCATACTGGGAGAACTGGGAGCACTGGGATCCATACTGGGAGCACTGGGATCCATACTGGGATCCATACTGGGAGCACTGGGATCCATACTGGGAGCACTGGGATCCATACTGGGAGCACTGGGACCATACTGGGAATTTCAGGATTCTGAGATTCCCCCCAGGAATTCTGGGACTTTCCCGGAATTTTGGGCTTTTTCCCAGAATTTCGGGATCTTCCCGGAATTTTGGCCACCGGGGCATTCCCAATTCCCAATTTTGGGATTTTTGGGCCACTTTTTGGGGCATTTTTTGGGGTTTTTGGGGAAATCAGAGCCCAGAAAAGGCTCCAAAGGAACCGCGGCCACTCGGGGCTGACTCGGCTCAGGATTTTGGGATTTTCTCAGGAATTCCAGGATTTTTCCAGGATTTTTGGGCCTGTTCTGGGATTTTGGCCACCTGGGCATTCCCAAATCCCCAATTTTTGAGATTTTTGGGCCATTTTTGGAAGAATCAGAGCCCCAAAACCCTCTCAGAGCCTCCTTAGGGGCCGCCTTCCCTCGGGGCTGACTCGGCTCAGGATTTTGGGATTTTCTCAGAATTTTGGGATTTTTCTGGGAATTTTGGGATTTTTCTGTGAATTTTGGCTACCTGGGCATTCCAAAATCCCCAATTTTTGAGATTTTTGGGCCATTTTTGGGAGAATCAGAGCCCCAAAACCCTCTCAGAGCCTCCTCACAGGACGCCTTCACTCGGGGCTGACTCGGCTCAGGATTTTGGGATTTTCTCAGAATTTTGGGATTTTTCTGGGAATTTTGATATTTTCCTGCCATTGTGCCTACCTGGGCATTCCCAAATTCCCAATTTCTGAGATTTTTGGGCCATTTTTGAGCTCTTTTTGGGCCATTTTTGGGAGAATCAGAGCCCCAAAAACCCCTCAGAGCCTCCTCATGGGACACCTTCCCTCGGGGCTGACTCGGCTCAGGATTTTGGGATTTTCCCGGGAATTTTGGGATTTTCCTGCCATTGTGGCTACCTTGGCATTCCCAAATCCCCAATTTAGGTTTTTTTGGGCCGTTTGGGGACATTTTTTGGCTTTTTTGGGGAAGTCAGAGCCCAGAAAAGGCTCCAAAGGAACCACGGTCACTCTGGGCTAACTTGGCTCATGATTTCGGGATTTTCTCAGGAATTTGGGCTTTTTCTGGGAATTTTGGTATTTTACTGCCATTGTGGCCACTTGGGCATTTCCAAAATCCCCAATTTTTGGGGTTTTTGGGCTCTTTTTGGGGCATTTTTGGGAGAATCAGAGCCCCAAAACCCTCTCAGAGCCTCCTCAGGGGCCGCCTTCCCTCGGGGCTGACTCAGCTCAGGATTTCGGGATTTCCTCAGGAATTTTGGGATTTTTCTGGGAATTTTGGGATTTTTCTGGGAATTTTGGCTACCTGGGCATTCCCAAATTCCCAATTTTTGAGATTTTTGGGCCATTTTTGGGGTTTTTGGGCCATTTTTGGGAGAATCAGAGCCCCAAAAACCTCTCAGAGCCTCCTCAGGGGCCGCCTTCCCTCGGGGCTGAGTCGGCTCAGGATTTTGGGATTTCCTCAGGAATTTTGGGATTTTTCTGGGAATTTTGGCTACCTGGGCATTCCCAAACTCCCTATTTTTGGGGGTTTTGGGCCGTTTTTGGGGCATTTTTTGGGCTTTTTGGGTAAATCAGAGCCCAGAAAAGGCTCCAAAGGGACCGCGGTCACTCAGGGCTGACTCAGCTCAGGATTTTGGGATTTCCTCAGGAATTTTGGGATTTTTCTGGGAATTTTTGGAATTTCCTGCCATTGTGGCTACCTTGGCATTCCCAAATCCCCGATTTTGGGGATTTCTGAAAGGTTTTTGGGCCTTTTTTTTTGTTTTTTGGGGGAATCAGAGCCCCAAAACCCTCTCTGAGCCTCCTCACAGAACACCTTCCCTTGGAGCTGACTCGGCTCAGGATTTTGGGATTTCCTCAGGAATTTTGGGATTTTCCTGCCATTGTGGCTACCTGGGCATTCCCAAACCCCAATTTAGGGTTTTTTGGGCTGCTTTTGGGGCAATTTTTTTGGGTTTTTGGGAGAATCAGAGCCCCAAAACCCTCTCAGAGCGTCCTTAGGGGCCGCCTTCCCTCGGGGCTGACTTGGCTCAGGATTTTGGGATTTCCTCAGGAATTTTGGGATTTTCCCAAGATTTTTGGGCCTGTTCTGGGATTTTGGCCACCTGGGCATTCCCAAATCCCCAATTTTTGGGGTTTTTGGGCCATTTTTGGGAGAATCAGAGTCCCAGAAGAAGCTCTCGTAGCCTCCTTAGGCTGACTCGGCTCAGGATTTTGGGATTTCCTCAGGAATTTTGGGATTTTCCCGGGAATTTCAGCCTTTCCCCGTGCCCGTGCCCACCTTGGCGTGGCCGTGCTTGCCCGTTTTGGAGGTGCTCATCTCCACGATCTTGCAGGGGCGGCCCTTGAGCACCACGAAGCCGTTCTTGCGCAGCGCCGAGCACTGCATGGGGAACGTGGCCGAGGCCCCCGCGTCCCCCGTCTCGAAGTCCAGGTCGTCGGCCATCGCCTCTCTGGGGGGGGCCCCCCAAAAAAAAATCGGGATTTGGGGTGAGGAAAGCGAAATTTGGGGGGTCAGGGGGCAGCAGGAAAAATTTGGGGGGCGGGGAAGGTCGGGGGACCCCAAAAACTGGGGGTGAAGTGGGTAAAGAAAGCCAAAAATTGGGGTGGAGACTCTAAAAATGGGGTTCAGAGGGTGGAGAACCCCAAAATTTGGGGGGTCAGGGGGTTGGGAAAGTGAAATTTGGGGGGTCAGGGGGCAGCAGGAAAAGTTTGGGGGGTGGGGAAGGTCAGGGGAGCCCAAAAATTGGGGGAAAAGAGAGAAAAGTAAGCGAAAAACTAGGGTGGAGACACTAAAAGTGGGGTTAAGAGGGTGGGGAACCCCAAAATTTGGGGGTTCAGGGGGTTGGCAAAGTGAAATTTGGGGGGTCAGGGGTAGCAGGAAAAATTTGGGGGGTGGGGAAGGTCGGGGGAGGCCAAAAATTGGGGGTGAAGTGACAAAAACAAGCAAAAAAATGGGGTGGAGAGCCTAAAAATGGGGTTCAGAGGGTGGGGAACCCCAAAATTTGGGGGGTCAGAATTTGAGAAAAGTAAAATTCAGGGGGTCAGGGGGTTGGCAAAATGGAATTTGGGGGGTCAGGGGGCAGCAGGAAAAATTTGGGGGGCGGGGAAGGTCGGGGGACGCAAAAATTTGAGAAAATGAAGCGAAAAACGAAGTGGAGAGTATAAAACAGGAGTTAAGAGGGTGGGGAACCCCAAAATTTGGGGTGTGGAAAGTGAAATTTGGGGGTTCAGAGGGTTGGGAAAGTGAAATTTGGGGGGGCAGGGAGGAGCCCAAAAAATTTGGGGGGTGGGGAGGTCAGGGGAGCCCAAAAATTGGGGGTGAAGTGACAAAAAGAAGCAGAAAAATGGGGTGGAGAGCCTAAAAATGGGGTTCAGAGGGTGGGGAACCCCAAAATTTGGGGTGTGGAAAGTGAAATTTGGGGGTTTGGGGGTGGGGAAAGTGAAATTTGGGGGGTCAGGGGGCAGCAGGAAAAATTTGAGGGGCGGGGAAGGTCGGGGGATGCAGAAATTTGAGAAAAGGAAGCAAAAAACGAAGTGGAGACTCTTAAAATGGGGTTAAGAGGGTGGGGAACCCCAAAATTTGGGGGGTCAGAAGGTGAGAAAAGTAAAATTCAGGGGGTCAGGGGGTAGGGAAAGTGAAATTTGGGGGGTCAGGGAGAAGTAGGAAAAATTTGGGGGGGTGGGGAAGGTTGGAGGACACAAAAATTGGGGGTGAAGTGACAAAAAGAAGCAAAAAAATGGGGTGGAGAGGCTAAAAATGGGATTAAAAGGGTGGGGAACCCCAAAATTTGGGGGTTCAGAAGATGAGGAAAGTGAAATTTGGGGGGTCAGGGGGCAGCAGGAAAAATTTGGGGGGTGGGGAAGGTCGGGGGACCCCAAAAATTTGGGGTGAAGTGGGAGAAGGAGCTGAAAAAAGAAGTGGAGACCCCAAAAAAGGGAAAAGAGAACCCCAAAAATGGGGAGCCCCAAAATGGATCGGGAGAACCCCCAAAAAAATGAGAATTTTGAGCTAAAATTTGGGGTTGGGAACCCCAAAATCAGACGGGGGGATCCCCAAAATTTTGGGAGCGTCCCCCCAAAAATCCCCTCTGGAGGTGGGGGGGTTGGGTGGGCATGGGGGGAGAATTTTGGGGGGTCCAGGGGGGTTTTGGGAGGTCCTGGGAGGAATTTTGGGGGTTTTTTTTGGGGTTTTCCCTTGGGGGGGAGGGGGGGATTCTTTCCTTACAGGGTCCCCCCAAAATTCCTTATAAGGAATTCGGGGGTCCCCAAATTCCTTTTATGGAAATTTGGGGTTCCATTTCCTTATAAGGAATTTTGGGGTTCCCCGATTTCCTTATAAGGCCCCTGAGGGAGATCCCCCAATTCCTCCAAATTTTGGGTGGGTTTATCCCAAATTTCCCTCAAATTTCGGGGGGATTATCCCCAAATTTCCCCAAATTTTTGGGGGATTATCCCCAAATTTCCCCACATTTTGGGGTGGGGTTATCCCCAAATCCCCCCAAATTTTAGGAGGGGGGAATCCCCTAATTTTTGGGGAATTCCTCCTCATTTTTGGGGGGGGTTCCCCTAATTACTCCTAATTTTTAGGGGGCGGTTTATCCCCAAATCCCCCTAAATTCTGGAGTGGGTTATCCCCAAATTTCTCCTAATTTTGGGGGGGAATCGCCTAATTTTGGGTGGGGTTATCCCCAAATTCCCCCAAATTTTTAGGGGGTTTATCCCCGAATCCCCCCAAACTTTGGGGAGGTTTTTCCCCAATTTCCCCAAATTTTGGGCTGAGGTTATCCCCAAATTCCCTCTTATTTTTAGGGGGTTTATTGCCGAATTCCCCCAAATTTTTAGGGGAGTTATCCCCCATGTCCCCCAATTTTGGGGGCGAGTTTATCCCCAAATCCCCCCTCATTTTAGGGCACTTTACCCCCAAATCCCCCCTCACTTTTAGGGTACTTTCCCCAAAATCCCCCCTCATTTTAGGGAACTTTACCCCCAAATCCCCCCTGATTTTGGGTGGGTTTATCCCCAAATCCCCCCTCATTTTTAGGGTACTTTGCCCCAAATCCCCCCTCATTTTTGGGGGACTTTACCCCCAAATTCCCCCTCATTTTAGGAGGCTTTACCCCCAAATCCCCCCAATTTTTGAGGCGAGTTTACCCCCAAATCCCCCCTCATTTTTAGGGGACTTTACCCCCAAATCCCCCCTCATTTTTAGGGGGCTTTACCCCCAAATCCCCCCTGATTTTAGGGGACTTTACCCCAAATCCCCCCAGATTTTGGGTGGGTTTACCCCCAAATCCCCCCTCATTTCGTGCCGCTTTCACCCCCAAATCCCCCCAAATCCCCCCTCATTTTTAGGGGGCTTTACCCCCAAATCCCCCCTCATTTTTAGGGGACTTTACCCCAAATCCCCCCTGATTTTGGGTGGGTTTACCCCCAAATCCCCCCAAATTCGGGGCTCCCCCCGCGCGCCGCCGCCGCCACGCGGCCCTCTGGCGGGCGGGCGCGGCCTGGGCCGGGCCGGGGGGGGAAAACCTCCTCGGGAACATCTCGGGGGGGATCCCGGAGCTCCTCCCGGGGCTGCCCCGAGGCTCGGCCGCCCCCCGGAGCCGCCCGGGACTCACCGGAGCCCCTCAGGCCGAAGCCGCCGCCGCCGCCGCCGCCGCCGCGCTGGAGCTGCTGCACCCCCCGGGCCCCACCGCGCATGCGCGACCGCCCCGCGCGGGGGGGGGGGGCGGCACTGGGCATGCGCAGTGAGGCCGGGGCAGCGCCGCGGAGCGAACTGCGCATGCGCCATGCGGGGAGGGGTGTACGGAACAGCGTGTGCGCATGCGCACATCCAGGGAGGGTTGGGTTACGGCGTGATGGCGCCGCCCTGATTGGGAGATCTCGCGAGATTTGCGGGGTTCGACAGTTGGCGTGCCGCGGTGAGATCTCGCGAGAAGTCGTCAGAGCAGCCGCGCTCCTTGAGGGAAATGTCGCGAGATTTGGAGCACGCGGCGGGCCTGAGGCCTCACCTCAGGCGCCTTTTTGAGGGGGGGCGTTGTCATGGCAACGCCGCTGGTAGAGCTCGTTATGCAAATGAGGTTAATGACGCTGATCGCTTTATCGTCAGCACCCGGGATTTATGGAGATTTATTGAGATTTATGTAAATCTATCCAGCTTTACGCGGACGCATCTTGGGGTTAAACACTGCGCATGCGCTAACGTGGCGCCCCCTCCCGGCAGCGTGCGACCAATCAGAGGCGGCGCTGCCGCGGATCCACCAATAGGAGACGAGAGGGGCGTGGTTATCCAAAGGGGCGGGGCCTGTGCAGAAAGGGGCGGGGCCGGCGCCCGAATTTTGGGGCCCCTCCCCCACCCCAAAATCCCCCCTGCCCCAATTTTGGGGTCAAATTGCCCCAAATTCCCAAAATTTCCCAAAATTTCCCAAAATTTCCCAAAAGTTTCCACAAAATTCCCAACATTGTCGGCAAAATTCCCCCAAATTTCCAAAAATTCCTACAAAATTTAAAAAAATTCCCAAATTCTCTTAAATTTTCCCAAATTTCCACAAAATTCTCCTAAAATTCCCCACAAAATTCCGTAGAATTCCCCAAATTTCCACAAAATTCCGCAAATTCCCTAAAATTCCCCAAATGCTCTCAAATTCCCCCAAATTTCCCACAAAATTCCACAAAATTCCCACAAAATTCCCTCAAAATTCCCCTAATTCCCTTAAATTTCCCCCAAACTCTTTCAAATTTCCACAAAATTTCCCCAATTTCCCTAAAATTCTCCAAAATACCCTAAAATTCCCGAAATTTCTCTAAAATTCCCCCAAATTCTCTACATATTCCCTCAAATTTCCCCAAATTTCAACAACATTCTCCTGAAATTCCCTTAAATTCATAAAATTCCCGCAAAATTCCCCCAAATTTCCCCAAAATCCCCCAAATTTCGGGATCGACGCTGTTTTATTCTCACCTTTATTTACAACCGGGGTGGGGGGAGACCCCAAAAAATCCCAAAATCCTCCCAAAATCCCTCCCCAAAATCAATGGGGGAAAAAAAAAGCCCCAAAATTTTTGGGGGTGCCTCAAAGTGCTCAAAAAACCCCCAAATTTGGGGTGGGGGGATGTTCCAAAATCACCAAAAAAAACCCCAAAATTTGTGGGGGATGTTCCAAAATTGGCTCCAAAGTGACTTTAAAAGCAAAAGAAAATTCAGGAGCCCCCAAAAAATCCCAAATTTTTGGGGGGTTCACCCTAAAATCAACACAAAAAGCCCAAAATGTTTGGGGTGTCCCCCAAAATCGGCCCAAAAATCCCAAAATCAGCTCCTAAGTGGCTTAAAAATCCTAAATTTTTGGGGTGCCCCCCAAAATCGACCTGAAATCCCCCAAAATGTTGGGGTGCCCCCAAAAATCGACCCCTAAATACCTTAAAAATACCAAATTTTGGGGGAAACGCTCCAAAAAACCTCCAAATTTTGGGTGGGGAGCCCCAAAACCGACCCAAAATCCCCCAAAATGTTGGGTTGTCCCCAAAAACGCCTTAAAAACCTCCAAATTTTGGGGGAAACACTCAAAAAAACCCCAAATTTTGGGCGGGGAGCCCCAAAACTGCCCCAAAACCCCCCAAATTTTTGGGGAGACCTCCCAAAAAACTCCAAAATTGGGTGGGGGAGCCCCAAAACTGCCCCAAAACCCTTGAAAATGTTGGGGTGCCCCCAAAAACGCCTTAAAAACCTCCAAATTTTGGGGGAAACACTCAAAAAAACCCCAAATTTTGGGCGGGGAGCCCCAAAACCGACCCAAAACCCCCCAAAAATTTGGGGTGCTCCCTAAAATCGACCTGAAATCCCCCAAAATGTTGGGTTGTCCCGAAAAATCGGCTTCAAAATGCCTTAAAATTCTGGGGGAAAAGCTCAAAAAAAACCCCAAATTTTGGGTGGGGAGCCCCAAAACCCCCCAAATTTTTGGGGAGACCTCCCAAAAAACTCCAAAATTTGGTCGGGGAGCCCCAAAACCGCCCCGAAACCCCCCAAAATGTTGGGTTTCCCCCAAAAATGCCTTAAAAACCTCCAAATTTTGGGAGAAACGCTCAAAAAAAACCCCAAATTTTGGGTGGGGAGCCCCAAAACCCCCCAAACTTTTGGGGAGACCTCCCAAAAAACTCCAAAATTGGGTGGGGAAGCCCCAAAACTGCCCTGAAACCCTTGAAAATGTTGGGGTGCCCCAAAAAATCGGCTTCAAAATGCCTTAAAATTTTGGGGGAAAAGCTCAAAAACCCCCAAATTTTGGGTGGGGAGCCCCAAAACCGACCCTAAACCCCCCAAAAATTTGGGGGGCTCCCCAAAATCTACTCGAAAGCCCCAAAATGTTGGGGTGCCCCCCAAAATCGACTGGAAACCCCCCAAAAATTTGGGGTGTCCCCAAAAATTGGCTTCAAAATGCCTTAAAATGTTGGGGGAAACGCTCCAAAAATCCCCAAAATTTTGGGTGGGGAGCCCCAAAACCGACCCAAAATCCCCCAAAATTTGGGGTGCCCCCCAAAATCGACTCAAAACTCCCCAAAATGTTGGGGTGCCCCCAAAAATTGGCTTCAAAATGCCTTAAAAATACCAAATTTTGGGCGAATCGCTCCAAAAAAACCCCAAATTTTGGGCGGGGAGCCCCAAAACCGCCCCAAAACCCCCCAAATTTTTGGGGTGCCCTCCGAAATCGACTTGAAACTCCCCAAAATGTTGGTTTGCCCCCAAAAACGCCTTAAAAAACTCCAAATTTTGGGCAAAATTCTCAAAAAACCCCCCAAATTTTGGGCGGGGAGCCCCAAAACCGCCCCAAAACGCCCCAAATTTTTGGGGTCCCCCCCAATTCAGGGCTCGGGGTGGGCGGCCAGGCTCTGCAGCTCCGTGTCCTTCTCGGGGTGCCCCAGGGGGGCGGAATTTGGGGGCTCGGGGGGGGGCGGGGAAGGGGCGGCCGCGGGTCTCGGGGAGCAGAAGGAAAGTGAAGAGGGAGAAACCCCCGAGGAGCGCCCCGAAAAGCAGAAACACCAACGGGCCCAGCGCCGCCTGCAAGGGGAAATGGGGAAATTGGGATTTATGGGGGGAAATTGGGATTTATAGGGGAAAAAATGGGGAAAATGGGGGAAAATGGGGGAAAATGGGGAAAAATTGGGATTTATGGGGGAAAATCCCCCCAAATCCCCCAAAAATCCCTCATAAGACCCCCCAAATTTCCCCCAAATCCCCCCAAAAGTCCCCATACAACCCCCCAAAATCCCCAAAAATCCCCCAAATCCCCAAAATTCCTGAATTCCCCCCAGTACCTGCATGGCGGGGAAGGCCATGGCCACGGCCAAACCCTCCCCGAAATCCCCATAGAACCCCACAAAATCCCACAAAAACCCACAAAATCCCCCATAAACTGCCCCCAAATCCCCCAAAAAATCCCAAAATCCCCCCAAAATCCCATAAAACCACCCAAATCCCTTTGAAAATCGCCCAAAATCTCCACAAAAATCCCCAAAAAAATCCCATAAAACCTCCCAAAATCACCCAAAAATCCCCCCAACAAACCCAAAAAATTCCCAAAAAATCCTCAAAAATCCCCAAAACCCCAATTTTTCCCCCGTACCTGCATGGCGGGGAAGGCCATGGCCACAGCCAAACCCTCTCTGAAATCCCCCCAAAATCCCCTCATAAAACCCCCAAAATTGCCCAAAAATCACCCCAAATCACCCAAAAAATCCCAAAACACCCCCAAAATTCCCCGATTTTTTGGTACCTGCATGGCGGGGAAGGCCATGGCCATGGCCAAACCCTCCCCGAAATCCCCCCAAAATCCCCATAGAACCCCCCAAAATCAGGCTAAAATCCCCCAAAAATCCCCCAAAAATCCCCCAAAAATCCCATAAAACCACTCAAAACCCCCCGAAAATCGCCCAAAATCCCCCCAAAATTCCACAAAAATTCCCAAAAAATCCCATAAAACATCCCAAAATCACCCAATAATCAACCAAAAATCCCCCAAAAATCCCATAAAAACCTCTCCAAATGCCCCAAAAATCACCCAAAAAACCCAAAAAAAATCCCAAAAATTCCCAAAAACTCCGAAAATCCCCAAAATCCCCCGATTTTTTGGTACCTGCATGGCGGGGAAGGCCATGGCCACGGCGGTGTTGCTGGCCCAGTTGAGCAGCCCGGCCAGGCCGAGCGCGGCCGCGCGGGGCCCGGGGGGGAACAGCTCCGCGCCCACGAACCAGGGGAGGGGCCCCGGCCCCACCGCGAAGAACCCGACAAAGGCCAGAGCCGAGGCCAGAGCCACCGCGCCCCAGAACGGACCCCCCAGCTGGGAAAGAACGGGAAAATTCAGATTATTGGGAGGTTTTTTGGGGAATTTTTGGGATTTTTTGGGGGATTTTTTGGGGATTTTTTGGGGATTTTTTTTGGGATTTTTTGGGAATTTTTTGGGATTTTTTTGGGATTTTTTTGGGAATTTTTTGGGATTTTTTTGGGATTTTTTGGGGGACTTTTTTGAGATTTTTTTGGGGTTTTTTTTGGGATTTTTTGGGGGGTTTTTTTGGATTTTTTTGGATTTTTTTTTATTTTTTTGGGGATTTTTTGGGGGATTTTTTGGGATTTTTTTTTTTTTTGAATATTTTTTCAACTTTTTCGAAATTTTTTCCAATTTGTCCCGGTCAGTATTTTGGGGTCCCGGTCAGTATTTTGAGGGTCCCGGTCTGTAATTTCGGGTCCTGGGGCTGTATTTTGGGGGTCCTGGGTCTGATTTTGGGGGTCCCAGGTCGGATTTTGGGGTCCCCGCTCACCTTGAGCGCCAGCGCCAGGGTGGTGGCACAGCCCATCATGCCGAGCAGCCCCAGGAGCTGCAGCACGCGCCGCCCCGCCCGCTCCACCAGCACCACCTGCGGGGCGGGGCTTCAGCGGGACACGCCCACCGGGGGCCACGCCCACGTGTGACCACGCCCAGACACGAGATTCCGCCCCATGGCCACACCCAACCACAAAACTCTGCCCCATGGCCACGCCCATGAGGCCACACCCACTTATGACCACGCCCAGACATGAGACTCCGCCCCATGGCCACGCCCAACAATGAGACTCCACCCACTCGTGACCACACCCAACCACGAGACTCCACCCACTCATCACCACGCCCACCATGAGGCCACGCCCATTTGTGACCACACCCACCCTTGATACTCCGCCCCATGACCACACCCAACCACGAGACTCCACCCTCTTGCGACCACACCCACGAGGCCACGCCCACTTGTGACCACGCCCGGACACGAGACTCCGCCCCATGGCCACACCCATCCACCAGACCGCACCCACCAATCAGACCCCACCCCTTCAGGACCACGCCCACTTTGAAGACTCCACCCACTACGACCACACCCCTTTGAGACCACGCCCACCTCCGAGACTCCACCCACCAAGACCACGCCCACCCTAATTGAGACTCCACCCACCATGGCCACACCCAATGAGACCACGCCCACAATGAGACCACTCCCCACTTGACCACGCCCACCGAGTGTTTCCCGCGCCCCCATTGGCTGCCACAGGACCCGCCCCCTCCCCCTGGCGCTGATTGGGCGTGGCTCACCGACAGGGCCGTGGCCGCCACGTTGACCACGCCCGTCCCGATGGTGCCGACGGCCGGGTCCTGGAGCCCCGCCCCCTCGAAGATGGACGTCGAATAGTAGAAGATCTGGGGCGGGAAAGGGGGCGTGGTCAGCAGGACACGCCCACTCAAACCACGCCCCCGATGGACACACCTCAAGGAAGCCCCGCCCCAAAATTCCCATTCAAAGGGTCACGCCCATGAGGCTCCGCCCCTTTAGGCCACGCCCTTCAAGCCATGCCCATCATTTATTTAGCCACGCCCCTTCCTTCAATCCCCACCCCTTTGTGACCACGCCCTGTTAAGCCCCGCCCCAATCCCGGTGACCCTGATTGGTGCAATGCCAAGGCCACGCCCATTTTTCCCAATTCTGGTTCAGTTTTTCCCGATTTTGGGTGGTTTTTCCCCGTTTCTCCCAATTTAGGGTGTTTTTGCCCCATTTTTCCTGATTTTGGGTGTTTTTCCAAATTTTGGTCTTGTTTTTCCCAATTTTTGGTGGTTTTGCCCCTTTATTCCCCAATTTTCATCCAGTTTTTCCAGATTTTGGGTGATTTCCCCATATTGGAGGTTTTGGCCCTGTTTTTCCAGATTTTGAGTGTTTTCCCCAATTTTGGTCCCTTTTTTCTGGATTTTGGGTGGTTTTGTCTGGTTTTTCCCAATTTTTTCCCTCTTTTCCCCTATTTTGGGTTTTTTTCCCCCATTTTTACCGCATTTATCCCCGAGAGCTGCAGCCCAGGGTGACATCACGGCCCCGCCCATTTCCCTTAAACCACGCCCATTTTTTTCCAATTTCCCGCCCATTTTCCCAATTTTTTCCCCGTTTTTCCCAATTTTTTCCCCGTTTTTCCCAATTTTTTCCCCCGTTTTTCCCAATTTTGGGGTTTTTTCCCCCATTTTTACCGCGTTTATCCCCGAGAACTGCTGCGCCAGCTGCAGCCCCAGGGTGACACCACGGCCCCGCCCATTTCCCTTAAACCACGCCCATTTTTCCCAATTTCTCGCCCATTTTTCCCAATTTTTTCCCCATTTTCCCAATTTTTTCCCCGTTTTTCCCGATTTTGGAGTTTTTTTCCCCGTTTTTACCGCGTTTATCCCCGAGAGCTGCTGCGCCAGCTGCAGCCCCAGGGTGACACCATGGCCCCGCCCATTTCCCTTAAACCACGCCCATTTCCCTTAAACCACGCCCATTTTCCCCCAATTTCCCGCCCGTTTTTCCCAGTTTTTTCCCCGTTTTTCCCGATTTTGGGTTTTTCCCCCATTTTTACCGCGTTTATCCCCGAGAACTGCTGCGCCAGCTGCAGCCCCAGGGTGACATCACGGCCCCGCCCATTTCCCTTAAACCACGCCCATTTTCCCAATTTCCCGCCTGTTTTTCCCAATTTTTTCCCCGTTTTTCCCAATTTTTCCCCGTTTTTCCCAATTTCGGGTTTTTTCCCTGTTTTTACCGCGTTTATCCCCGAGAACTGCTGCGCCAGCTGCAGCCCCACCGTGACACCATGGCCCTGCCCATTTCCCTTAAACCACGCCCGTTTTTCCCAATTTCCCGCCAATTTTTCCCATTTTTTCCCCGTTTTTCCCAATTTTGGAGTTTTTTTCCCCGTTTTTACCGCGTTTATCCCCGAGAGCTGCTGCGCCAGCTGCAGCCCCAGCGTGACGATCAGCGGCTGCCGGTACCGCCGGCTCCGGCACAGCTCCAGCAGCCCCACCTTGGGGGCGGGGCCTCGGCCAAGCTCCGCCTCCAGCGCCGCAAGCCCCGCCTCCGCCGCCGGGCCGGCCAATCGCGAGAGCCCTGCGGACAGGGGGCGGGGCTTGTCGCCATAGGGCAGGGGGGGGAGGGGAGGGAGGGGGAGGGGGAGGGGGGGGGAGGGGGAGGAAGAGGAAGAGGAAGAGGAAGAGGAAGAGGAAGAGGAAGAGGAAGAGGAAGAGGAAGAGGAAGAGGAAGAGGAAGAGGAAGAGGAAGAGGAAGAGGAAGAAAATGAGGATGAGGAGGATGAAGGTGAGGAGGAGGATGGGAGCGAGGGAGGAAGGGGGTGGAAGAGGAAGAGGAAGGTGAGGAGGAAGAGCAGGGGTTGAGGAGGAGGAAGAATGAGGATGGAGGAAGAAGATGACGGTGAGGAGGAAGGAGGGAATTAAGTAAGAGGAAGAGGAAGAAGGAAGAGGAAGCGGAAGAGGAAGAGGAGGAGAAAGAGGAGGAGAAAGAGGAGGAGGAAGAGGAAGAGGAGGAAGCGGAAAAAGGAAGAGGAAGAAGGAAGAGGAAGAGGAAGCGGAAGAAGGAAGAGGAGGAGGAAGAGGGAGAAAGGAAGAGGAAGAGAAGAAGGAAGATGAAGATGAAGAGGAAGAGGAGGAGGAAGAGGAGGAGGAAGAGGAAGGGGATGGATGAAGGAGAGGAGGACAAATAGGAGTGAGGAAGAGGAGGAAGACGAAGGCAGAGAGGAGGAAGAACGGGGAGGGAGGAAGAGGAGGAGGAAGGTGACAAAGAAAGGAGACGGAAGCGAGGAGGAAGACCGCGGACTGAGGAAGAGGAGGAAGAATGGTGAGGGAGGGCAGGGAAGGCGAGGAGGAGCCCGGTGAGGCCCCGCGAGGCCGAAGGCGTGACTCACCGCGGCGGGCGCGGCCGCGCTGGCCCCGCGCCAGCAGGAACCGCGGGCTCTCGGGGCACAGCGGCAGCAGCAGCAGCTGCAGCGCCGCCGGCAGCAGCCCCGCCCCGAACAGCGCCGGCCACGCCCGCGGCGTCCCCAGCAGCGCCCGCAGCCCCAGCACCTGCGGGAGGGGGACAGGCCGAGATGGGCCAAGATAGGCCGCGATAGGCCGTGATAGGGCGCGATAACCCCGCGATAACCCCGCGATAGGCCATGATAACCCTGAGATAGGCCGTGATAACCCCGGGATAGGCCGCGATAGGCCGCGATAGGCCACGATAACCCCCCGATAACCCCATGATAGGCCGCGATAGGCCGCAACAGGCAGCAGTAGGCCGCAATAGGCTGGGATAGGCCTCGACAGGCCATGACAGGCCGCATTAGGCTGCAATAGGCCACTATAGGCCGTGACAGGCCGGGATAGGCCAGGATAGGCCACGATAACCCCGTGATAGGCTGCAATAGGCCGCAATAGGCCACAACATGTCGCAATAGGCTGGGATAGGCCGCGATGGGCCACGATAAGCTGCGATAGGCTGCGATAGGCCGCGATAGGCCGCGATAAGCTGCGACAGGCTGCAGCAGGCCGCAATAGGCCACAATAGGCAGCGACAAGCCGTGACAGGCCACGATAGGCCACGATAGACCACAATAGGCCGCTATTGGCCGCTATAGGCCGTGACGGGCCGGGATAAGCTGTGATAGGCCACAGTAGGCCGAGATAGGCTGAGATAGGCCACAATAGGCCGCTATTAGCCACTATAGGCCGCGACAGGCCACAATAACCCCGCGATAGGCCGCGATAGGCCGCAAAAGGCAGCAGTAGGTCACAATAGGCAGGGATAGGCCGCAACAGGCCACAGTAGGCCGCAATAGGCCGCAATAGGCTGTGACAGGCCGCGACGGGCCAAGATAGGCCGCGATAGGCCAGGACAGGTTGCAATAGGCCAAGATATTGTGGGGTTATCATGTGATATCACGGGGTTATCACAGGATAGCATGGGGTTATCACGGGATATCGCGCGATAGGCTGCCGGAAGGGAGCGATAAGCAGCTGCAAATGGTGGCATGTCGTGATAGGGGGCGGGGGTTTTTTTACCGCCCCTGAGCTGCGCGAAGCCCCCCAAAATCCCCTCAAGGCCCCCAAACCCTCCCAGGACCCCCAGTGACCCCTGCCCCCCAAGCCACGCCCACAAAAGCCACACCCACACACCAAGCCCCGCCCATTTCCATCCTCACCACCCCAAACCTCCGACCCCCAATGACCCCTCCCCATCAAGCCACGCCCACAGCGACCCCGCCCACTTAAGCCGCACCCACAACCACATATATCATTAAAAGCCACGCCCCTCAAAGCCACGCCCACCCCATAAAACCCCGCCCAGAGTGGGAGGAGGGTCCCCATTTCCCCGCCCACCACCCAAATGACCCCTCCCCATCAAGCCACGCCCACAAACAACCCTGCCCACTGAAGCCACGCCCACCCCGCAGGCCACGCCCACCTGCGCCACCAGGATGCCAATGACGATGCCGAGCTGGTGGAGGGTCCCCAGCGCCCCCCGCAGGCGCAGCGGCGCCACTTCGCCCACGTAGAGCGGCACCAGCACCGACACCAACCCTGCGGGGGGGCGGGGTCAGCCGGGACACGCCCCTCGGGCTGCGGGACACGCCCCCCAAGGGACAGGCCACGCCCCCCAGCCAGACCACGCCCCCCAGGTGAGGCCGTACCTGAGTAGGCGCCGACGATGAAGCGGCCGAGGATGATGAGGATGTAGGTGGGGCCCAGCTTGGCCCCGCCCATCAGGGCCCCGCCCACCACGGCCAGGCCGTTGCTGGCCAATAGGGCGCCTTTCCTGAGGGGTGGGAGGAGCAGGGGAGGGGGCGTGGCCATGGCAGAGGTGACCACGCCCCTTCAGCCCCGCCCATTTGTGCCACGCCCCAGCAGGCCCCGCCCAATTATTATGCGCCATTAAGCCACGCCCATTTGACCACTCCCTGTTAAGCTCCACCCCAACAGATCTTAAGCCCCGCCCACTCTGCCCCACCCAAATAAGCCCTGCCCACACCCATTTAACCCCTAAATTTCCACACCCAACTTTTAACCCCTTCCCCTCCAATCTCCTCCCACTCTGCCCCACCCCATTAGGCCCCACCCCATTAGGCCCCGCCCCATTAAGCCCCGCCCCCTCGGCCCCACCCCATTAAGCCCCGCCTCCTCGGCCCCGCCCCTCACCTGCCGAGCCGCTCGGCCACGGCTCCGCCCGCCAGGGCCGTGCCCATCCCCCCCACGGAGAAGATGGCGACCGAGAGCGCCCAGAGCAGCGAGAGGGTCTGGGGAGGGGGCGGCGACCCCCAGCGCTGCGCCCACGTGGCGTTGTACTCCCCCTCCAGCAGCTGCGGAGGGCGCGGCACGTTGGGGAGGGGGCGCCCCGATTCGGGGAGGGGCGCCCATGGGTGGGGGGGGGGCAGCCATTGATAGAGGGGGAACTCGGATTTGGGGAGGGGGCGCCCATGGGTGGGGGGCACCCATTGAAGGAGGGGGAACTGATATTGGGGGGTGGGAACCCGAATTTGGGGAGGGAGAACACCAATTTGGGGAGGGGGCGCCCCTGGGTGGGGGGCACCCAGTGATGGAGGGGGAACCCAGATTTGGGGAGAGGGCGCCCTTGGGTGGGGGGCACCCATTGATAGAGGGGGAATTCGGATTTGGGGAGGGGGCACCCTTGGGTGGGGGGCACCCGTTGATAGAGGGGGAACGGATTTGGGGAGGGGGCACCCATGGGTGGGGGGCATCCCAATTTGGAGATGGGGCACCCATTCATAGAGGGGGAATCTCGGATTTGGGGAGGGGGCGCCCCTGGGTGGGGGGCACACATTGATAGAGGGGCAACTGATATTGGGGGGTGGGAACCCGAATTTGGGGAGGGGGCGCCCCAATTTGGGGATGGGGCACCCCTGGGTGGGGGGGCACCCATTGATAGAGGGGGAATTCGGATTTGGGGAGGGGGCGCCCCTGGGTGGGGGGCACCCGTTGATAGAGGGGGAATTCGCATTTGGGGAAGGGGCGCCCTTGGGTGGGGGGCACCCAGTGATGGAGGGGGAACTGATATTGGGGGGTGGGAACCCGAATTTGGGGAGGGAGAACCTGATTTTGGGGAGGGGGCACCCCTGGCTGGGGGACACCCAGATTTGAGGAGGGGTCCTCAATTTGGGGAGGGATTCCCTAATTTTGGGAGGGGCCTGGAAATTGGGGAGGGGTCCCAATTTGGGTGGGGGTCCCGATTTTTGGGGGGGGTCCCAATTTGGGGGAGTCGGTAATTTGGGGAGGGGTCGGTAATTTGGGGGGGGGTCGGTAATTTGGGGGGGGGTCCAGATTTGGGGGGGGGTCCCGATTTGGGGGGAGATCACAAATTAGGGAGGGGTCCCAATTTGGGGGGGGGTCAGTAATTTGGGAGGGTCAGTAACTTGGGGAGGGGTCCCAATTTGGGGAGGGGTCAGTAATTTGGGGAGGGGTCTGGCACCTTCTGCGGCGCGTTGATGACGCCGATGTTGAAGCCGAAGCCGAGGGAGCCGAGCGCGGCCGCGAACACGGTCAGGGCCAGGGCGGGGGTCAGCGCGGGGGGCGGGGACCCCCCCGGGGCCGCGGCGGGACCCCCCTCATCCTCCTGCGGGCAGAGACCCCCACCCAAAATAGCACCCCCCAAAATCCCCCCAAAAATCCCCACCAAAACCCCGGAATTCAGCCCGAAAATCCCAAAATTCAGTCCCAAAATCCCCCCAAAATCCGGGATTTGGGGAGTGGGAGACCCCCCCTCATCCTCCTGCGGGCAGAGACCCCTCCCCAAAATAGCACCCCCCAAAATCCCCCCCAAAAAATCCCACAAAATTCACCCAAAAAACCAAAAAAAATCAACCCCAAAACCCCAAAATTAAGTCCAAAAATTCCCCCAAAATGCCCCAAAATAGCACCGCCAAAAATCCCCCAAATTCACCCCAAAAAATAGCCCAAAATTCACCCGAAAATCCCCCAACATTCAGCCCAAAAATCCTAAAAAATCAACCCGAAAATCCCAAAACAATCCACCCGAAAATCCCCCCAGAAATCCCGAAAATCGCCTTAAAATGCCCCAAAATAGCACCCCAAAAATCCCCAAAATTCACCCAAAAAAATCCCCCAAAATTCACCCAAAAATCCTAACATTCAGCCCGAAAATCCTAAAAAAATCACCCCAAAAATCACCCCGAAATCCCCCAAAGTTCACCAGAAAATCCCAAAATTCACTCAAAAAAAAATTACCCCAAAAAATCGCCCCAAAATTCACCTCAAAAATCACCCCGAATAATCCCAAAAAATCACCCCAAAAATCCCCAAAATTCACCGCAAAAAATCCCAAAAAATCAGCCCGAAGCTTCCCGCTAAAATCCCCAAAATCCACCAAAACTCCCCCTTAAAATCCATCAATAGTGACCCCAAAAATCCCAAAAATCCTCCCAAAATTCCCCCCCAAAAATCACGGCAAAATTTCCCCCCAAAATTCCAAAAATTCCCCCAAAATTCCAAAAAATACCCCCGGAATTCCCCCAAAATTCCAAAATTCTCCCAAAATTCCAAAAATTCCCCAAAATTCTCCCAAAATTCCAAATATTTTCCCAAAATCCCAAAAATTTCCCCAAAATCCCCAAAATTCCCCCAAAATCCCAAGAATTCCCCCAAAATCCCCAAAATTTCCCCAAAATCCCCAAAATCCCCCCAAAATTCCCCCAAAATTCCAAAAATTTTCCCCAAATCCCAAAAATTCCCCCAAAATCCCAAAATTTTCTCCAAAATTCCAAAAATTGTTCCAAAATCCCAAAATTTTTCCCAAAATCCCCAAAATTCCCCCAAAATCCCCAAAATTTCCCCCAAAATTCTGGATTGGGGAAATTTGGGGGTGGGGGAGGGGCGGGGTCGGTTTGGGGGCGTGGCCAAAGGGCTCCGCCCCTCCCCCACCCCCCGCACGCCCCCGCCCCGCCCCTCGTCACGTGACCCGGAGGGGGCGGGGCTCTGTCGCGACATCCGCCCCTCCCCCACCCCCCCAATTAACCCTTAATTAACGCCTCATTAACGCCTAAATTATCCCCGATTCAGCACTAATTAATCCCTAATTGCCTGCTAATTAACTCCTAATTAACCCCTAATGAACTTCTCATTAACTCCTAATCATTCTGTAATTAACTTCTAATTAACCCCTAATTAACCCATAATGAATTCCTAATTAACTCCTAAATAATCTGTAATTAAAGTCTCATTAACCCGTAATTAACCCGTAATGAATTCCCAATTACCTCCTAAATAATGCGTAATGAACTTCTGATTAACTCCTAATTAATCTGTAATTAACTTCTAATTAACCCCTAATTAACCCATAATGAATTCCTAATTACCTCCTAAATAATTTGTAATTAACTTCTCATTAACGTCTAATTAATCTGTAATTAACTTCTAATTAACCCACAATTAATTTCTAATTAACCCCTAATTAACCTCCCGACTTTCCCCCACAGGAGCCCCTTCCCAAGCCCTAATTAACCTTTAATTAACTCCTAATTATTACTTAATTAATCTCCCAATCCATCTCAGCACTCTCCAAGTCCTAATTAACCCTTAACTAACCCTTAATTAAGAGTTAATTAATCCCCCAATCCACCCCGGGCCTGACTTCTAATTAACCCTTAATTAACTCCTAATTAAGCTTCGGATCCCCCCTCCCGGATACTCCCCCCTGACCCCTAATTAACCCCTAATTAACCCTTAATTAATCCCTCATTAACCCCCGGATTCCCTCCCCCCGAGTTCCCCCTTCCCGACCCCTAATTAACCCTTAATTAACCCTTAATTAATACTTAATTAACCCTTCATTAATTCCCCAATTCAACTCGGGACTCTCCAATGCGCAATTAACTCTTAATTACCCCTAATTAACCTCCGGAACCCCCCACGAGACCCACCCGACACTTAATTAACCTCTAGTCCTTAATTAACCCCCTGACCCTCCCCTGGACCGTCCAACCCTTAATTAACTCCTTATTAATCCTTAATTAATCCCTAATTAACTTCCCAATCCCCTCGTGACACCCCGACCCCTAATTAACCTCTAATTCACCCCTAATTAGCCTTAAATTAACCTCTAATTAGTGCTTAATTAACCCCAACCCCTAATTAACCTCTAATTAACCTTAATTAACCCCGTACCTCCTCCTCCTCTTGGATCTGCTGGAACCCCCTGGGCATGGAGGCAGTAATTAATTAATTAGTTAATTAGCAAGTTAATTAAGCGGGGGAGTTAATGAGGGGCACTCCCAGGGGGTTTCCCGAGGGGGGGAGGGTTAATTAGGGACTAATTAGGGGTTAATTAGGGGTTAATGAGGGGTCAGAGGAGGGCCAGGGGCTTAATTAAGGATTAATTAGGGGTTAATTAGCGGTTGTGGCCATCCCGGTGCGGATCGGAGTGTTAATTAAGGATTAATTAAAGGTTAATGAGGGGACGAGGGGGGGGTCCCGTGAGGGGGATCAGGAGGTTAATTAGGGTTAATTAAGAGCACATTGGGGTTAATTAAGAGCCAGTTAGGGTTAATTAGGGGTATTTAAGAGCAAATCAGGGTTAATTAGGATTAATGAAGAGCAAACTAGGGATAATCAGGGCTAATTAAGAGCTAATTAGGGTTAGTTAGAGTTAATTAAGAGCTATTTAGGGCTAATTAAGAGCTATTTAGGGCTCATTTAGAACTAATTATGGTCAGTTAGGGCTAATTAAGAGCAAATTAGTGCAAATTAGGGTTATTAAGAGCTAATTACGGTTAATTAGAGCTAATTAAGGGCAAATCTGGGCTAATTAGCATTAATTAAGAGCGAATCACGGCTAATTAGCGATAATTAAGAGCAAATTAGGGTTAATCAAGAGCTATTTGGGGTAATTAAGAGCAGATCGGAGCTAATTAGCGCTAATTAAGAGCAAATTAAGGTTAATAAGGTGTTATTTAGGCTAATTAAGTGCAAATTAAGGTTAATTAAGCACCGTATAGGGTTAATTAGGGCTAATCAAGCGCTAACGAGGGTAATTAAGAGCCGCTCAGCGTTAATGAAGCGCTAATTAGGGGTTAATGAGGGCGGGGGGGGGAGGGGCGGCGGCTCCCGGGGGGTCCCGGGGGGTCTGCGGCGGCTCCGGGCGGGGGGGCGGGGCCAGAGGAGGCCACGCCCACCGGGGCCACGCCCACCGGGACACGCCCCTGCCCCGCCCCCCCAAACTATAACCGGAGCCCCAAAATTACCGCCCCTCCCCCACCCCCATCCCCCCAAATTTGTGGCCCCTCCCCCACCCCTGAACCCCCAAATTTTTACTCCCGCCCCTCCCCCACCCCAAAATTCTGCCTTCCTGCCCCTCCCCCACCTCCAAATTTTGGTTCCCTGCCCCTCCCCCACCCAAGGACCCCCAAATTCCCGACCCTCCCCCTCTCGGGACCCCCCCAAATTCCCGCCCCTCCCCCACCCCCCCAAATTTCACCTCCCTGCCCCTCCCCCACCCAAGAACCCCCAAAATTTTGCCCCTCCCCCACCCCATCCCCCAAATTCCCGCCCCTCCCCCACCCCCAAATTCCCGCCCCTCCCCCACCCCAGGACCCCCCCCCCCCATTTTTTTTCCCCTCCCCCATCCGGGCCCCCCCAAATTCCCGCCCCTCCCCCACCCCCAAATTTCACCCCCCTGCCCCTCCCCCACCCCTGAACCCCCAAAATTTTTTACTTCCGCCCCTCCCCCACCCCCAAATTCCCGCCCCTCCCCCACCCCCAAACCCCCAAATTTTTACTCCCGCCCCTCCCCCACCCCCAAATTCTGGTTCCCTGCCCCTCCCCCACCCAAGGACCCCCAAATTCCCGCCCCTCCCCCACCCCAGGACCCCCCCCCTTTTATTTTGCCCCTCCCCCCCCCGGACACTCCCAATTTTTGCCCCTCCCCCACCCCCAAATTTCACCTCTCGGCCCCTCCCCCACCCCAGAACCCCCAAATTCCCGCCCCTCCCCCACCCCCGAACCCCAAAAAATTTTTACTTCCGCCGCTCCCCACCTCAACATTCCCCCTCCCCCACCCCAGACCCCCCCCCCCCCCCCCCCATTTTTTTTTCCCCTCCCCCCACCGGGACCCCCCAAATTCCCGCCCCTCCCCCACCCCAGGACCCCTCCCCCCCATTTTTCCCCCCCCTCCCCCACCCCAGGACCCCCCAAATTCCCGCCCCTCCCCCAATTCCCGCCGCTTTTGCCCTAAAATAGAAACGGGGCGGCGATGACGTCACCGGGAGGGGGTGGGGGAGGGGCGGGCGCGTGCCCGGAGCTATTTTTAGCTCTTTCCCCTCCCCCCCCCCCCCGTGAAATGTCACCTCAAAGTGACCTCGGCGAGGGGGGGGAGGGGCATTTAAAGGGCCAGACGCCAATTTTGGGAATTGGATTGTTCCGGGAGGGGGGGGGAGGGGGGGAACACCCCCGTGTGACGTCACAAAGGGGCGTGGTCACCCAGGGGACACCCAGGGGACACTGAGGACACGCGTGGGTGTGGTGGGCGTGGCCAAAAAGCCGAAACCACGCCCCTAATTAAACCCCGCAACCAATCAACGGCGAGTTTCCCCCCCCTCCCCGCGGGGGTGAGAATGGTACGACCCGAGGGGGCGTGGCTTTGCTGATAAGTGGGCGTGGTTATGCAAAAGATGGGTGGTTACGTAAAGGGGGCGTGGTTACGTCAAGGGGGCGTGGCCTCAGTCTGCTGCGCCGCCTCAGCGAAGGCGGGGGGGATACGCCAAAAAAAACCAAAAAAAAACCCCAAAAAAACCCCAAAAAACCCCCAAAAAAGCGTCCGGAGGGGCTCGCCCGGGCCGCCCCCAGCTCGCCATGGTGTCGCTGCTCTGCTGCGGGCCCAAAATGGCGGCGTGTGGGCTCGTCCTCAGCGCCTGGGGCGTCGTGATGCTGGTCAGGGGCTGGGGGGGAATTTGGGGGGATTTGGGGGGATTTAGAGGGGTTTGGGGAGGATTTAGAGGGGTTTTGGTGAAATTTATAGGGGTTTTGGGGGGATTTAGAGGGGTTTGGGGGGATTTAGAGGGGTTTTGGGGGGATTTGGGGAGATTTGGGGGGATTTAGAGGGGTTTGGGGGGCTTGGAGGGGTCTTGGGGGGATTTATAGGGGTCTTGGGGGAATTTATAGGGGTCTTGGGGGGATTTATAGGGGTTTCGGGGGGATTTAGAGGGGTTTTGGGGGGATTTATGGGGGTTTTGAGGGTGATTTAAGGGGTTAAGGGGGGATTGGGGGAGATTTGAAGGGTCTTGGGGGGGTTTTGGGGGGATTTAGAGGGGTTTGGGGGGATTTATAGTGGTTTTGGGGGGATTTGGGGGGGATTTGGGGGGGCTTGGGAGGGTTTTGGGGGGGCTTTGAGGAGTTTTGGGGGGGATTTAGAGGGGTTTGGGGGAGGCCTGGAGGGATTTGGGGGGGTCTTGGAGGGGTTTTGGGGGGTCTTGGAGGGATTTTGGGGGGTTTTGGGGGGATTTGAGAGGTTTAAGGGGAGTGTTTGAGGGATTTGGGGGGATTGGGGGGAATTTGAGGGATTTTGGGGGGTCTTGGGAGCGGTTTGGGGGGGCTTTGAGGAGTTTTGGGGGAATTTAGGGGGTTTTGGGGGGGTCTCGGAGGAATTTTGGGGGGCTGTGAGCGGTTTCAGAAGGAATTTGGGGTTCCTGAGGGAGTTTTGGGGGGTTGGGGTGGTTCAAACTTTCCAAAATGTGGGGGAGACCCCCCCCAAAACCCCTCCCCCACCCCCCAACTTCCCCTCCCCCACCCCCCAAAAACCCCTCCCCCACCCCCCAACTTCCCCTCAGCTGCCCCTGAGTCACCCCCGGCCCCTCCCCCACCCCCAAAAAATCAAATTTTGGGGGGCTGAGGCAGCTCTGGGGGAGGGGCTCTGCACCCCAAATCCCTCAGGGACCCCCAAAATCCCCCGAGACCCCCCAAAAAACCCCAAAAGAACCCCCAAATCCTCCCAAAATCCCTCATAGGGACCCCCAAACCTCCCCAAACCTCCCCAAATCCCCCCAAATTGCCCCAAAATCCCCCTAAAATCCCCTCAGGACCCCCCAAAAATCCCCTCAGGACCCCCAAATCCTCCCAAAATCCCTCATAGGGACCCCAAATTGCCCCAAATCCCCCCCAAATTCCCCCAAAATCCCCTCAGGACCCCCCAAAATCCCCTCAGGAGCCCCAAAATTCCCCCAAATCCTCTTGGGACCTCCAAAAATCCCCACAAGGGACCCTCAGGACCCCCGAATTCCCCCCAAATCCCCTCAAGACCCCCCAAAATCCCCAAAAAATCCCCCAAATCTCCCCGAGGGACCACCCAGGACCCCCAAATCCCCTCGAGACCCCCCAAAATCCCCCCAAATTCCCTCCAAATCCCTCCCAGGACCCCCAAATTCCCCCCAAATCTCCCCAGGGGACCCTCAGGACCCCCGAATCCCACCCCAAATCCACTTGGGACCCCCAAAAATTCCCCAAATCTCCCCGAGAGACCACCCAGGACCCCCAAATTCCCCCTAGATCCCCTCGAGACCCCCCAAAATCCCCCCAAATCCCTCCCAGGACCCCCAAACTCCCCCCAAATCCCCTCGAGACCCCCCAAAATCCCCCCAAAAATCCCCCCAGGTGCTGTTGGGCATTTTTTTCAACGTCCACTCGGCCGTGCTGATCGAGGATGTGCCTTTCACTGAGGAGGACTTCAAGGGGTGAGGGGAAATTTGGGGGGATTTTGGGGGATTTTGGGGGGTCCTGGGGGGATTTTGGGGGTCCTGGGGGGATTTGGGGGGGATTTGGGGCAGTTTGGGGGTCCCTGTGAGGGATTTTTGGGGGATTTGGGGGGTCCTGAGAGGAATTTAGGGAGGTTTGAGGGGATTTGGGGGAGTTTGGGGGGGTCCTGAGGGGAATTTGGGGGGTCCTGAGGGGGATTTGGGGGGTCCTGAGGGGGATTTGGGGGTCTTGAGGGGGATTTGGGGGGATTTTGGGGGATTTTGGAGGTTCTAAGGGACATTTTGATGAATTTTGGGGGTCCTGGGAGGAATTTGGGGAGAATTTGGGGGGATTTGGGGAGATCCTGAGGAGAATTTTGATGAATTTTGGCGGTTTTGGGGGAAATTTGGGTGGGGGGATTTTGAGGGGATCCTGGGTGGAATTTGGGGAGAATTTGGGGGGGTTTTGGAAGATCCTGAGGGGAATTTTGATGAATTTTGGGGGTTTTGGGGGAAATTTGGGTGTGGGGAATTTTGGGGGGGTCCTGGGTGGAATTTGGGGAGAATTTGGGGGAATTTGGGGAGATCCTGAGGGGAATTTTGATGAATTTTGGGGGTTTGGGGGGAAATTTGGGTGGGGAGAGTTTGGGGCGGTCCTGGGTGGAATTTTGGGGAGAATTTGGGGGTTTTTGGGAGATCCTGAGGGGAATTTTGGGGGTTTTGGGGAAAATTTGGGTGGGGGGAATTTTGGGGGAGTCCTGGAAGGAATTTTGGGGCGGATTTTGGGGGTGAATTTTACACCGATTTAAGCTCCCAAAACCCCCCAAACCCCCTGAAAATCCCCCCCAAAACCCCCCAAACTCCCCGAAATCCCCCCAAAAATCCCCCAAACCCCCCAAAATCCCCCAAAATTCCGATTTTTTCCCCTCCGCAGCGGCCCCGAGCGCATTTACCGCCTGTACGAGCAGGTCAGCTACAACTGCTTCATCGCCGCGGGGCTCTACGCGCTGCTCGGCGGCTTCTCCCTCTTCCAGAGCCGCCTCAACAAGCGCAAGGAGTACATGGTGCGCTGAGACCCGAAACCGCCGTTTTTCACCCCAAAAAAATCCCTTTTTTCTTTTTTTCCGTTTAAAAATCCCATTTTTTCCACGCTTGGAGGACCAATTTTTTCCCGCGCGGAAGCGCGCTCGGGGCTGGGTAATGAATAAATTTGTTGTGTATTCACCCCGCGGTGGTTTTTTATGGGTGGAATGGGTTTTTGGGGTGAAAAACGGCGATTTTGGGGTGAAAAATGGGAATTTTGGGGGTGAGGAGCAACGAGCCCGCGGAGCGGCGCGGCCGCGGGAGGCGGAAGTGGGCGGGGCGGTGGGCGGGGTTTACGTGGAACTGACCAATCAGCGTGAGGGGGCGGGGCCTGCTGAGGGCGGTACCAACGAGACGCGCGGGGCGGAGCGGCCCCTCCCCCCCCGCCGCCATCATCGAGGAGCCGGAGCGGCGGCGGCGGCGGCCGGAGGGGCCGGGCAGAGCGGCCATGACGTCAGCATCGACTAAAGTCAGGGATTTTGGGCAATTTTGGGCGGATTTGGGAGATTTTGGGGGTTTTTTTTGGGGGTGTGAGGAGAGGATCGGGGGGGGGTTGGGGATGAGGGAACTTCCGGTTTGATGCTACTTCCGGTCCGCACCCGGAAAGAGTCGGGTGGGGGAGAATGACCCCCATGGAAGGTTCCGGGGTGCGGCGGTTACTGGTCCCAGTTTGGGTTTTACTGGTCCCAGTTTGGGTCTTGATCCTGATACTGGTCCCAGTTTGGGCTCCCAGTGAGATTTACTGGTCCCAGTTTGGGTTTTACTGGTCCCAGTTTGGGTTTGATTCTGTTACTGGTCCCAGTTTGGGTCCCAGTTTGGGGTTTACTGGTCCCAGTTTGGGTTTTACTGGTCCCAGTTTGGGGTTTACTGGTCCCAGTTTGGGTTTGATTCTGTTACTGGTCCCAGTTTGGGGTTTACTGGTCCCAGTTTGGGGTTTGATTCTGTTACTGGTCCCAGTTTGGGGTTTACTGGTCCCAGTTTGGGTTTTACTGGTCCCAGTTTGGGGTTTACTGGTCCCAGTTTGGGTTTGATTCTGTTACTGGTCCCAGTTTGGGGTTTACTGGTCCCAGTTTGGGGTTTGATTCTGTTACTGGTCCCAGTTTGGGGTTTACTGGTCCCAGTTTGGGGTTTACTGGTCCCAGTTTGGGTTTGATTCTGTTACTGGTCCCAGTTTGGGTTTTACTGGTCCCAGTTTGGGTCTTGATTCTGTTACTGGTCCCAGTTTGGGTCCCAGTGGGATTTTACTGGTCCCAGTTTGGGTTTTATTGGTCCCAGTTTGGGTTTTGATTCTGTTACTGGTCCCAGTTTGGGTTTTATTTGTCCCAGTTTGGGTTTTATTGGTCCCAGTTTGGGGTTTTACTGGTCCCAGTTTGGGTCCCAGTGGGGTTTTACTGGTCCCAGTTTGGGTTTTACTGGTCCCAGTTTGGGGTTTACTGGTCCCAGTTTGGGGTTTGATTCTGTTACTGGTCCCAGTTTGGGTTTTACTGGTCCCAGTTCGGGTCTTGATCCTGATACTGGTCCCAGTTTGGGCTCCCAGTGGGGTTTTACTGGTCCCAGTTTGGGTTTTGATTCTGTTACTGGTCCCAGTTTGGGTTCAATGGGTTTTTACTGGTCCCAGTTTGGGGTTTACTGGTCCCAGTTTGGGCCCCAGTGGGGTTTTACTGGTCCCAGTTTGGGTTTTACTGGTCCCAGTTTGGGTCTTGATTCTGTTACTGGTCCCAGTTTGGGTTCAATGGGATTTTACGGATCCCAGTTTGGGTTTTATTGGTCCCAGTTTGGGGTTTACTGGTCCCAGTTTGGGGTTTAGTGGTCCCAGTTTGGGTTTTACTGGTCCCAGTTTGGGGTTTACTGGTCCCAGTTTGGGTCTTGATCCTGTTACTGGTCCCAGTTTGGGCCTCAGTGAGATTTTACTGGTCCCAGTTTGGGGTTTAGTGGTCCCAGTTTGGGTTTTACTGGTCCCAGTTTGGGGTTTACTGGTCCCAGTTTGGGTCTTGATCCTGTTACTGGTCCCAGTTTGGGCCTCAGTGAGATTTTACTGGTCCCAGTTTGGGTTTGATTCTGTTACTGGTCCCAGTTTGGGTCCCAGTTTGGGTTTTACTGGTCCCAGTTTGGGTCTTGATCCTGACACTGGTCCCAGTTTGGGCTCCCAGTCCCCTCCAATCCCCTCCCAGTCCCTCCCAGTCCCTCCCAGTCCATCCCAGTTTATCCCAGTTTATCCCAGTTCCCTCTCAATCCCCTCCCAGTTCCCTCCCAGTCCCCTCCCAGTCCCTCCCAGTTTATCCCAGTCCATCCCAGTCCCCCCTAATCCCATCCCAGTCCCCCTGAATCCCCTCCCAGTCCATCCCAGTCCATCCCAGTTTATCCCAGTTTGTCCCAGTTTGTCCCAGTTCCATCCCAGTTCCCTCCCAGTCCCTCCCAGTCCCCCCCAATCCCCTCCCAGTCCCTCCCAGTATAAACCAGTAACCCCAAATCTCCTTTTTAACCCCTCCCAGTTCCTCCCAGTCCCTCCCAGTCCATCCCAGTATATCCCAGTTTGCCGTTCCAGGTCGGGGAGATTTTCTCGGCCGCCGGCGCCGCCTTTTCCCGTCTGGGGGAACTGACGATGCAGCTGCACCCGGGCACCGACAGCTCCCCCGCGGGGTGAGGGGTTGGGGGGATTTGGGGAAATTTGGGGAAATTTGGGGAAATTTGGGGCATTTGGGGAAAATTTGGGGCATTTTGGGAAAATTTGGGGAAAATTTGGTGAAATTTGGGGGAGATTTGGGGGGGTTTTGGAGCTTTTCTGGGGAGATTTGGGGCAGTTTGGAGGGATTTTGGGGCAGTTTTGGGGGGGATTTTGTGGGGTCCCAGGGGAGGTTGGGGAGATTTTGGGGAAATTTGGGGCATTTTGGGGGATTTGGGAAAATTTGGGGAAAATTTCGTGAAATTTGGGGGTGATTTGGGGGCGTTTTGGAGCTTTTCTGGGGAGATTTGGGGGATTTTGGGGGGGCATTTTGGGGTCACTGGGGGAGATTTGGGAAAATTTGGGGGATTTTGGGGGGTCCTGGGGGGCATTTTGGGGGAATTGGGGCATTTTGGGGAAATTTGGGGAAAATTTGGAAAATTAGGGGAAAATTTCGTGAAATTTGGGGGTGATTTGGGGGGGTTTTGGAGCTTTTCTGGGGAGATTTGGGGCGGTTTGGGGGGGGATTTTGGGGTCACTGATGGAGATTTGGGAAAATTTGGGGGATTTTGGGGGGTCCTGGGGGGATTTTGGGAAAATTTGGGAAAATTTGGGGCAATTTGGGAAAATTTGGGGCATTTTGGAAAAATTTGGGGAAATTTGTGGGGGTTTTGGAGCTTTTCTGGGGAGATTTGGGGCAGTTTTGGGGGGTTCCCAGGGGGATTTTGGGGGGGGATTTTGGGGTATTTTAGGGGGTTTTGGGGGGGTCCTGGGGGGCATTTTGGGGGGATTTGGGGCATTTTGGGGGGTTTTGGGAAAATTTGGGGGAGGTTTTGGGGGGGTTTGGGGGGGTTTTGGAGCTCTCATGGGGAGATTTTGGGGGGTTTGGGGGGGCTTCCAGAGGGATTTTGGGGTTCCCAGGGGGAATTCTGGGGGAGATTGGGGGAATTTTTGGAAAAACGTGGGGGAGATTTGGAGCTTTTCTGGGGAGATTTGGGGCAGTTTCGGGTGATTTTGGGGCAGTTTTGGGGGCATTTTGGGCCTAAAACCCCCCCAAAACCCCCTCAAATCTCCCCAAAACCCCCCGAAACCCCTCCAGAACACCCCAAAATCCCCCCAAATTCCCCCAAAATCCCCCCAAAATCCCGGGGTCCCCCCATGTCCCGCTGGACAGAGCCAGAGCTGGCGTTGCTTCACGGGGCTGAGTCGCAATTTCGAACCCCAAAAAACCCCCAAAAACTTCTCCTAAATCCACCTAAAACCCCCTCAAATCACCCCAAAACTCCCCAAAAATAACCCAAATCCCCTTCAGGACCCCCCAAATCCCCCCAAAAACCCCTCAGGACCCCCCAAAAACCCCGGGGTCCCCCCAGGAGCCGCAGCTGGCGCCGCTCTGTGCAGCCGCGTCGCGATTCTGAACCCCCAAAAACTGCCTCAAATCCCCCCAGAACTTCCCCAAATCCCCCCAAAAACCACTCAGGACCCCCGAAATGCCCCCCAAAACCACTCAGGACCCCCCAAAATCCGCGGGTCCCCCCAGGTCCCACGGGATGGAGTCGGAGCTGGCGCCGCTCTGTGCAGCCACGTCACGACTCTGAACCCCCAAAAACCCCCCGAAATCCCCCCAAAACTCCCCCAAATTCCCCCAAAAACCACTCAGGACCCCCGAAATGCCCCCCAAAACCACTCAGGACCCCCCAAAAACCACTCAGGACCCCCCAAAAACCCCCGGGGTCCCTCCAGGAGCCCCATCTGGCGCCGCTCTGTGCAGCCGCGTCGCAATTCTGAACCCCCAAAAACCGCCTCAAATCCCCCCAGAACTCCCCCAAATCCCCCCAAATCCCCCCAAAACTTCCCCAAATCCTCCCTAAAACCCCTCAGGACCCCCCAAAATCCCGGGGTCCCCCCAGGTCCCGCTGGACGGAGCCGGAGCTGGCGCTGCTCCGCGGGGCCGTGTCGCGATTCGGGGAGGACCTGAACCGCCTCAGCGCCCTCATCAAGGACCGCACGGTGTAAGGGGGGCCCGGGGGGGAATTTTGGGGTGCCCCCCCCCAAAAAAAACCCCCAAAAAAACCCCCAAAAAACCCCAAATTTCCCCCCAGGGCGCAGCTGAAGGCGGCGGCCAAGCGCAAAGCCTACGAGGACAGCGGGGTCCCCCTGCCCCCCCCCGCCGCCGACTCCCCCAAAAAGGGACCCCGAAAAAACCCCCTCAGCTCTGGGGGGGCCCCCCACGACCCCCCCGGGCCCCCCTCGAAGAAGATGAAGGCGGCAGGTGATGAATTTTGGGGTTTTTTGGGGTTTTTTTGGTTCATTTCGGGATTTCTTTAATTTTAGGCCCCCCCCCCCGACATTAATTTTGGGGTATTTTTTTCCCGATTCTTTAATTTTGGGGAACCCTCCCAATTAATTTTGGGGCTCGCCCTTAAAATTTGGGGTTCCCATTCTCCCCTCCCTTTAATTTTTGGGGTTTTTCTGGACCCTCCCCTTTAATTTTGGGGTCTCTTTGTCCCCCTTGTCTTAATTTTAGGGTCCCCCCATTAATTTTGGGCTCCCCCCAAATCAATTTTGGGCTCCCCCCATTAATTTTAGGCTCCCTCAATTAATGTTGGGGTCCCCCACATTGATTTTAGGCTCCCCCCATTAATTTTAGGGTCCCCCCCCATTAATTTTGGGCTCCCCCCCATTAATTTTTGGGCTCCCCCCATTAATTTTAGGTTTCCCCCCATTAATTTTGGGCTCCCCCCATTAATTTTTGGGTCCCCCCCATTAATTTTAGGCTCCCCCCATTAATTTTGGGCTCCCCCCATTAATTTCAGGGTCCCCCCCCATTAATTTTGGGCTCCCCCTATTAATTTTGGGCTCCCCCCCAATTAATTTTGGGCTCCCCCCATTAATTTTGGGCTCCCCCCATTAATTTTTGGGTCCCCCCCATTAATTTTAGGCTCCCCCCATTAATTTTGGGCTCCCCCCATTAATTTCAGGGTCCCCCCCCATTAATTTTGGGCTCCCCCCATTAATTTTGGGCTCCCCCCCAATTAATTTTGGGCTCCCCCCATTAATTTTGGGGTCCCCCCATTAATTTTGGGGTCCCCCCATTAATTTTGGGGTCCCCCCAGAGCCCCCCCCGAGTGACTCCGACCCCCCCGGGGACCTCGTGGACGTCGAAGGATTTGGGGACCCCCCCCCAAAGAAGCTGAACTTCGACCAGGGTACGGTGAGGGGGGGGGGATCCCCAAAAAAAAACCCCAAATTTTGGGGTTCTCCCCAAAATTTTGGGGTTCCCCTCACCCCTTCCCCTTTTTCCAGCAGCCTGAAGTTGGAGCCCCCCCCAGGACCCCCCAAAAAACCCTCTGGACCCCCCCAAAATCCCAAATTTCTCCCTGACACCCCCAAATTTGGGGGGACCCCAAAATCCCCCTCCCCAAATTTTGGGATCCCCCCCACAATTTTTGGGGTCTCCCTCAAGAGACTCCTCCCAGTTTTGGGGTCCCCAAATTTGGGGGACCCCCCCACTCCGTTGTCATCCCCAATAAAATTTTGGGGTGTCCCCCCACTTTGTCCCTGTGTTGTGTCTCGATTTTGGGGTCCCCCCCTCCCCAAAATTTGGGGTCGCCCCATTTTTGGGGTCCCCCCCATGAGTCAGGTTTGGGTTGGAGCCTTTATTGGGGTCACACTGAAGACGAGACCGGGAGGGGTCCCCAAATTTTGGGGTCCTGGAGGGTTTTTGGGTGGGGGGGAGGGGAAATTTGGGATGTCCGGGTGAATTTTGGGGTGTCTGGGTGAATTTTGGGGTGTCTGGGTGGATTTTTAGGATTCCTGGTTGGATTTTGGGGTGTCCCAGGTGAAGTTTGGGGTGCCCTGGTTGGATTTTGGGGTGTCCCAGATGGATTTTAGGGTTTCTGGGTGTATTTTGGGGTGTCCCGGGTGAATTTTGGGGTGTCCCGGGCAGGTTTTGGGGTGTCCCGGGCAGGTTTTGGGCTGTCCCAGATGAATTTTGGGGTGTCCCAGGTGAATTTTGGGGTGTCCTGGGCAGGTTTCGGGGTGTCCTGGGCGGGTTTTGGGTTGCCTGGGTGTATTTTGGGATGTTCCAGGCGGGTTTCGGGGTGTCCCAGATGAATTTCGGGGTGTCCCGGGTGGATTTTGGGATGTCCCAGATGAATTTTAGGGTTCCTGGGTGTATTTTGGGGTGTCCCGGGTGTATTTTAGGGTGCCCCGGGTGTATTTCGGGGTGTCCAGGGTGTATTTTGGGGTGTCCCGGGTGTATTTTGGGGTGCCCCAGGCAGGTTTTGGGGTGTCCTGGGTGGGGTTTGGGGTGCCCCGGGCAGGTTTCGGGGTGTCCTGGATGAATTTTAGGGTTCCTGGGTGCATTTTGGGGTGTCCTGGGCGGGTTTCGGGGTGTCCCAGGTGAATTTTGGGATGTCCCAGGCAGGTTTTGGGGTGTCCCGGGCAGGTTTCGGGCTGCCCCAGGTGAATTTTGGGGTGTCCTGGGCAGGTTTTGGGGTGTCCCAGATGAATTTTAGGGTACTTGGGTGTATTTTGGGGTGTCTCGGGCAGGTTTCGGGGTGTCCCGGGTGTATTTCGGGGTGTCCCGGGCAGGTTTTGGGTTGCCTGGGTGTATTTTGGGGTGTCCCGGGTGAATTTTGGGGTGTCCCAGGCAGGTTTTGGGGTGTCCCAGTTGAATTTCGGGGTGTCCTGGGTGTATTTTGGGGTGTCCCGGGCAGGTTTCGGGGTGTCCCGGGTGAATTTTAGGGGTCCTGGGTGTATTTTGGGGTGTCCCAGATGGGTTTTGGGCTGTCCCAGATGAATTTTAGGGTTCCCGGGTGTATTTCGGGGTGTCCTGGGCAGGTTTTGGGGTGCCTGGGTGTATTTTGGGATGTTCTAGGCGGGTTTTGGGGTGTCCCGGGCGGTTTTCGGTTGCCTGGGTGTATTTTGGGATGTTCTAGGCGGGTTTTGGGGTGTCCCGGGCAGTTTTGGGGTACCCCGGGTGAATTTTGGGGTACCCCAGGTGAATTTTGGGGTGCCCCGGGCAGGTTTTGGGGTGTCCAGGGCGGGTTTTGGGGTGTCCCGGGTGAATTTTGGGGTGCCTGGGTGTATTTTGGGATGTTCTAGGCAGGTTTTGGGGTGTCCCGGGCGGTTTTGGGGTGTCCCAGGCGGGTTTTGGGGTACCCCGGGTGAATTTTGGGGTGCTACAGGGGCTGGCAGCGCTCCTGGCGGCTGTAGAGCTCAAATTGGCTCTTCCAGCGCATCATGTAGGAGCTCCAGCGGTGGAATTCCAGACGCCACTGCCGCTCCGCCTCCTCCATCGGGCCTGGGGACCCCAAAATCCCGACTGAGCACCCCAAAAATCCCAAAAAAATCCCAAAAAAATCCCTCAAAACTGCCCCAAAATCCCCTAAATTAAATTTAACCCAAAAAATGCCCAAATCCACCCAAAATTCCCGGTGCTGCCGCTCCGCCTCCTCCATCGGCCCTGGGGACCCCAAAATCCTAAATGAGCACCCCAAAAAACCCCAAAAAATCCCAAAAAATCCCCCCCAAAAACCCCTGAACTGCCCCGAAATCCCCTAAATCAAATTTCACCCAAAAACTGCCCAAATCCACCCAAAATTCCCGGTGCTGCCACTCCGCCTCCTCCATCGGGCCTGGGGACCCCAAAATCCCAAATGAGCACCCCAAAAAACCAAAAAAATCCCAAAAAATCCCAAAAAAATCCCCCCAAAAACCCCTGAACTGCCCCAAAATCCCCTAAATCAAATTTAACCCAAAACCCGCTCGAATCCACCCAAAATTCCCGGTGCTGCCGCTCCGCCTCCTCCATCGGGCCTGGGGACCCCAAAATCCTAAATGAGCACCCCAAAAATCCCAAAAAAATCCAAAAAAAATCCCAAAAAATCTACCCAAAAACCCCCTGAACTGCCCCGAAATCCCCTAAATCAAATTTCACCCAAAAACTGCCCAAATCCACCCAAAATTCCCGGTGCTGCCACTCTGCCTCCTCCATCGGCCCTGGGGACCCCAAAATCCCGGCTGAGCACCCCAAAAATCCCAAAAAATCCCAAAAAATCCCAAAAAAATCCCCCCAAAAATCCCTCAAAACTGCCCCAAAATCCCCTAAATCAAATTTCACCCAAAAACTGCCCAAATCCACCCAAAATTCCCGGTGCTGCCGCTCCGCCTCCTCCATCGGGCCTGGGGACCCCAAAATCCCGGCTGAGCACCCCAAAAAACCCCAAAAATCCCAAAAAATTCCCCCCAAAACTCCCTGAACTGCCCCGAAATCCCCTAAATCAAATTTCACCCAAAAACTGCCCAAATCCACCCAAAATTCCCGATGCTGCTGCTGCCGCTGCTTTGGCTCTGGGAATCCCCCCCCAAAACCCCAAAATCGGCTCTGGGGACCCCAAAATCAACTCTGGGGACCCCAAAAACCCCCAGAACCCCCAAAATCCCCCCAAAACCGCCCAAAATCCCCCAAATCCACCCAAACGTCGCCGTGTTCTCCATGTCCTCGGTGCCACCAGGACGTCCCCGGTGTCCCCTGATGTCCCCCCAGTGTCCCCAGAGTGCCACCATGGCCACATCCATGTCCCACCCCTCCATGGTGCCACTTCCTCATGTCCCCAATGTCCCCAAATGTCCCAAAATGTCCCCAAATCACCCAAATGTCCCCAAATGTCCCCATTGTCCTTAAATCCCCCCAAGTGTCCCCAATGTTCCCAAATGTCCCGAAATCCCCCAATGTCCCCATGACCCCAATTTCCCAAATGTCCCCAATGTCCCCAATGCCCCCAAAATGTCCCCAATCCCCACAATGTTCCCGATGTCCCCCAGTCCTCCCAAGTGTCCCCAAATGTCCCCAAATATCTCCAATGTCCCAAATGTCCCTGGTGTCCTCTTGTGTCCCCCAGTGTTCCCAGTGTCCCCAAATAGCCCCAATGTCCCAAATGTCCCCAATCCCCCAAATGTCCCCTTGTGTCCCAACCCCCCCAAATGTCCCCAATCCCCCAAAATGTCCCCAAATGTCCCCTCATTGTCCCCAGTTCTCCAACTGTCCCCAATGTCCCAAATGTCCCCAATGTCCCAAATCCCCCCAAATGTCCCCAAATGTCTCCATCACCCCAATGTCCCCAGTTGTCCCCTTGTGTCCCAATGTCCCCAATGTCCCAAAATCCCCCCCAATATCCCCAGTGTCCCAAATGTCCCAAACCCCCCCAATTCCCCCAATGTCCCCAATGTCCCCAATGTCACCTCATTGTCCCAAATGTTCCCAATCCCCCAGAATGTCCCCAAATGTCCCCAAATGTCCCCAATCCCCCAACTGTCCCAAATGTCCCCAATCCCCCAAAATATCCCCAAATGTCCCCCAATATCCCCAATGTCCTCAATGTCCCCAACCCCCCCAATTCCCCCAATGTCCCCAATGTCCCCAACCCCCCCAATGTCCCCAACCCCCCCAAATGTCCCCAAATGTCCCCAAATGTCCCCAAATGCCCCCGGTGTCCCTGACCGGTGACGTTGAGCAGTTTGGGCAGGAAGCGGTTCCAGAAGGCGCAGGCCTGTGCGCGCAGGCCCTGGGCCACGGCGAGCGGCCGCGCGTTCAGCCGGGCGTAGCTCTGCCGCGCCGCCGTGTACGACGGCCAACGCCGCTCCCGCTCCGACGCCTCGTTGGGGTCCCTGTGGTGGCACCGGCACCGGTGTCGGTCAGCGCGGTGCGGGTTGTTCGATCCAAATCATCGCAGCTCAACAGAACTCGTAACAACCCAACCCAACTCATCGCAACCCAACCCAACCCATCGTAACCCAACCCAACCCATCGTAACCTAACCCAACCCATCGTAACCCAACCCAACCCATCGCAACTCAACCCAACTCATCGCAGCTCAACCCAACCAACCCCAACTCATCGCAACTCAACCCAACTCATAACAACCCAACCCAACTCATTGCAGCTCAACAGAACTCATAACAACCCAACCCAACCCATCGCAAGTCAACCCAACCCATCGTAACTCAACCCAACCAATCCCAACTCATCGCAGCTCAACCCAACCCATCGCAAGTCAACCCAACCCATCACAAGTCAACCCAACCAATCCCAACTCATCCCAACTCAACCCAACCAATCCCAACCCATTGCAACTCAACCCAACTCATAACAACCCAACCCAACCCATCCCATCACAAGTCAACACAACTCATCACAGCTCAACCCAACCAATCCCAACTCATCACAGCTCAACCCAACTCGTAACAACCCAACTTGTCCCAGCACATCGCAACTCAACCCAGGTCATCCAATCCAACTCATCACAACCCAACTCATCCCAACTGAGGTCGTCCAACCCAACTCAACCCAACTCAAACAAGGTCATCCAATCCAACTCATCACAACTCAACCCAACTCTTCACAACCCAACTCAACCCAACTCATCCGAGGTCATCCAACCCAACTCATCGCCACTCAAGTCATCTCATCCCAACCCAACTCAACCAAACTCATCCCAACCCAAACGAGGTCATCCAACCCAACTGATCCCAATTCAACTCATCCTAACTGGGATCATCCAACCCAACTCATCCCAACTCAACCCAACTCATCCCATCCCAACCAAGGTAATTGAACCCAACTCACTGCAACTCAACCAAGCTCATCACAACTCAACTCAATGCAAATGAGGTCATCCAACCCAACTGATCCCAACTGAACTCATCCCAACCACTGTCATCCAACCCAACTCATCCCAACTGAACTAATCCCATCCCATCCCATCTCATCCCATCCCATCCCAACTCTACCAAACTCATCCCAACCCAACTGACCCGCGCCCCGTCCCAGCCCGTACCCGGTGCGGGCGAAGTTGCCCCAGTATCTCATGATGCGCCGGCTCAGCGCCTCCTCCTCGGCCGTGTAGTTGAGGCCGGGGTTGAGCGGCTGCCCGAAGACGAACTCGATCTCGTAGCCGTGCGGCACGCCCATCCACGGCGGCCACAGCAGGTTGGAGGCGCGGTGGTCGAACAGGTAGGCGAAGACGGTGCCGCCGCGCTCGGCCCAGCGCTGGGCGAAGTGCATCAGCGGGCAAACCACGTTGTGGTCGCCCACGATGTCGTCCAGCGCCTCGCGGTTCTTCACCGGGTTGTCCTGGTCCAGCCAGTCGGTGTACTGCAGCACCACGGCCTCGGCCGCCAACTCGTTGGCCTGCGGCACGCCCAGCCGGACGCCGCCCAGGAACTCCTCGCGGCTGATCAGGCTCTCGTTGTCTTTGCCGAAACCCGGCACGCCGTACACCAAGAAATAGGTGCCCTCGTCCTGCACGGCGCCCAGCAGCACCTCGGCCTCGGCGCCGCCCGGCGCGCCCAGCAGCGCCTCGGGGGTGTCGG